GAAAAAAGGGGTGCTGATCTTTGCAAACAAACCAAACACCTGCAGATTTTTGGTTAAAAATGAAATGATTAAAAGACTGAAAAGATAAAATGATAAAATGAAAAAAGAGGGAGTGGTCTTAATTTTGAGAAATACAACACAGTGACCTACTAATAACTTTTTGGGAAGTTGTTCTTTTCCTGTTTGAAGAAACCAAATTATATTCATGCCTATTTTGCATGAGCAAAATGCAGTTTCAGATCGATGTAATGCTGCCAGCACAACATATCCGACAGAGCCTCCATACTGTGCAGTAAAAATCTACCATTCACTGCCAACACTATTTAGTTAATCCTGCATATGGCTAACACCACTAATGAAAAAATGTAAATGTAAATAAAATATATTTAAAATTATTTAAATCCCAAAAGGAGTTTCTGTCAGCTCACAGAAATTCAAAGCAGTTTCAAAACATCTAGTTCATGACGGGCTTCAAGCCAAGAATAATATTTGGCTGTTTAAGGAACTACTGTTCAGTTCCGCAAAGGGAAATATAGCTCCCACGAAATACTGCTGTAAGGCCATTAGCACAGTGCAGTAGAAGGCATGAGGGGACAGTAGAGGGGGAATTACAGGACATTACAGTAAAAAATAGCATTAAATGACAGTATAGCCGAGTACAGAGAGGACATTATAGTTCATTAGATAAAAGTAAAAGACAGCAGAGGAAAGTAAAAGATAATATAGACAGTATAGGTTAATGTGGTACAGTAGAGGGCATTACAACACTAAAAATGCAGTAGAGGAGAGTTAAGGATAGTACAGGATTAGTAAAGAAGAGTACAGGACAGTGTATGTCAGTACAGGACATTAACAGGACAGTAAACCTCAGCAGAAGAGATAGTTCAGTAGGGTACATGCTTGTACAGATGATACACTACATGGCAGAAGAGTTTAGTGCAGTACATATAGCAAAAGACAGCAGTACATGATAGAACAGAGTACTCCCAAACGGTTTGCATTATGACCCTTTACAGCAAAGTTTGCTATATCTGAGACTCCTTGTCATTTACCAAAGAGCTGTGAACTATAAAAGGTGATGGTCCCTTCTCAGACGGGTCCATTTTAGGTTTCATTTAAGAGGCCTAAAGCGGGGAAAAAACAGTATTTCACAAGACAGAAAGCAAATATTTCACCAACATTTTAAAAAGACATCATTTGTATTAGCAGAAATACTCACTGGCCACTTTATTAGGTACACCTTGCTAGTACTGGGTTGCCTTCAGAACTGCCTCAATTCTTCGTGGCATACTTTCAACAAGGTTTTGGAAACATTCCTCAGAGAATTTGGTATATTTTTACATGATAGCATCACGCAGTTCCATGACACAAATCTCCCGTTCCACCACATCCCAAAGGTGCTCTGTTGGATTGAGATCTGGTGACTGTGGAGGCCGTTAAAGTACAGTTAACTCATTATCATGTTCAAGAAATCAGTCTGAGATGATTTGAGCTTTGTGACATAATGCATTATCCTGTTGGAAGTAGCCATCAGAAGATAAGTACACTGTGGTCATAAAGGGATGGACGTGGGCAACAACAACACGTTTAAACAATGCTCAAATAGTACAAACAGGCCCAAAGTATCCCCCACACCATTACACCACCACCAGCCGCCTGAACCGTTGATGCAAGGCAAGATGGATCCATGCTTTCATGTTTACGCAAAATTCTGACCCTACCATCTGAATGTCGCAGCTGAAATCGAGACTCATCAGACCAGGCAATGTTTTTCCAATTTACTATTATTCAATTTTGGTGAGCCTGAGTGAATTGCAGCCTCCGTTTCCTGTTCATAGCTTACAGGAATGGCACCTAGTGTGGTCTTCTGCAGCTGTAGCCCATCTGCTTCAAGATTTGATGTGTTGCGCGTTCAGAGATGGTATTCTGCACACCTTGGTTGTAACGAGTGGTTATTTGAGTTACTGTTGTCTTTCTGTCATCTTGAACCAGTCTGCCCATTCTGTCAACAAGGCATTTTCGTCCACACAACTGCTGCTCACTGGATATTTTCTCTTTTTCTGACCGTTCTCTGTAAACCCTAGAGATGGTTGTGCGTAAAAATCCCAGTAGATCAGCAGTTTCTGAAATACTCAGACCAGCCCGTCTGACACCAACAACCATGCCACGTTCAAAGTCACTTAAATCCCCTTTCTTCCCCATTCTGAGGCTCAGTTTGAATGTCAAGTTGTCTTGACCACGTCTACATGCCTAAATGCACTGAGTTGTGGCCATGTGATTGGCTGATTAGCTATTTGTGTTAACAAGCAATTGAACAGGTGTACCTAATAAGGTGGCCGGTCAGTGGATATTATTTATTTTATTTGCCATCTTGCTAATTACCTCTCCCATCAGAAAAAAATACATTAAAATGTATGTATTAGAAACATCAGAATATTAACCACAATTTTATAACAGAACTGGTTTTTTTTCCCCCTCTCCTATGTCATTTAACTTCGGGGGCACCAACACATAGGTCGGAAACCACTGTAGTAGAGGGCAGTACAGATAACGCCATAAAATACACTACAATACAATGAAGCACAGAACAGGATGATAGAGTAAAGTAGGAACCCTGTACTAGAATACAATAAAACGACAGGATAGTAGAAGACAGTAAATGACAGTACAGTAAATATTATGTTAAACACACTAACAGGTCTCACATGGCCATCTGGTGTTTTTCCTGATCAACTTAATTTCTAGTGAGTGTATCATAATTCTTTACAGTGGGAAATGTGATAAGTAATCCATCCATCCATCGTCAACCGCTTATCCTGCGTACAGGGTTGCAGGGGGCTGGAGCCAATCCCAGCTGACATTGGGCGAAAGGCGGGGTACACCCTGGAAAGGTTGCCAATCCATCGCAGGGCATGATAAGTAATCATGACTGAAAAATTACACTCGCTGGAAAAGACACTGAAAGTTGCTAAACACTCGGCAGTTGAAGGAAAAGTAAATATGACCCTTATCAACACCCAAAGGCTTTCTTGTCCTGCTGTGCATTTCAAATCAAACGTGTAAAACCAACCTCCATTACTTAGTGTATGACGAACATGATGGATGTGATGTCCAGGCAAAAATTTTAAAAAAAGAGGAGGGTGAACATGTTTGGCAGACAGACATCTGCTGCTGCATTATCTGCACTTAAGAATATCTAATCTACTGATTTGTGATTGGCTGTGAGAGGCGGAGTGCTCTGTGTCTCTGTACAGGATGGATGGATGGATGAATAAATAAATGGATAGATGGAGGGATACACTGGATGGACGGAAAAGTAGATCTGAGCCTTTAATCATGCTAAAGATAACACAGACTAGTCACAATATAAACATGAATGAAATATACATTACTTTTATTTTAAACTACATTTCAATTTATTACTATTACCACACAGGTTTCCCCATTGCTTTCCCCAACATAATCCAAGTATATGCCTGCATGCTGCAAACCCAAAGGCCATTACATGAACACTGGCACCTTCTGGTGGAGAAAAAAAAAATGAATATATTACATCCATCGTTTATTTAACAATTTGGTCATCTTTCTTTTCACTGCAAACAATAGTCATGCTAGTAAGACATTTCTTACTAAAATCTTATTTCTTGAAATACATTTTTCTTGATTGAGATAATTTCACCTGTTTTTAATTCAAATCAACTTGTTTCAAGCATTTTCTGAAATCAAGTCATTTTCTTGTGCACAATTGCAAAAGTGTTCTTGTTCTTAAGATGCTAAAACTAAACCTTTTACTGAAAAATAAGATAAAATGAAGGACTAAAACACAATTTTCAATATTGTTTGCTACATGTGTGTTTACATGTCAAATCATCATTACACAGTCATATATAGGATTTTAAAGAAAAGAGCTTGATGGTGCCCTTAATTGGCATTGAAGGACTATATCAATGGACATGCATAATATTATGCAATGCAATTTCATAGCACTACAATTAAAAATACCTTGTTTCAGCATATAATGTTACTTTTCTGTTACGGGAAGTATTAAAGTAATTTTTATGGCTGCACTTTTTGTACGGTTTTACATTACTGTGTATATTCACTATTTGTTCATTTTGTTGTTCAGTAAGTCATGTACACAGTGTAAATGTTTTCTGAGAAAAAATAAAAAAGGCACCTTTCCCCTCAAAATTGGTTTTAGAAGTAATATATCATGTATGACTCATCAGGGGACATTAGCTTTTTCCATTGAGCATCTTTAAATGTGACCCAAATTGTCATATGACTGCATCCAAAAGCAGAACAGATCAATTTTAGAACACTACAGTTGCTTCACATCACTCACTAAAAGAAATAAAACATTGAATTTCCCCTTGAGGGATTACTAGAGTATGTTTTCTTCTACTTACTGGAAAAAGAAAAGAAAGCAAACGAAAAAGTCAATTGTACTAAAATGAGAGCTACTTCTCAATTTTTATGTGTATGCTGAATCAAAACACTACAGCTGACTTCACATCGGACCCATCACTTCTTCTTTGTCTGGTTTTTTGACAAAGTTTCAATTTGTATGGGGGTGGATAGATCAGTGTTGCGTTTATACTCTCCTGGGAAGTTGCAATGACTGAAGTAAAGATTTGCTACAGCACCACAAATACAGGTCTGTATGGTCTGTTTTTAGCGGTTTCTCAAAATCAAATGGAATACAGCTGTAGCAGGAGAAAGGATTAGAAAATGAAAAACAGGTATATATTAGTACCTAAATATATGATCTACTTCATATAATAGCCTCTGACTCCTTAAATGTGTTCCATCTAGATTGGATGCCATGTGTTTTACCATGGCACACAAATACCAGGAACAAAAACATCTTTCTCTCTCTGTTAGTTATTTTATTCAATACCATCACTGGCGCATGCTTTCCAAACAGTCATAGAATTTCTGACACTCCGTGAACGCCTCATGATTTCACAGTTAAATGCACTCTCTGCTGCCTCCAGTCTGTCAGAGAATGGTCGGATGGAGAGCAGCTTCTGTCTGCAAACACTAAGCTTCAGTTACAGGTTAGTAACACCGTTTTTAATATTCTATATTTAAGAACTATTTACCACAATAATTGTCTGAGTTTTGAGTTTGGGTATTTTACAATATAGGAAAAAATTTAGCAATAAGAACATGAAAACAACATAAACACCTGCATGTGTCTTTGACATTTAGCCTTTGGTGTATTATAGGCTACGTGGTTGCTATTTTAGTGCCCTCTCGTGTTTCTTTGTTTTGAAACCTAGAGTGTCAGCTTGTTAGGCTACATTTAAATCAGTTCATCAGTAAAAAGTTACATGCATTAAAGCCATCTTTGAATGAGTGTCTAATGCAGGACTTATGTCACTTATTTTATATTCAGAGCCTATATTTAAGTAAAAGTAGCAATACCACAATGTAAAAATACTCCATTACATGTAAATGTACTGTCTTCAAAATCTTACTTTAAGTATGGAGCTATTATCAACAATATATACTTCAAGTCTCAAAACAGTACTCATTATGCAGCAGAATGACCCCTGGCAATGTTATATTATTATATACATTACTTGATTATCAATTATGTTTTAATATGTACAGTATTTTTGACAGCTTTATATACATATAGGTTTAATCTATAATAAGGCAACTTATATAAATAGATATGTTCTCTGTGTGTAAAATCTGCAAAGTAACAAGAAACTATGTCAAATAAGTGTAGTGGAGTTACAAAAACATTAACTCCCTCTAAAATACAGTGAAGCAGAAGTATGAGGTGGCATAAATTGGAAATGCCTGTAATGTACATCAAAACTGTACAAAATGCATAATACTTGAGTAAATGTCAGTAGTTAGATTCCAGCCTGGCAAATAAAGGCAGCTTGTAAGCAGCATTTTAATGTTGTATTTAATGTCATATTCTTTGTGTGCACTATCTTTAAATGAGTGACTACTTCAGGGACGCTTGGGAGTTGTGTGGGCTTTTGTCAAAGTGCAGCTATAGTCAAAGGCTTCAATAACAACAAAGATCTCCCCCCTCCTTATTTTTAAAAAAGCTTTGATGGTGCTCAGTACAGAGGGTCAGGCGGAAGGCCCTCCCTCATGAAAGGTTTGTTAAAGGTCTCTGGCTTTGGCACACTGGTTCTTGACCTTCCCTGCATCTCCATGTGTGTTTGAGGATAGGTGGGATGGCATTTGAGTGCCCAGCGGTGAAGGGAATCCACCACCTCAGATGGCACCCTGAAGCCTGCGTACATAAAAGTGTGTGCTCAGATACGACGCAATACCATAAAGTCTGTTTATTCTCTTTTGGCTGCGCTGAAAAAGATAAACATCAGATAAGAGCAGGCAACAGAGATTTGACAGCTTCTGTTCATTGGCCTTGAAATTTAAAATGAGCTCATTAGTATTACACATTAAAAATTAACACAAAGGCCTGTGTTAATGTCCTTATATGTGGGAAAGAACTTCGGATGTACGAGCTGCTGTTTTGGTTCAAAATAGTGATGTAAGGTTTTACACTATGAAGATCAGCAGGTTGTTTTAACAATGACACCCGTGTTGGTCCTGTCTAAATCCTCTTAGAGTACAGTTACTTCATGAATATAGGCGGTGTAATCCCATTAGGATGTCACCACAAGCTTTATCTTTTACATCACATCAGCTATACAATATGTATTGGTGTCTTTTCCTTTGAGTTTTTTCCCCCCAGCAAATACAGGGGCCGTGGGTCGGACTCAAACCCAGAGTGTTTTTTGAAGTAAACTATTTAACTTCACTTTATATTGTGAATCACTGTACATCAAATGATGTGAGCTTTTCCTGATCATCACAACAGACAATCACATTCGCCTTCTGCTTCAAACCTGTGCCATATGTGAATGAAACATTAATGGCCCAAAGCAAACCAAGTTAATAGACTTTAGATAGAAAACGAGTATATTAACTTGCAAAGAAAGGAGCACTTAAGAATGATGCAGCGTAGACTTTATTCCATGACAACATTGTATTTATAGTTCTACTATATGAAGCAGATAATCCATTGCACAAAAACAATGTAAAAAATATTTAGTAAGCCCTTTACTTACATCATTTAATTCTGCAACAGTTTACATAAAGTTTTCCAAGGAGCTATTTAAGTTAAAAGTAACAAAAACATCCAGTTCCACTATTAACCTTGTACAGCTAGTTGAGCTATTCAAAATAAAAGTTTATAAATGTTATTAGTGGCTTCCTGGCTCGTGCAATTTTCCATAGAGTGTAGGCGAAACTTTAGACTGTTAAAATTATCTTGCAGCACCTGCAGTTAAAGAATGATTTTACCACTAAATGGCCTCTTTTAAAAGAGCAAGTAGCATCCTCAATTAGAGCATTTTTGATGCAGCGTTAACTAGAAGGCTTTACTGCAGGGCGATTGACTGATGCGATACCAAGCCAGAAATGTGCTATTTGTACGTTTAAGCAAGTGTAATGAAGTTTAAAGACATAACTCTCAAATACAATTCAAGGCCAATTAACGAAAACCTGAGGCCTGTACCACGAAGCAGGATTTGAGCTCAACAAGGTAACTTTGGGGTTAAACCCCAGGTTGACTTACCGTTGATAACCAGCTTTGTGTGACCGCTTATCTGGATTGCAATTGTTAGGGTTAGTGAAGCAAGATAATGTTGAACTTGCTTTGTGGTACAGGCCCCAGGTCTACTCCAGATAATGTAGTTTTCAGATGCCTCTAGTGGTTAGGTTTCAAATTGCAACCACTATGTTCCCAAGCGTGTGCTCCTACATGTCCTCGAATTAATGAGCAATCGGGCAAACAGAAATAACAAGTGACAGGTAAACCGGAAGCTCAGCAATGTAAGCACAGCTAAATGTATTGGATGATTATGAAAAGGTTAGTTAGCCACATTGAATATTCTAATGAGATTGTTGCCACACTTTAAAACAGTTAATAACCGCAGTAAACAACATTACTGTAGTGGAAGGGTCTTCCACTGTGTTGTATGTGGTTAATAAAAGTTACGGCGACTGAGAGGGTAGAGAAGCTGTGTACCTGAGTTTCGGTAAAACGACAATTAATCTAAATTTAATGTTACAAAGTAAGCAACGCTCGATCCATGCTAATGTAGCTGGCTGCCCCTGCCTTGCATCATTATAGGTTTCAATTGTAATCAATTGTTGCTGGAACTTTGACATAATACCCATAGGATAGTAATATGGATCAATTTAGCTGGTGAAGTAATGCGGCAAGCAACTACAGTATTTTGCAACGGATAATGTTAGCAACTAGTCGGCATTAGCCTGCAAGCTAATGTTATGTAACTTGAGCCAACTAAAGCACAAAATCACAATATATGTCACATGCTTTAGTTTGTTTACCTGTCCAATAGGATAAAAGCCAACTGAGTCAGTTTTTAAATCCAAAACAAAGCAGAGGCCTCTTCATGACTCATTCGCCTTTGGCCTGACGGGCATAAAACTTTATTGATTTTTTTTATCATTATGTGGAGTTTGTGTTGGAGTCTTTGTTGTGCTGGGAGTCAGTTTCTTGGTGTTAGCGGACTACATTTTATTTGCTGCTGTGTTATCGCTGTGCGTACAGTTCAGAATCAGTAGGCAAGATGCTCGGAAGCGTGAATGAACGTAACAGACTCAGTAAACTACTGGATTTAGCTGAAAATCCAGCCCAATTTCTTCACATAGGAAGCAGTATACAGACCGTAGAGTCAGGTAACCGAGAAAGCTGGCGAATGGTTCATATTCAACCCATTCACTAACAATAAAAAAAAAAATAAAAGATCAATTTCACTTTTAAAAAACTATATATATAGCCCTTTTAAGTCTATATACAAATTCTTACTTGATTGTTCTTACTAATATGAGTTTTCACCTCTTCATTGAATCATATGATTTAGCAATTTAAATCATTTAGCTACTAACTTGTATTTAGTTCAAAGTAGCTGTTCTCTGCCCATCTTTTCAAAATTTAGAGCAGCTGTGTTTTGAGTTTGGTGGTGTTTTTCAATCTTGTGTTTGCAACAGTCCCACCTGTGAAGCTTCAAAATGAAATATAAAACCACCCAGGGACAGGAAGTGTGGTTACATAGTTGTGAGTTAGGCACCGGAAGTTTGATTCCTCCTGCATGAACACAGTATTATACAGGTTCAAAATGCACAGGAGGCTGCATGGGAGGGCTGCAGCTCTGCACATTTCAAATGTTTGAATCCGTGTTGGTAGGAGTGTGTGTCTGTAAATTTCAATTTCAGGATCAATATTAGTCTGACTATACTATTAACTGTAATAAGTTTATAATTGAAAAAGGTAATGACTACTCTTTACAAGAGTACTATTACTTGTTAGGAATACCCCAAAACTGAGGCCAGCTATGGTAGTTTAAACAGTTACTAAGTTAGTTAAGTCATTAATTGATATGATCAGCTTGATATGACAATTTCAATTAAATGGGATATAATGGTGATTAGTATAAAACTATTTTTTGTTGATTAATCAATTAAGCAAACATTCCAATAATTAACTGGTTCCACCTTTTCAAATGGGAATATTGATACTGAACTGAATACTTTGGTGTTTCGGAAATATAAAGGGCATTCTGAAGATGTCAACTTAAGCTTTGAATTGTGATTATGGTCATTTTTTGTACGGTTTTCTGAAATGTTATGGACTAACCGATTAAACAGACTATAAATGTCTTCTGTAGTGCCTGCCAAAAAGGTGTAGTGTCAATATCAGTAGGTAACGTAAACATCATAGTATTTACAGTACCTGCATTATGGAATTATGACAACATTCGCATGTAAAAGCCGCAACAATAACTCTTAGAAGTCATGCTTCAAAAACCCAGTCCAAAATAATCCAGAAATTTGATACATATCAATTCTTAATATTTTAAAGGGTTTTAATACCAATTTATTAATAATTGCACTCTCTCACAACCTCTTCTTCCTCACAGCCTCCTCTCACTCACAGTGCCGTCTTCTCGTCTCATTCACTCTAGTTGATTTGCGTTATATTTTTTCCCTGCCAGAGTTTCAATAAGTCCCACCTTACTGTGCCATGATTGGTTAGTACTTGTCACTTGAATTGGATGCTGGCAAAGGATACAAACAAGACAATATGCAAACGATGGTACAGGGCAGCACTTATGACGCTACTTGAGTAAAAAGAAGATGCAGGACCAACACTCTGACCTATAAGAACCATGAGAGGTTGGAGATGTCGCCCCTTTCAACATCACTAAAGTATAAATAAGATGGCCGAAGTAAACTGTTGTTGATAAGCTAGTTGTCTTGTTGTTGGCCCAAAAGATTTTTATTTCTCAAAACTAAGCTAATCAGACCTAAAGAATCTCAGACTGCAGAGTTTCAGTTGGAAAATACTTTGACTAAGGTCAGAAGTAAGTTAACTGATGCTGTTCTGCTTAACAAACAGTAACATTTACTTTCTAAGATAAGTTCAGTTGTTAAATTCAGTAATCCACGGTGGTATTGAAAATGGTATCAAATATCAATATTTTCAAGGTATTGTATCGAAGTTAGAAATCAGTATTGTGACAACAACTTTTACAAGCAAACACTGTTATTAAAACTCTGAGATAATGGCTCTTTACTTGATACATTTCCATTTGAAGAGACTCAGTATTTTTACCCCACTACATCTAGGACACAAGATACGTAATCCTCTGTGCGTTCATCACCATGAGCAACCTTTATTACTTTACTCATATTCATTTGATCCATTTTTAATATAAAAATATTGATCAGTGCAGCTTTAAACTACCCAGCAGCACAATGGCACACTACAGAATACTGTAGATCTAGGAATGCCTACAACATTAAAATACCTACTGTATCCTTAAATACTCATGTACTGTGGATATTTAAATTTGTTATTTCAATCTGCTGATGTTTAATGTTGGCACAAAAATATTAATATTTCATTCACCTACTGTACTTAATATGTCTGACACCACTGACTCAGGGTCAGTCAGGTTAACAGTGAAGAAGGTGAGAGCTTCTTACGATGACCACCATGGCGACGAGTACTGCGGACACAGCCGCATGGAGTCATATAGCCTATTCCTGATCTGCGTTTAGCATTTCAGCTCTATTAATAGTCCCCTCCCAGCCTCCTCTCCGGCAGGACTCAAATATCATATTGACCTCCAGCAAGTCGAAAATTGTGCCATCAAACCCGCTGCAGTAGAGTGGTTACAGCATTTCTTTTGTGGTTCATCAAAGTTGGAGATCTTTTTTGAAATATTACTGTATTTTATAAGAAGGGGCTCAAAAGCTCTGCAAAGTTGGTGTTTACAAGTTCTGAAGGTACGGGCGGGTGGTTTTCCTTTAGTTGCATTCAGCTTCAGAGGGCTGGTTTGTTATCTAGCTTTGAGTTCTTAAAGCCGGTGTGAACAGCTGCAAGGCTCTTCAGTTTTTTTCATGTCCCCATGTAATAGATCCTTTTTTGATTTTTTTTGTACCGGGGTCTTCAAGTGGGAAGAGGTTTTGTTGGTGATTTAGAGTTTAAAACCCAGATATGACTGCTGGAGCAGACAGAGTTTTGAGTTTTGGAACTCACTCACAGCCAGCCAGGCAGCTCTTGTGGTTACAGTGTCACGGGTGATGAAATCTCTCTCTCTTGCTTTGTCTCTTCCTCTCTCAGGTTTTTTAAAGTGTCAAGGGCGGAAAAACAGCAAACCTTCTCTGCCTCCTCTGCCTCCTCCTCCTCCTCCCCTGCCAGCCTATTTTTCTCTGGAGAAAAAAGGGCTAGTCGGCGTGTTCTGTGGTGGAGGAAAGGTGGCTGACGGCAACACCGAAGCTGCCTCCAAAATCGGAGAAATCTCATCTCTTGAATCTGCTTTGCAAACAAGGCATTGTTGCAAGGTTTCCTGGAGGTTATTTGGATATTTGCAAGGGGGTCAGAGAGTAAAAACCTGCAGCCATGTCGCCTTTCCTGCGGATTGGGTTCTCCAACTTTGAGATTGATCCCAGCCTGGCCTACCATGAAGAGGTGCTGAACCCGTATTGTGCCGTTTACATGAAGGAGGCCATCGACACAGGTTAGTGACTGCTTGGGTTTATTTGTGTGTTGAATATATACAGCGAGAAATGTATAGGTGGAAACAAGGTATGCCAGTTAGATCAGTGGTTCTTGTGTCTATATAATGTCCCGAGAGCCTAAAAGGTGTCATCTTCAAATGTCCAAACCCAAACACATTCAGTTTACAGTGACAAAACAGAAAAAAGCAGTAAATCCTCACATTTGAGAAGCTGGAAAAAAAAGGAGTTTGAAAAGGAGCTGGAAAAAGTTTGGTGTTTGGGTTGATTTGAGAGTTAAAACGACGAATCAAATATCAGAATTGCTGGCAACTAATTTTCTGTCTATTGACTAATTGGTTAATTGACTAAATGTTTAAGCACCACTAGTGACGTCACGAGAGTTAGACCAACATCTCAGCATTTGACCTTGTATTGTTAATCAGATGTCCAATGTAATGTGCTGATAATTGGTTACATACATGTTTACTGTGGAACTGATTAAGACAGTAGCACTGTGGCTATGAGAAGACTTTCACCTAAAACAAATCTAATGGAGCATTTTGACACGGCTATGTTGATAAATCTGTTTTAGTTGTGGTAATACCCATCAACCTGGGTTCAGGTGTGTCATTTGTGGTAATGCCCATCAACCTTGGTTTAGGTGTGTCATAGTTTAAACTACAGCTGAAAGGCTCAGTCGATATATCAGCAACTATTTTGTTAATCAATAATTAATTTTTAATTCAAGCAAAAATTCCAAATGTTGATTTTGGTTTCAGCTTTGCAGCTTCTATTTGTCTGTGATAGTCTTTGAGGTATCAACATTTAGTTGTTTGAACATTTCAGTTTAGTGTCAGCTTTTCAACAATCCTTAAAATACTCCACATCTTTCATTTGAACAATTCAACTTTTTTCAAGTCAGCAATTCAGTATCATTCACACCGCAATTTCTTCAGTAACTGCCTTTTCTAGTTGGTAATGATATTAACTGTTAGCTGCAGCCTTCACTTAAACTGTGTTTCAGTGTCTTTTCCAACCTGACAAAAGTCCACTTTCTAGTAGAAATACTGTTAACTTACAACATTTTTGAATCTCTGTGCATTATAATGGACAATTACATGTATTTCTTGCTGCCTTTAACAGATTGATAACATAGCAATTCAACTTTTATTCCAGTTCATGAAAGCCTTTACATTTGCTTCTGTGAGCACCATATGTTGACTGGCTCTCTCTCAGGGGAAAAAAAAATAAAAAATAAAAATCCCTCTGCAACCAAGGAATTGATGCATTTTATTTTCAGTAAAGCAGTGGGTGTTTTGAATAAATATAGAAATGTAGAAGTAGTATCTTTACTTTTTAGACAGTAGATTGCAGTGTAAATAAATAAATAATATACATAATTATACACACACACACACACAAGAGCTGAGGTATAGGGTGGCAGGCTCCATATAGTTACAGAAAGATAGTACTGTAAATGCAAGTTGGCCCATATATTTTTTAAAGATCTTCATTGCGGTGGTTGATTTACATTCAATGTCACAATTCCCAGTGTGACAACAGACTCACAGCAGATCTCTTCTCTGCATCTGGATATATTTAACCACTGGTGAGTATGAGTGCAAGACAGAGCTAAAAACAGTGACACTGAGAGGAAAGAGGAGGGTTCTGATGTTACTTTTCCTCTGTAAAACCACAAGGCTGGACCTACGAGGCAGCAGAAAAGGGGCTCCTTGTAATGAGATTATTTCGTTTACACAATACTGACTCACTGGAGGGACAACTGTTTTTCACTTTACCTCAGATAAAAAATGTCATGCCTGGATGACACTGACATGAGTAACACTGAAGACTTACAGTAGACAATACTTTCCTATATGATATGTTTACATTGAAACTGACATGACGTCATTTAAGTGGGAAATAAACAATACTAGACTGTACCCATTTATCCACATTGCAAGTGTGACTCACATAAGATAAGCTGTAATTGTTTCAGTGTTTTTCTGGACATCACCACACACCACCAGCACCCTGCTGAGTTGGTGAAATTTATAGCTGATCATCAGAAACTCGACAAAATAAAAACACAAAACAAAAGATAGTTACCATCAGGCGCTCTGGCTCACTGCGGCTGATTTTATCTTCAAATAAAAGGAGGTGGAAAGCTTAAAAAAAAAAAATTAAAAAAAAAAGCTTTTCCTTTGAAGTCCTCAACAAGTTGAGTGTTCAGACTCTTTCTCTTTGACTCTGCTAAGCACAAGTCGCAGACAGAGCTGAAGTAGTAAAAGCCCAGTCGCATTTTGTTTTCATGGTTTTGTTTTCAAATATAAGGTGAGCGTCCTGATTGGCCAACAGCACCAGCTCAATGTATAGGAAACAGAATTATCTGCCCTGCACCTGTCTCTCTGCTGTCGTCTATTCCAGTACAGTGATGATTACTAGTGCTTAATATAACACTTATTTTCTTTATATTAGTCAATTCAATGTTTAGTCTATGAAATAATATAAAACACTGACACTAAAGTACAAATACCATCAAGTAAACATGAAAGTGTTTCCCTACAGAGATTTTACGGCAAGGTTTTTGTTAAAGGATGCTTTTTTTATGCATCATGTACCTCTGAAACTGGTATTATAATACCACATGCTTGTTTATAAGCTCTTTCCTTATAGAGTAAAGCTAAAACAAATTTTTACATTCACATGAAAAACTCAAGAGGTGTTTGTCTCAATATTTTCTGACTTTCCATACCCAAGCCCATTGGTTTCTCCTACCAAAGACACACAAATATATAGTTTCATTTTTATAAAAGAGGGTCAGTCTCTCCCTAAAACTGTGGTGAATTTGTGACAATAAGAAAAAAAAAAAAAACATACCAACTGCCGGACTTATTTTATATTATAAGGGATGCCTTGTTATGTGACTGTAGCCATGTAGCTTAAACGGATTTTAACTATTTCCTTTTTGTGTTTTGTTTATATCCCCCTATGCTATTGGGGCCAAACAGTGGGCCATTCATAGTTAACTTCCACTTTTAGAATCCTATTCAAGTGAGGCAAACACGCCGAGTCAAGGCTTTTGAGCTTAAATGCTGCCAATAGACATTCTTCATCGAAAGGATTTAATTTTTTTGTTTAGTGAGGATTTAGTAAGCTTGACCTGTGGTGTTTTTATACCTGAAACTTCTAGTATGAAAAAGAAAATGCAATCACTTTGAATTTAACGACTCAATTTAATGTCTTCGTTACATATGTCTGAAGGTTCTCAGTCATCCAAGGGAGGTTAAAATCATGAGCAACTAGACTAGACTCCGTCAAAGCAGCAGCAGAGGCATGAGAGCACACCTAAATGCCACTTCTGTAGTTTTTCACAGAACACAGGAACCGACGTTACTGGCTGACACCTAAACATGTCACCTATCGCTATGCAAAATGCTTCAAAAGAAACTCTGATCTGTCTGGGATGCGTCAGAGGAGAAACAGACATGTTTTCCTCTCTGGGTGGTTTAATCGGCAAAGACGGCAGCTGGCAGAGCCGGTGGACAGATAGGCCATGAGCCGATGATGGAGAAGGCCACAGATCACTTTGGTGGGGGGTGGGGGGGGGAGCTTAGTGGGCTTTTTTGTTGAAACAACGGGATGGCATGTGGCTGTTATGTAAGTGGATATTTCAAATGTTACTGCAGATAAAAAAAATAAATTAAAAATCGGCAGATGTCAATAATGAAGGCCAGGAGTTTTTATTTATTTATTTTTTATTTCTGATGTATGCAAATCTCTCTAAAAACTGCGAGACGATAATCATAAAAAAGGTCTGGTGGTCAAATGCTCAGATGGTATAGCTAACATCCTGCAACACAAGCTTAACAAATTATCCACGAGAACATGAGGAGAATAAAGACTGTCAAGTTAGAACATCTACCAACACTTTACCATACCAGGCATGCAAACTGGTCAGGGGGGAAAAAAGGTGAGGATACGCAAGCAGAGGAACGTACAGAGACAGTGTAAGAGGGGTCTTTTTTAAGCTTATATGTTGTATAGATAACGTGCATTTGTCTACTGCAACAAGAGAAAGATACTGACACGCAAGGGCGTCACTGGGGACATAAGGGCTCAGATTAGGGGTGTGACAATACACCTAGCTTACGAGATGTGCCAATGCATCATACTGGTGTCACAAGAATGAGATCTGAGGATAAATTAACAGTATTTAATAGAAATCAATGCTGAAATGTATGAGTTGGGGGGAGTCTGGAGCTCCTCCCCCAGATAATTGTGAGCATCAAACACTTAATTTCCTGCATGCTGGTGACATTTCCTGTTCTGCCTTTCCTACATCAATTTATGATGAAAATGTTTTTTTTTTTTTTATGTAAAGGGAAACACAAAATTCAGGTGGCAGGTGACAATTCAAAAACTTTCTCAAAGCACTTTCATTGGTTCTTTGCCATTTCATGTTGTAAGCTATTTTTCCTACTTGCCCGGGAAGTTACAGGTGTCAGTTTTCACTCTCCATCTTCCGGATGTTATTAATCAAAACTTACAAGTCAAATCCTTTGAGGATAAGGCTGGTGATATTCTAGACTTGTATTATTGTCAACAAATCCCATATAAAGACTAAAACCAACAACAGAGTCTCTGAAAACTTTCTAACTACATCTGTGACACTCAGCCCTAAACTCATTTCTTCATTCTGAAAAAAACATCTGTTTCAACATGTTAAATGGTAAGTTTCCTAAATCAGTGGAATATTGTAGATTTTAGCAAATGTTATTCAAACAGAAATAAATACCATTTTCAATTTCCAAGGGGGCATTTTCAATGGGTGCAAACCAAAATGCCTCTGGACGCAATCAGGTAAACTTACAACCCATCAGAGTAACGAAACGTGTGATGTAGCGCTGAGGGACAAATTAAACTTCGGGTAGTGCTTGGTCTGTTGTCAAGCTGAAGAAACATGGTGGCCTGGTCACAAACTTTCTCAAATTATGGCTAAACAGTACACTAAAATGTGTTTCTGAAAAAATCTGATAAACTTTTATATTTGAGCCACAGCTTAGTTTGACAGTTTGCATCTATGTTTTGTGGGCAGACCTTTTAAAATGTAAACATATGCCAGCCACTGACAGATAAATGTTCAAATTTATGGGCCATCCAATAGTAAACCTTTATTTTGTGTCTGAAATCTATCAACATCTCTCATTTTTTACCAGCATTTGGCTGGTGATAATTTCCTATACTATTTGTGAGCCTGGTGTGTTGCACAGGATGGACCTGCAGACTGGATGCAGGTCTACAACCAATCAGAGCAGTGTGACTTTCTGTCAGCCATTGCACCATATTAGATAAACGATTTTATTGGCCCAACCAGATCCACGACGAGTGGAAATCTGACTGAATGAGAGGGAGCCAGACATCTCTGCCAGAGCTAATGAAACATGAACTCCGCAGATTCGTCTGGTTCCCAGGTTAGAATCTTGTAGACATTACTTATTTGTTGTGGTGCTACCTTTCCCCAGTTCCTTAGTATTTAACCGAATATTTGTGATATACTCTTTCTCCAACATTTCTGACATATATGCAACTGCTTACTTTTCACCTTCGGCGTAATTATGAAACAAATCACCTTTTTCCCCAGGAACATTTCCTGAAGAACCTTTCACATGGCTTACCAATAATCATCTAAAATTTCATTTTTATGCTCTTCATTGTTTCTATCCAAAAACTATGGGGCTTTATGACTACAATTAATAAGATACCAGGCTTTGGCTACACAGACAACAGTTAGTAGGATCAATCCATTGTTGGTTTCGATCTTTTGATGGGATTTGCTGACAATAAGGGGAATAAAGAACATACTCATTCTTTAAATTTTTGTCCAGGCTAAAAAAAAATTACTCCCCAGGGATGGCTGCATCGTCACAACTTCAACCTGCCAGTAACAAGAAGACATTTAATTTGTCGATGCACACAATTTCTAGGCACTAAAGTGAAAGTCAAAGTGAAAATTGCTCAGTGGAACTTTGTTCATCTTACTTCCTGTCTGTTGCACACAAAAGCTCAAAGCAAAGAGCCTTTCAATAAAAAAAAAAAAAAAAAAAGAAATTTACATTTAGCTGACGCTTTTATCCAAAGCGACTTACAATTGCTATACATGTCAGAGGTCGCACGCCTCTGGAGCAACTAGGGGTTAAGTGTCTTGCTCAGGGACACAATGGTGTCAAATAAGGGAGTGTCTGTTCTCTTTACTGCTTTTTTGTTTTTCCAGAAAAGGGCCAAGTGTACAAACAAAAGAAGCCAACCATGTACCCGCCGTGGAGCACCACGTTTGATGCCCACATCCACCGCGGTCGCATCATGCATGTAATGGTGAAAGATCGGACAGCGGAGCTGAAGTCTGAGGCCACGGTGGCTTTGGACTCGCTTGCCACACGATGCAAGAAGGAGAATGGCAAGCTGGAGATCTGGGTTAGTGCAGTGGGATGGGTGTGTCTGATTTTGTACAACTAACCTTCCGGACCAGCTGTTTGCCAGCAAAATGAGAATAAGCTGACTCACTTCTGGGTCAAAAGATCAAATGTTTAATCCTCCTTTTAGTTATTAAAAATAAATAAATAAATAAATTTGCAGTGCTTAGCATCATCACCTGCGCTGGCCAGAAAATGAACCAACAGGCTTTTTCCCCCCTACAGACATTTTTACTTGTAATACCAGAAAAAGCACAGGTGTAACTGATAACATTACTCATAGCTGTGTTTCAGCTACGGGTTCTTTTGAAGAACTGGCAAACTTAACTGTAATTCAGCCATCATTAAATGTTATAAGCGACACCTGTGCTTTTCCTGCTATGACATGTCAAAATATCGGCAGTGAAAAATATCTCTACAGTATCTTTGACGATATTTTATCGTCTTGGAAGATCACCACTGCATACTAGAATCTTATGCGATATTATCTAATAATCATAATAAAAGAAAGTATTGTTATATTGTTACTGTGAATTACTTACTATGTGATTACAATTAAACATAATCCTGTTATGTTGTTATGAGATGACAAAATATGAGTTCACAATGTTGTGATAATGACAAATCCACATCTGTTATGTCAAGATCAATTAATCTGTACTCAAGAAAACAAGTTATAAAATTAATTATCATTATCATGTGAGCAAGCATGATTCATTCTAGAGCACCACTATTATGATTTTTGACCTCTTTTAAAGCACTTACAGTAGCTCTAAAACAAAATAATAACTAAACTGTACATGTATCTCCCCCCCTTTTATTTTATCCTACCTCTGGGATGAGGACAATGTAATTAACGTACCCAGTTCGTGTCCATCGCAGAACCATCATTTCATGTCACCCCCCTACCGCTCTACCCTCATTTCTTGTCATCTCTCTATTGTACGCCATCTAATTAAAAAAATAAAATAAAATTTAAACTCCCCATGGTGGAGGGGCCCCAGACTCCCATACAGGGTTTCAGTTTCACATCATGTCACGTTTTTCATCCCACTTGCCTGAGTTTCATCCTAAATAATCAAAAATTAAAGATTACTTCTTGTGCACCAGATTTTTCCCCTGGGAAGACTTGGCTTGCGGTGACACCAGAGGCCGCATGCCAGCTGTCTCTTATACCGAGCTAAGAATCAATCAAACAAAGTAAAACTAATGAATCAAATCAAATCTGTGTGCTAGCCAGTCTGTCTGTCTCCATGAGGCAAAAATAGCATTACATGCACCGTTTCTCCATTATACAGTTCATGCATCATCATTATCCGGAAGCCACATCCTTCCCTTTTCATTCTCAATGTTTTTCTAAAGAAATTCTAAAATATTGCTTTTCTTTTTTGCTTCCATTTCTTTTTGCCTCAGCTGGAGCTGAAGCCACAGGGTCGCCTAAGGATGGAGGCCAGGTATTATCTGGAGAAAAGTGGTGAGTGGTTCACACCTTTGTAACTAATCCTTCTGCCCCTCCATCAGTTATAACAACTTTAACTATATACTGGTTTTGCTATCACGTACAAAACAAAGTTTGTAGCTCAAATTGCGACCAAATAAAGTCGATTCAAAACAATCCAAACATAACCTGCAAGAAAGTGAAAATAAGTGATCTTTATCTTTATGATCTGAAGGTAATAAAGGCTCTGAGCTAAGAGAATTTTGCTGTGGTCTTCCGAGTCTACTACAAAGTCTTTAAAAATGCATTCAAAACAAATTGTTGCTGCTGGTAAAATCAAGAGTGTATCATTTCTTGTGCGCCACAGAACATTTTTAGCCCTCACATATCCACTTTTTTTTTTTTTCTTTTAAATGCTTCCATGTGACAGTTCTTGGATTTATTTAGGGAAATTTAGGATTTTGTTAGGCTGAAAATGATAATATACTATATAAACTATACTATACAGTTAATGGGATCATAAAATACCAGCCATCATCCAAATTGTCTGTATAGTCCTTTAAAAGCCAGTTTCACTTGCACCCTTGTGTGCTTTAATGTGCCTTAATCGTCGCAGCCTAATTACATTTTCTCAAACTAAAAATAAGAACTTTGAGTCTTTGCCCACTGCTGGTTCCAGGCATTGCAAGTGGATGTGTGTGCATGCACTTTGTATTATATCCCTTTCACAGGTGCTTTGCTGACATTAACACCATGCCAAGGCATGAGAAGTCACTGAGAAGTAAAAGGAAGAAGCCATCTCATGTTCCTATATATAGACCCAGCAAATAGGAAATCGCTGCAACAACAGGTGTTATAGTGACCGACAGACTGTGACAATCTGGTCTTTTGAACTTCCTCCTGCTTTTACAAGTTAGATTGTAGGAGCTTTAAGCTACTCACAAAAACAAACATTATATACAAAAATGTTAGACAGCAGATGGTTGAATAAATAAGTCATAGAAATGAAACTATTTTACATGGTGGAGTGCTGAGGATGAATTGAGAAGTCTCAGCCTTAAAAAGGAATAGGTCGCCATTTTGGGAAATGTGTTTGCTTTCTTTCCAAGAGTGAAAGGAGCAGATCAACAGCTGAGCTGGGGTCAATAACAATTTGTGGTTTTAGTGTGTGGGGGTGGTTACGGTTGTGCTGAAACTGTTTCTTGGCAAATGTTGTCATTTTGACAGATTAAGACTAAGGCCGATTTACCGTAACGTTGAGTAATTCACATGCAACACTGTCAATGACCACATGTAGACCACCTGTAGTAGACCCCCTGTCCAGTTGGTGGTGAGTGTACATATTAATAAGCTATTACCTAGAAGTCTTGTTTTTGATCCACATGCAAAATGCCACGGCAGCTGAGTGTCCGAAGTTTCTTTAGAAAGCCCACTAATTGTATTGTGGTTGATAATGGGGGCCAAAAAACAACTACTGATGTGGTGGAGGGTGAAGGAAAAGCAAGTAATACTGTCAGCCAACAATAAGATCTAACGCAACCTCTTGTACATGGCTATCTAAACTAAGTTACCACCTCCTGGAATCAATTTCCTGGGGAAAACCCTGATTTTAATGCAGATTTGATTGAACAAAAAGTTATGTCCCATTATCATAAAAGATTTTTAGAGCCGCTTTATAATCAGACAAATCACTTTTTGCAATACACTAGGTAAAGTTTTTGTTAAACTGCATAGATCTAACTGTAACTGTAAAATCGTCATTGCAGTAGGCAATCACTGACCGGAGAAAGCTGAGGTCAACCTTGTGTCTTTTTAAGTTTTCTGTTTTAAATAAAAGGGTTGTATGATGTGTTTCAGATGCGGCTGGTCAGAATGAGGGAGACCAAGAGCCCGAACTTGAGCGAGAGGGTCTGTTCGCCCTCCATCAGCGGCGAGGTGCCATCAAACAGGCCAAAGTTCATGTTGTCAAATGTCACGAGTTTAGCGCCACATTCTTCCCTCAGCCGACCTTCTGCTCCGTCTGCAAAGAGTTTGTCTGGTACGCAACAAAACAGAGATACAACAGAACACCAAATTATCATTTTCTTCACTATCGTATTAGTCATTTCACCTGTTTTTATCTGCCACAGGGGCCTGAACAAGCAGGGTTACCAGTGCAGACGTGAGTGTCACATTATTTTCCATTGCCAAGATTAAATGATGCCTTCTTTCCTCTTTCCCATGTGTCTAACTCTGTCATCTTTGTGTCGTTCAGAGTGCAATGCAGCTATTCACAAAAAATGCATAGACAAAGTAATCGCCAAATGCACTGGTTCAGCCATTAACAGCAAAGAAACAATGGTAAGTCTCTGCATCACACTAATTTAGACTTTACAGACACTTTTTGTTTCATATAAATGCTCTCAGACAGTGTGTCATCTCTAGCAGTAGCAGACTTAAATTCGGAGGATGCTGAGACAGCATGTGCAAGAGATTTGTAAACCTGTGGTTTTAATTCTTACTAATCAAGTACACACCTCATAAAGGAGGCATCATCACACCAGTACCATTTGCTGCTTTCATCTTCTCGATCTTGTTTCACTTCCTCTTTAGCCACATGCCTGCTTAGTTCATATGCATGAAACCAAGAGAATGCAAAGCCCCATGTTGTTTTATAAAGTATTAAAAAAAAGGAGCGAGCTGCCACCCACTGTTTGGATACAGAAGTGCTTCTCCTACTGTCCCAATGTCTGGCAAGCCTGTTTGCAAGGCTAAACCTGTGCTAGGGTCTCCATGATAAGCTGTATGATGTGATGTGTGTGTGCGCTGCAGATCCACAAGGAGCGCTTCAAGATCGACATGCCCCACCGGTTTAAAGTCTACAACTACAAAAGTCCCACTTTCTGTGAACACTGTGGTACTCTGCTGTGGGGGCTCGCCAAGCAGGGGCTCAAATGTGAGGGTGAGAGGCGGGAGTTTTAAGATTTCTGTGGTTTTTATGCATCTTGTTGTGTTAGAAACTGGTGTCTTGTAGAGTTAGGGTTTCACCTGGACACACTGACTGGCTTTGTGTTAACAGATGTCACTAATTGAACACAGTGAGTCTAAAAGAAACCTTTGCCATGAAGGAGAAGTATACCAATATTGCTACAGCATTTTGCCTTCAGGTTACACACTAATATTCTTACTAAGATAAATACAGGTGGATACCATATGTAAAGTCATGTCAAATACAAAACAGCAACTTTTTATGAGACAAACGACCCATTTTTCAGCTTTGTAGAGACACATTTCTTTGTTACATGCTCATACAAGTAACATGCAGGGTGGCAAAATGTATATGTGCATGCTGAAGCTGGGCTGTGTATGTACATACATGTCACAGTTGTTAAGCAAACTATGCAAAACACACTCAAGTGCAAATATGTAAATGTTGTTGTGGAATCAAGAAAGTTCTTGATCTTCTTGCTTCTTTTTTTTCCATTAAATTTGGCCTCAAAGAGCTTTAAACTCTGTCCAGATATGGAAAAACTTGCACAGAGGAAAGTTTGCTAGACAAGGCAGAGACTATACAGAGGTCAGTGGATCTTTAAATGGGTTATGAAACTAAGTGCCAGAACAGTTTTCTCAGCCCGTAATGGAAGAAATTAAAAACCACCAAATTTAGAAATATGGTTTTCACAGGACAGCAACACTAAATTTACACAATAAGGCATGATTTATTTCCAACAGCTGTCACAACTGCAAGTATTTTAACACTTCCCATCAGGAATATGCACAAACACACTGCGTATGGCACAACAGCTGTTCCGTGTGAAATTAATCAGATTTCCAATACAAACCAACACAACCAATGTGTACAAGGCGTTAGGGTGTTTTGTAACAGACAAAGTAATTTTCTCTTTAAACAAATGAAGCATTGAAGAGAATAATATTCTTTATCTAGCTTTATGTTGCATAAACAGCTTAACATCTCCTTTTAAAAGCATTGCCACGTCACTCATTATGTGTGAAAATGTGTGTTGGTAAAATCAGTGACCATTAAAGATTCAAAGTAGTGTTATAAAATACCATATTGTTATTACACCTGTGGTAATGCTGTGTTTTCTGTGCAGAGTGTGGCATGAACGTCCATCATAAATGCCAGAAGAAAGTAGCCAACCTCTGTGGGGTCAACCAAAAACTGATGGCTGAAGCTCTGGCCATCATCGAGAGTAAACAGCAGGTACAGGACATATAAATCTTCTGTTCCTTTAAAATGTTTAAATGTGTAACTTTTTGTATTTTGCACATTTTGAGGATTATTTTTTGAGAAAATCACTTTCCCTTGGTGGAGCCCCGCCCGCCCATCAACTCCCACCACAATAAACCTGCCCTGAATCTGCTAAGACACCACAATTGTATGAGTGTGAACAGTACTGGGTCATGGACAATGAACAAAGTTTAGGAGAGTTTTAAAGTGTGGACTTCTCTTTTCAAAGCTTTCCCACAAAAATACATATAATGTCTTCACTTTAAACTGGTGAACAACATAAATGTTGGGTCAAAACTCCAGTCTGATGCTGGTCCTACCTTTTGCCTTTAGGCCAGAAGCACCAAAGAAACTGACATTATTGGTCGAGAAGGTCCAGTCGGTGTTGGCCAGCCGGGAGTAGTCCGAGCTCCGTCTGGGTTAATAACGGGTGTACCAGCCACAGCTACACCTCCAAACACAAACAAAGGTGCATAACCTGTAAAATCTTCATTCTCATTAAGCCTTTCACTTCTTCTAGTTTTTTTGAACATCATGCGTTGGTTCCCTTATTCCTGCTTTCTGACCTGCCTCTTCCTGCAGAGATACAGGGTGTTTCATGGGACGGACCAGCTGACATCAGCAGGTCGATCACTGAGGCGCTGACAGAAGAAGAGCCTCTGTACGCTGTTCCCAGGAGGGATCACCAACCCAGATTCACCATTGATGACTTCATCCTGCACAAGATGCTCGGGAAAGGCAGCTTTGGCAAGGTACAGGAGCTGATTCAAAGCACAGAAAAGGATTTACATCAGAACTGAACGGACAGCACATGATGAACATAATGCAACTAGTAATAACAAAAAGAACATTCAGTATTGACAGTTTTAGGAGTAACAAATTATAATTTTTCCATTAGTGTGTCTTCAGTGATGTTGTAGTCATTCTCATCACCATAAACTGTCACACAGCACATTGAGAGTCTTGTGGTCACACTTGTTTGTGCAGCCAGTTTCCACAGAAAAAAAAACTCATGACTTCTTGTTGCTTTGATGTTGGTGGTAGCGTAGATTTTACTTCAGTGTGAGAAAAGGGGGGCGTTAGAAATGGGGGACAACAGAAGAGGAAACTAAACTGTCCAGCCACAGCAGTTTTTAGATGTTCTTCCTTTGTTTCCAGGTGTTTTTAGCCGAGCTGAAAAAAAGCGGCAAGTTTTTCGCGGTGAAGGCCCTAAAAAAGGATGTGGTGCTGATGGACGATGACGTCGAGTGCACCATGGTGGAGAGGAGCGTCCTCTCTTTAGCCTGGGAAAATCCTTTCCTCACACACCTTTACTGCACCTTCCAGACCAAGGTGATAACCATGTACACTCGGACGCTCAGAACTCTTGTGTAGATATTCACTTCAACCCTCCTCAGCAAAACTACAGCCCTCACCTCTTTGCATTTTTGTGTCCAGGAGAACCTGTTCTTCGTGATGGAGTATCTGAATGGAGGGGATCTCATGTTCCACATCCAGACCTGCCACAAGTTTGACTTGCACAGAGCAACGTATGTATCCCAATAAAAGGACCATCCAATATGATAAATCTTTTTCCCCCCATGCACATTTGTTGGGAAGTAAATATCTTCTTGTCAACTTGTTGTGCTTCTTGTTGCTTTGTTCCTCCATTTAAAATTCAAAAACAAATACAGAAAACTAAACTGGTAGGAGGAACGACAAAAGTAGGAGTAATGTTTTGTTTGTCTACCTCTGATTTGTGTCTTCCTGCAGCTTCTATGCAGCTGAGATCATTTGTGGACTCCAGTTCCTGCATTCTAAAGGAATCATTTACAGGTAAAGTATAATCCAGAAACAGCAAACAACTCACACAAGAGGCCAAACTGAGAACTACTTTCTGTATATGTTTATGTCGTGCTTATACCCTCCTGTCTCTCTGTAGGGATCTGAAGCTGGATAATGTGCTGTTGGACTCTGATGGTCATATTAAGATAGCAGACTTTGGCATGTGTAAGGAGAACATGCAGGACGACTCGCGGACGGCCACCTTCTGTGGGACACCCGACTACATCGCCCCTGAGGTGACCACGCGCACCACGTCATAATGAAAACGTTTATATTTATACAAAATTATAAATTAATGGGTAAATCAACACTAAATCATACATGGTAGAGAAATGACTGGGCTGTAACCCCAATTAGTGACACAGCAGGTGTTTTACTTTGACAGGTGATGGGAGGCACGTGCTGCATCAGTTAAAAACAGACAAGTCCATATCATCGTTATGATGGATATTATGACACAAAATGCTAGGTCTTAGTTTGAGATGTTAGGTGGGTCATAGCATAAGCAGAAACAGGTAAGCATTACAAAGTACAGAGAATAACCGATCAGTGAAATCACTGGCTGAGGTGACAGATTTGAATTTAAACATGCAGATTGTTGGCCCCACTATGGCTCATGGCAGGCCACTCATGTGAATTTCATCTAGAAAAGCCACACTGAAAACAGAGTTGGGGATTAACAGTCTGGTCTGTATGTGCGATTGTGTATCAGATCCTGCTGGGTCAGAAGTACAACTGCTCAGTGGATTGGTGGTCGTTTGGAGTGCTGCTGTACGAGATGCTGATCGGTCAGTCTCCGTTCCACGGCCGCGACGAGGAGGAGCTGTTTCAATCCATACGAACAGACAACCCTGTGTACCCCCGCTGGCTCACCAAAGACGCCAAGGACATTCTAGTCAAGGTCAGGCACTGTGTGTCGGTGTGTGTGTTTCCGTGGCTACGTTTGGGGGGTAATTAGGGTACTAAACTAATGAATGAATCTCTGGAAGCAGTAATTCTGTGACATGCTGTTCTTTTTTAGCCACATTTTGTTGCTGTAATTTACAGTGATAACAAGATGTGAGGCTTATATTTACATTAACCATTCAAATATTCAATCAATAAACATAAAAATAAGAGGGAAAAGACTGAATATCTGGGAAGGATACCCATGACTTAAATGTCCCGGTTGAGTTTTAAGACTACAAACTGTACCACCGACTAACATTTATTAATTAATGCCAGATTTAAACTACACAATATATTTGTCTGTTAATATGGTCACTGTGTTAGATTAAACAATTATAGAGTCATAAATTCTTGATGTGACTTGGCCAGGGTCATGGCAGACTCGTCCCCCGACCGATCATAGCTTGCGGTCTTTCATGACCTGCGTTTATAGGGCTGATATCGTGTAGACCTCTCAGCACCAGCTACACTGACAGTTGATTTCTGGGAAACACAGTAGAGAAAGACACCACTGAATGTTAAGCTCCAAAAATCGAAAATATTCCAGCATTTAGAAGAAGCGGCAACAATGTATGTTAACTTTTCTTTAAACCAGTAACTGCCTGTATGTGCAGTGTTTCCCATTTATGCATTCAGCAGTGGCACACCGCCGCTGCTGAATCATGACGGCCGCTACTAAAATTTTGCACAATGATTAAACTATGCGCTACAAATGTGTTCACTCGCCACTGTGGGAACACGGTAACACTCAATGCTTGGCTAGCTGCCTCTCATTGTTCTATAGAAAACAACTACGTGACAGATGCTGTTATAACAGCGTAACTCCTGTAAGGAATCAGGAGATGCGTAGCGACTGTTTGATTGTCCGAGCGGCAGAAAGTGACGGTGAACGCGAGCAGAGGAAAATATTCAGGCAGTAAATGTACTGTATTGGTTAAAGTTAAAGTTAGCTAACATCCCCCCTTCAGACTGAGCTGAGCAGGAAAGCTTCAACAGCAGGCTGCGTCTTTTGGCTGCTATGTAACTTAACATTAGCTCAATATAAAGTAACTGGTAGCTGTATTTTATTACTGCCTACTTGTCCAATGATGAGAACATTAGTTACAATCTGGGAGTAAACTGTTGCAACCTGCAGCTCTGTCCTGTACAGACTGGTTCAATTATTTTTCAGATGAAAGAGTGGTTGTTAGGAAAAGAAAGGACAGAGGTGACTGGAGGAGCTGAGGTTAGTAAAGAAACAAATTAGAGGTGCAAACTAGTCCTTTTAAGCTAACGAGGAGATGTTTCTTTTTGGATTTTAACGTGCAAATAAATTGCACCTCAGAAAGGAGGAGGTTTCTCATGTTGCACACAAACTTCAAACATGAACAACCGTATCTATAGTGATTCTGAGGTCATTTTAACAGGGTTTTAAGGGGTGAGGTCCAAAACATGCTGTGCAATAAATGTTAAATCACTGTGGAGAGCATCATAACCAACCAAATAACTTTCCCCAAATCTAAAGTTTGTAGTTCCTCCCCAGTAGACTGATCTTTTGCTGGTGGTTATTTATTATCTGCTCTAGCTTTTCCAACTCTTTGTTCAGACATATGGTGAAAATAATGGCCCAATGTGATGTGAAATTACACATCTGTCATTGGAAAACACCAACACCAAAACATTCAGCTAAAGCTCACATTAAACAGGGAAAACACAGAAGTTTTAAACTATTCTGATGTGCATCTCATGCTCCTGGACACAAGAGCAATACTGCTGAGACATGCTGTGTTGAGGTTTTATATTTAGACAAAAAAACTGCTTCACCTCCGCTGCTATAACTCCATCCTAGGGGAAACACTGATGTGCACTGCCAAGCATGTCTAAAGCAGTAATTAAATTTAATCTCTGGTGTTTTTGTGCTGCAGTTGTTTGTGAGGGAGCCCGAGGAGCGCCTGGGAATTAAGGGAAACATCAGACAGCACAATTTCTTCAGCGTCACAGACTGGAACGCCCTGGAACAACGGCAGGTGGCACCACCCTTCAGGCCAACTTTAGTAAGTACATTCAGAGTTGATGCTCACTCTCGTCTCTCCACACTCAGACATGCCTGCACTCACCATATCATCCTAACCATATCTAAAAGAGACCCAAATTTGAAGGGGACTATGCTAGCTGTAGATCTTCATTTACTTCATCTGTCTAAATTGGAGAATACATTCAAGTGTAAAAATCAAGAATGAATGAAATTTGCAATGTGAATAAATGTGGCAATCTGGATATTTTAATCATATATCATTCCTTTCTAGGTTATTCTATTTACCAGTATAGTTTGATTTTGATTTTAACTAGAGCTGAAAGGGTAACTATAGGGTAGCTAACTGACCAATCAGTTGACAGAAACTATTTTGATAATTAAGTTGAGCCATTTGTTTTTAGCAGAAATGCCATAAAAAATAAAAAAGTATCTTGTTCCAGCTTCTCAAATGAAAGAACTTGTAGCTTGAATTCTGTAATTTTATAGACCAAACAATTGATTCATCTGCCAATTATTGCCTCAATCAATTATTGAGTACTACATAATTTGATGATTAATGGTGACCAAAGTTGTTTTACTTGAGTAATCCTGACAGTTAGCTGTCCTTATCTAATGATGAACATGTTTGCCACAACACACAATTGTGTTTCACAAAAACAGTAGTGTACTATACGTTTCACGGTGTGTATTGACACACTTTCCCTTGCAGACGTCGCCAAGCGACTGCAGTAACTTTGACAAAGAGTTCATCAATGAGAAGCCCCGGCTGTCGTGTGCCGACCGGACGCTCATCAACAGCGTTGACCAGACGATGTTCAGAAACTTCTCCTTTGTTAACCCTGGGATGGCTCACATCACAGCACGCTGAGCACCCGACCACCAACCTACTACCTAACAACAAGCCACTCAGTCACAATCAGCACTTACTGTAACTGAAACAAACTGCAGAGACTTTAGACCATGAATGTCACAAAACTCAACTGTATCCATAAACATGATGATAACCACTAAGGGGGTGTCCTGGGTGTACAGCACATACAACGCAACTGCGACGGGATCTTTGTCGCATGTCGTTTCTGTCCCTTTCCATTTTAAAATGTCAAACTAAAATGTCCACAATATTTTAACTACAAAAGCGTCTGGGCTGAGACAAATAGGATATACCAGGATTGTTTACATAATAACAATTTACCTGAAGGCCATATATATCCACATATATAGTCAAACATAAATGTTTATCACAGTAAATCTAAGGCCCCATCCACACTACTCTGTTTTAGTTTACAAACGGAGAATTAAAACAAATACGATCTCCGTCCACACCAGCGTTTTAGCTGCATTTTGGAGTTGATCTCCGTCTACATGAAAACGACTGTAAACGCACATCTACTGGCTGTTCAGGTACACTGGCCATGCGCGTGCCGGTGTAAACATGAAGCAGATAATCTCTTCCTGGTTACAGAAGATTTGGCGAAAGAAAAAATAAATACAGACGAAGAAGGGTTGTTTTTTTTTTTTGCATGCACCAATAAGGAGCTGGGACTGTTACTGAATGTAAAACAGGAGTGTGGCGGCGGGAAACAGACTGGGAGTTGCAAAGTAAATGCGACATGCATAGTACAAGTGTAGGCAGATGAGTTTTTTGCATTTGGTACAGAATATTTTAATAAAAATATGATGTCAAAAACCCGGTCAGCAGCATTGTGTTTCTGCTTTGCATGACTTCTAAGACCCAATAAGACAGCTGAGCGTGAGCGGCTGTGTCATCGTTTCTAATGTCCTCCGTTTTGGCCCGTCTTCACTAAAACGCCCTCCGGAGTTTTGAAACGCAAAACGGGGTCGGCAGCGTTTCTAAACTTCTCCGTTGTAGGTCTTTGTTTTCACCATTGTAGTCTGGACGGGAGGTGCAAACGTAGCAAAAGGTCTCCGTTTTAATTCGATAACGCAGTACTGTGGATGGGGCCTAAGACAGTCAACCAATTCATTCCTCAGTTTAAAAGCATATAATTAATTACCTTTAGCGCCCCTTTAGTATGTAACCCCCTTAAATTGCTTTTGTGCTTACATGGTTGTGTTTATCAATAGAAAATGTGTTATTATTTTATGGTGCCTCATCGTACTTTATCGAGTAAAGCAATCTAAAAAATTTGGTTACACCAAATTACATTTAATTCACTGTCCTATTCCATAGGTTAATGAGTCTTTTACCTCAATCACGTTGGGTAAAGTTAATACATTTTAACAGTCCTTTGTTATGTAAATAAAATAAATGTATTCTGTTGATATACCGCACTGTCAGTTGGATGTGGATCTGTTAATGAGTTCAATTACCGGGTTTTTGTTTACGTGTGTTTTCTTATCGTACCTCAGGAGTTTTATTGATGCTGTTATTTGGACCAGGTACTATAATCCCTGCATACTGTAGTTTTTGTTGTCCAATTCACTGTGAATCCTGTACAATAAAAGGTGTGTTTTTCTATGGCGCTGTCGTTTCTGACTAAAACAAAAGTAGTAAACACCCACCTGATATTCCGAGAGTGTGAAGGAGGAGACAGAAAGAAGTTCTCAGTTTTTCAACTCAAAATGTAGTAAAACACCTGACAATTCATATTTATCCTGCAAATCCAATATTGCCACAAAGCAGTTCTGTTTAATGATTTCCTACAATTGCCTAACAAAAACTTACAGTATTAAAGCAAAAGCTACCTCAGCTTTAACAGGAGTGTAAAATTTCTGTCTAAATCTCTATCATGTCATATCTTCATGCCGCTCAACCCCACTCAAGTGTAAAACTCTGTGACAGCTAACTATTCTAATGAATTATAATTTAAGCTACAATCACACAGGAAACAGAGAAACTACACTGCTTAAATGAGTGAAATGAAAGCAACTGGGTTTAGGAGTATGACACATTTTATAGTAAATCTGAGTAACAACTTAAAAAAATTTGCTTTAGTTGTAAAAAAGGATTTGAAACGCCACAGATGGGCATGTAATGTGATTTTGTGCCACTCTTCTTTTTCTTCTAGGGATTTCTTAAAAAGTGTCTTAATTAATTGCAACAGCAAGTCTACAGGGCCAATTCTACCACCAAACTTAGTACACAGGGCTTGTAAAACATGTCGATTTGAAAGCACCTCATAACCAGCAATACTGCTCATACTTAATAGTATTACACATAGCATTTCAACAGAAAACCAGGGAAGTGAGCCACTTCTCTTTCTTCAAAGTATTTCTTTATTTAGAGGGCAGTAATACCCTCAGTTGACGTCAAGCCTCTTCCAGTAATGAAGGATACTTTGATGTAAAGTATGTGATATCATTTCCCTTTAACATGTTTTCACTCACACCATGTATAGTTAAAGACACACACATACCCACACTAGACAACAGCTATTGTATGTGAAACAGTGACCATGTTGAGGTCATTCAACTACAGCATTCCTGTGGTTTAGTGAGTAACCAGATACGGAATAAGATGACACATTGTTGAAATAACAAATGTTTCTACTACAACCAAGAGTCAGACAGCACTTTAAGTGCCCCCCCCCCCCCAAATAACTTACAAAATGACAATGAGCTCAACTACACAGAACAACCTTCTTGAACAGACTTTTGGCTACTGAAGATAGAACAGTGGCAACAAACCCTTTTAGGAAGTGTTGAAATAGATAGAGATAACACACTTGTGGTGGCCGACAAGAGTTTAAAAACCAGAAGACATAACCATCAATGTGTCTCTAAAGGACTAGTTACTGGAATAGGGTCCACCATGCTAACACATTTTCACTATGGAGAGCAGTGGCAGAAGAAATGCCAAAACCAGCATGTTGACTAGTTTGTTGAGTAGTCTCCACCTTTCTCTGTTAACTTATTAGCTCATTTCCCTTGTCAAAGTCATGATAAATCTCCTTTTACACAGTACAATTTTGCGCCTCTCATGTAACTTTAACCGCCGTTTTTACACTGGAGACATTTGGGAGTCAAGTAAGATTCATGCTAACTTTACCGTTAGCTAACCGCTAAATAGTTTCTCTTAGATAGGTTTTTAAAAACCCGGGTTGTCAACAGACAACACTTACCGCCGTTTTGAAGACATTTTCACATTCCTAAAACACTCTTCTGCGATTAACAGGAGGGATATCGCCCGTTGCAGTTTTTTAACAAGATGCTGGGATTTCTTAACCTAAACAAAGATGGCAGCCGGAAGTGACACACAGCGCGGACTTCTTTACTTCCCTTTAAGCAAATGCAGGGGGGAAAAACATATATATTGCATATTTTAAAATGTATATTTAACAAGACATTTTTAATTCATTGCAGAGATAATTATATAGAGTGTTACTATATTAATCATATTAATTTTTTACCAATTAGGGTAATGCAAGCAACAATTTGTCACTTCCAGCTACAATCTTTGTTTGGTTGAAACATAAATTTAGCGACTTAAAAAAACAGGTTAAAAAATATGCCAGCTGAACATCTGTCACCCCTGCTAAGTAGTGACTTGTGCAATCTGGGAATGTTCAAAACAGCAATAACTGTTAAAAGCTGGCGCTGTCTGTTAAATTTTGGCTTGTCCTTTAGACAAGCTGATGTTGTGCTGCAGCTGCTACATTTTTTGTTCTCCATAACAGACCATAATGGACTGCATTTAAAATACCAGTGAGAAGCAGAAGCTTTGTGGTAAGTTCCCAAGTAAGAATGCTTACATTGTGGTTGGACTATTCGCAATTTACTGGGAATCAACTAGGAGGTCTCTTTTTAAGTGCTGTGCAGGTTTATTTCATGTGAATATGATTTGATATGGTAAATTCCTTTATATTTGCCTCATTTCATTTACACAGTATTCACACCCCAATGGTCAAAACAAAACTGGGCCAAGCTGGTTTAAAGAGTAGCATTCCCATTCTCACTCAATTCATTATTGACCAAATATTACATTCCTCAACAGTTCAACAGTCAGGTTAAAGACAGAGAGTACACGCATATAATGATTTCACAGTTACACAGAACAAAAAATGTAAGTTAATCAGGACTTCAAAAGTTTTAAGACTGGGATGTTTTTTGGGCACACAAGTTTTTATAATTCTTTACTTACAGCAGTTCTTAGGTATCGCTTGTTTCTTGGGTAAGTTTTTTTTTTAAATACTTGGCATAGAAATAACTGGATGGCTATTGTGTAACTTCATAGGAAAAAAAGGTAGTTCATCAAATATGGTCCATATGAGTCCAGATAGAAGCATTTGTCAGCAGTACGGGGTTCACAAACCACTGTTGAAGAAACGCAGATGTCCAGTACAAATGCAATGTAACTGTTCAGAAAGATAGTTCACATAGTTCACACCTGATATCTTATCATTTTCTATCATGTATCCAATATGTTCAAGAAGGACCTGCATAGGCCACTGCAAAGGGTTTGATATCGTGATGGTCCTATAGTCCTGTGTTAGCTTTACCTTAGCTGTTTCAGTGCGGTTGAAACACTAAACAAAACTTCCTTCTTAAATGTCTGTCTGTAATGGCCTGTGAGGTCAGGTCAACCACAGTCTTCACATTTCAACATCAATAATCACCAAATTTCTGAACACATCTGAACTTCACACTTTCAATCTACTTCAAAGGAGATATGGGTTATTTTCTTGATAAGCAGGAGGCAACACGGTATCGTTATAGAATGATTTTTATATTATGTAACTGTGTGTTTCTAACATCAGTTCAGGAGGAGGAGAGGTTTTCATCGCCTCCCGGTGGTGCCGGCACCACTACTGCGGTTAAGGTTACGGCTGAGCTGAGGGAAGTGAACTGTCGGTGTTCTGGATGTAGGACCATAGAGACCAAGATTTCTCGCTGCTGCTGATTTCCTAGGCTGCTTCACGCTCGGGAACGGGGAAAAGACCTGCTGTTTAGGAGTGAAGGTGCCGGTGGACGAGAGTGCTGGGGTTGACGGCGAGGAGGACATATTAGATCTGGATGATGAGGAGATTGATGAAAGTGAGGGAGTGGAGGGGGAGGAAGTTTTGTAAAAGGTAGAGGATGCGGGAAGAGTGAGAGAGGATAGGCCATTAACTGAAGGAGCTGATGGAAGGGGTGCTGTTGGGGTGGAGGGTGGTTTAGGAGAGGAAAAGCATGAGGGACCGAGAGAAGCTGATGTAGGGACTGGAGACGGGGACGGACTCAGGGTGGAGGGTGAGGAAGGGATCTTAAAAGAGTGGTGAGATGGAGGTAATGCGATGGAGGGAAAGTGTCTGTCAGAGGCAGTGTTTCTTTCTGAACCTGAGGAATCAGACTCTTTATGTCTGTTTGAGGACGGCGGAGGAGGGAGAAGAGGGACTTGGGGTACAGGTTTAGACTCTGGTAGTGTGGGTTGTGTATCTGGGTTTGCGTTATTGGGGGAGGTCAGATTAGATTTGTCCTCTAGATCCAGGGAGTCCAGTTGCACCACAACATCTGCAACTTCTGCTTCTTTCATCTCATCTGCAACCTGTGGCACCTCTTCACATACTGACCCTGTTCCCAAGGGATCAGGAGACGGATACATGGAGGAGACACTTCCCTCATTCTGCTCCTCATCATCCATCTCATTTTCCTCAACCTTCCTCTCCTCTTCACCCTCCAATCCTGATCCCCCTTCTTTTTCCTCCACTCCATCTTCCCTTTCCTCTGAATCTCCAAAGCCCAGCTGTGCTCGCGCCCTGGCTATATTCCTTCGATGTACCCGGACATGAGCTCGCCAGGGAGACCCCGCACCTCCTGCAGAGCTCCCTGGAGATCCAGTACTGTTGGAAATCAGCGAGCTACAGCGCTGCCTGGCTGGGGAGCCCTGACTCTGGGAAAGAGAAGTAGGTCGGCAGCCTGGTAGTGTAGATGTGCTAGTGGATGTGAGTCTGGAGCCTCCTCTGCGTGGTTTATTACCCAGAAGGAGGTGGTTGATTACTGAGCTAGAAGGGTTGAGTTGGGAGGCCAGGACACGGGTGGCGGGGCACTTGTCTGGAGGGATGGTGAAAGGTAAAGGGACAGAGACAAAACCACATTAAAACAGACTTCCAATAGATCCTAGATCCAGGTCATAGCGTGAGCAGTGTCTTAGCATTTAACAATGAGGCTAGAAAATCTTATTTGAGATAGTCATTTCAGGACTGTAGGTGAATTGTATAATACATTTTTGACCATTAGAACTTTTTTAAAGTGAGTCCTACTAAGATAGATTTGTTTTGAACTGAGGTTATCTGAAATGAGGTGTTTCCAACCACGCTGTACCTTTAAGAGCTCCATTAACCTGACTACAGTAACTACTCAATACCATACCTTATATCACATTTAAACAAGATACTAGATTTAACTGGTACATTATACATGATAAATTTTGTATTTAGATAACAGTTTAAATTATTGGTTTTCCCATAAAATCTCTAAGGTCTGCAAGTAAGGATTCTTTATCTTTATCAATTATCTTGTATTATTTTTAATTATGAATCAATTATTCTATGAATATCAAAATATGGAGAAATGTTAAAAAATAATGTATTTGATTCAACATTAAAAAACCCAATATATTAAATTCACAGTGATGTGAAATCAAATTTGAGAAGTTGTAACCGGCAGTTATTTTAATAAATAACTGTATACCAAAAAATTGTCAGATTGCATTTGATTGACAGATTAAATAATTGTATCAGTATTACAGTCACCACAGAGCCATTTCTGTGTGATCATGCAGATGTAACATCTGTGTCGCATTTAGAAACACAGTCAGCTGTTCAGAGCAGCTGTTGCCAAAAGCTTAGGGCCTCCATCAGACACCAGAGGGCGTCCAAAGATTTTTTTTCTTTTTTTCCTCTGATGGATTTATCTACCAGGCCTCTCATAGAAGGAGACATACCGTATTTTGAACTACTGTCCAAATGAAAATTAAAATCTCTCATATTATATAAACACGCGCAGTAATATAGAGTATTTTGGCCTGTTTTCCAATGTCAGTAAACTATGTTAATGTAAACCTAAAAGCTGATTACTGAGCTTTACACAGTGTGTTCATATGAGTGATGATTAGCGTGGAAAGAGAGGGGTGAGTTTGTTAGAGTGTGTGCGTGCAGATGTTTAAATCTGAAAGGGAAAAAACATTAAATCTCACTGTAATACTGTTATACAAGCTTCACAAATCATATGTTAGCATGTGATGGGAGGAGCAACACATAGAAGGAATTAGAGGTTGTTAACAACAGGTTAGTGACAGGAGTTTGCCCAAATCAGAAAAAAACCTCCAGCATACACCCAAAAAAAACATGGATCATTCGCGATATCCAGTATAATTGGAGACACCTGTCACCACTGAAGACATCTTCAGCGTTTTATTAAATTAAACATAAGCTGATTCTCTACAGAATGATCAGTGCATTAAAAGATTTGTCATTTTTATAACTGGAACATGATGAAAATGACTGACATTAGCATATTAACTGTATCTGATGGACCTGTCTTTTGTACTGTATAGTGACAAGTGTCTCCAAATAAATATTTTACCATATAAAACCATCACCAGTTGTCCCAGCTACAGTATTCCCCACTGCATACCAAATGTGTTAAGTTAAATTAAATCAGCGCTCTCTAAATGCCAGTCAGAGGCTACAGTACTCATCTTATTTGATAACTGTTAAATAGAACAAATCTATCTGAACATTTTCATGATTTCAATGTAGAGTTACTCTACATTTAAAACTGTTTGCTCAGAACAATGCTCAACACTGCAGCTATCTTTGCTCTTTTGAAAAAATGAATCATACGTGTATGCACCAGCATTTTGAGAGCATAGAAAACCCTGAGTTATTCTGAGAGTGTTTAGTTACACAACCTGCAAAGGATTCAGTATTTTTGAGCCAGAAGTTCACTCATCCGATTTCCAATGTTTCCCCCCCCCCAGTGGGTTTCTCTTCAGTGTATCAACAAACTAACAAAAATTAGTTTTTTTTCTGCCACATTCATGCCAGTAAAGCATACTGAATTAATTTGAATTGAAAATATACCTGTTTACAATCGCACATAAAATTATTTAACTGTACAATGTTTGCTACGGACTAACTTGTGAAAATCTATTTTTTTGATTGCAAGAAACTTTATTTTCTTACTTTATCATAAACACAATGAAAAACATCAATTGGAAATCTGCCTTGAGAATGACAGACTTATGATTTGGTCTCCGAAAAGATTTCATGTACTCTACTATCCTCCTTAAAATCATTCAATTACTGTTATTTAATTGTGAATGAATCATTCAAGACCCTCAGATCAGCCCCAGAAAACCCAGTTTCAGATGACCCGTTGGGTCTGACACTAGTACCGTCAGTATGGTGGTCGATACTGTTGTTGTGTTTGTTGGGCTGCTCCTGAGGAACTCCTGCACTTGTGGCCACTTCAGGTCCAGGTCCTGCGAGTCACACATCATCGTCAAACATCCAATTCTGCTGCGCGCATGCATTTCTGTCTTTTTACCCAGTTAGAACCTAATCAGTGTTTGTTTCGCAATGCCTTACCCGGCGCTTTTGTTTTAATAAAGACTTGGACATTAACTTCCCCTTTCTGCAAACAGCATGTTAGTGTTAAAGCAAGTACTGAAGTTATTTCTATGGCCATGGCAGGGACGCTGGAAGTCAGTCACAGTTGGGGTGCTGAGGGGTCAATATATAATGACATGTATGTTTTTAATATTAATTTGAATGGCAATTTAACTCCCAAGGATGATTTTTCTAAATAAAATTGAATATTTTTGTTCTAAAATAAGAACTTTGTATGTTTTTATGAACAATAAAATCACTGTACCTGTCACCTACAAGGAAGCTGAGTTACTACATCCTAAAGAAGTTGTTTCCAAGGGATTTTACCACATTATAGGAAATTTTTCTCCTGGCACCCCCACTCCATTTTAATGCGTATTGCTTATTTATTGTGGTTAGGGCACTTTGGGAACCACTGTCCTAAAGCACTAGACAGTTATCTAATGACATTAATGTTGAAAACAATGAACAGAATAAGCAGTTATAGGTTAATAGTAAAAACAAAACAGTGGGAACTGACAGTGGCGGATGAAGTTATGATTATTACCCTTCCCCTCACCTGTGCGAATGTAGATTTGCATAGCCTGTTGCTGCTGCCGCCTTTTGATTCGTGTGTATTGCTTCTTCAGGGCGTAGATGTCGGTGCTCATTCTCTCCATCATCATGCTGTTGATTGCTGCTTGATGCTCTGCCTTGGCACCTCCTCCTCCTGCCCCCCCAGCTCCCACCGCTCCTGGGCTCAGCTCTGCGATGTTTCCTTGCTCTGCTCGCTGGTCTGGAGGTGGAAACAAGAAGAAACACCGATCAGGTCTCATATAATGTTCTGCACCACTCTTCTTCTACTTTCATTATGTTTTTACCTTGACCTTATTTCTACTTGTTTTTTTCATGACTGTGATTGTGGCTTTCAGACGCTAAGACTGACAGAAGAAATCAAGAGATTCAAAGATTAGAGTAAAGGGCTTTGGTTCAAAAATCAGAATGAAGCATTCCAGCAAAAAACACAAATCAGACAAAATCCAATGTGCCTTTTAAGCTTCTTTTCTTACTTATTTGTTCACCCAGTTCTGCTTTTATCCCCTTTAATCAAGAAAAGCTGACCACTCGAGACACAAAAACTAAGTGCCACATATAAAAGCCTCTTGATGCTATCAGGGGAATATGGCAACAGAATTCGGGGAGTCTATATTGTATTTATTTTATATTTAAAAGACCATGACTGCGACAGTGCATTCAGTCTGAAGTTAAATTTTTCAAAAGACTTTGGATCTGGATGAAAACAGACCAGCAAGCTGAGTCAGTCCAACCTGTTTTGTCCCCCGCTGATGGCATCATAAACAATATGCTTTTACACAAAAGCAGCCTTTGAAGACGAGGTAAAAGTGCATTTTGTTGAGACATGTCTGACATTTTCTTCACTGAATTAGTCCTTTTTCTCTTTAGCTTTACAGGAAAGGTCAGTGTGTTTTTTTATCACTCTCAGCAGCTCTTCCTCCTTTTGTGTTGCAAAGACCAAATCCAAGCCAGCAGCACAAAATGTAAATTGTACTGTAGAGGCCTGTAGCAGCTGGTTTAGTTTGTTTGCTGTAATTACACTGTTGTCTCAGAATGATTTATTGATGTTCATTTGCTCTCTTAAGAATGAGCCAATGTTTCCCTTTTGAATCAGGTCAAATCCATTTGTACTGAGATCTACTTAAGAGGTTAAAAGAAACACTAATTTTTATCTTAAGTCATTTTTAAATCTCTCTGGAGAGTGACGACTACTGCTTCAGATCTTAACTAGGTTTTTAACTAAATACCTCAGGCTGTTTGCCTTTTTTTCCTCCATCTTTGGAAGAGCTGTTGATGGAGGAGGACGTGGGAATGTGTCTGGAGGAAACAGATCAGAGAGAGTTTGTATTTTGAGTGAAATCGGGGGCAGAACATGAGGATTTGGGACCGTAGTTTGTCTTGAGCCACTTGGCTGCTTCTTCTGTACCGTCTCCACTGGCTGCCTTTGAAATCCTGTGTAGTAATCTATAGGGCTGCACTGACCTTTAAGATGTTTCTGGTATCTCTGCAGCTCGGGGGCCAGTAGGCCACCCAGGGGACCCAGGCAACCGAGTGCCGTCACCATAGAGTCTTCATCATCCATGTCAGCATCGTCATCGCTCTCCCAGCTTCCCAGACCACCACTAGCATAAGATAATAACCTCATCACCACTACTGCAACTACAACATGTTCTAATCACCACCGTTACACACCCACGTAAACTACTTTTTTTTTTCTTTCACTATAAAACAATTTGGGGACAGCTTTTGCTTCCTAGAAAATGTCGTAAAAGTCATGTTTTGCTTTGAATTTTCAGTTTACTTTAATATTTACATCCAGTGTTACTGAAATAAAACCACCATAACCTGTGGAGAGCTGGCTAAAGTTCAGGGCAGTATGTTAGTGAAACCAAATAAGTGGAGTGTTTTACACAATGCTTTTAAAATATATCCTTTAGAACAAACCTTCCATTGGATTTGACTGAGGTAGGGAACGGAGTGATGTTGTAGGTGTATTTCTCTCTCAGTTCAGCCAGTTGAGGGAAAGGAAACACCGCTATGGAGTAAACCTCCTGGTAGACGGAGAGGAGGGAGGAGTAACAGCACACATATTCATTTAAAAACATCACTGAAGAGGTTAAAAAGGTGCGAGTGGTTTTTTTAATCCTGTACCTGCATGAGTTCGGTAGGATCAATGAGGTTGCACTCCAGCATCTCCTGAGTGAGACACCCCATCGTGCTGTAAAACTCATCTGCTGTCTGACAGTATTCAATCCTCCTGGACAGAGACAAGAGTGAGGAAGACAGGCAGCGTTTATAAGGTGGTACAATGGAGACAGAAGGTGAGGACGAGACAATTAAAAATCAGGAAGCAAAAATCAAGACGGAAGAACACAGAGAGGAGGGAGGATGATGTACAGACATAAATATGCACATTGTAGATATTCATATTTAGTTTTCACATTAGGGTTACCCTGACATGTCACTGATTAAAAATCTGTTCCATTCAATGTCATCCACATCTATGACATAATATAATACAAATCAGGGCTGAACGATTAATCTAATCGCAATCGCGATAAAGTTGTCATGTGCAATTATATAACTGCAAAAAATGTGCGATTTAATAAAACAGAAAAGGTGTGGGAGACACTCTCTTCTCTGTGTGCGCTGCAGTCTGCTCTTTATCTCCGCCCACACCGGGCTCTTGCCTGTGGCTCTAAACAAACATATGGGTCTATGTGCAATCAGAAAAATGATTCATGAGCAGCGTGCGATTTTTACAACGTATCGTAACCCCCTCACACACACACACATTTCAAAATGTCAGTATTTTGTTCATTTTCCTTGATAATAAAGCAAGTCGACTCATATTACCATTTGTTCCATTATAATCGAATTGCTATATTGCCCACAATAATCGCAATATGACTTTTTCTCCAAATTGTGCAGCCCTAATACAAATTAATTATATTCTTTATTTAAGTCATTACCATTAAATGTAATTATAGTTGTAGTTTTATCATTGTTCTAGGTTTCAGTGGAATTTTTTTGTGTCTCTTGCCAAATTTGGTTACAGGGCTTTTTTCACAATTTTAAATGTTTGAGCACAAAAACTAGCAATTCGCACATTTGGACACGCAAATCAAAAATTTTACACAAGTCAAATCCTTATTTCAGTAAGTAATGGTCCACTCACTCTCCCAGTCTCTCCCAGATGGCGAGGGCGACCCGAAACAGCACCTCTGAACCCTCGAAGAAAACAGAGTCCCAGATCTTCAGCACGGTGGGCGCCGGCAGGCAGGTGGCGAACATAGTGAGGAACCACTGCATAGTGAACACGTTGGTCAGCGGAGGCTCGTAGCTGCCTGAGAGAAAACAGACTTGTTATTTGAGACGTCAGGTAAGTTATTCGTACAAACACACCTTGATATTATGGCACAGAGATATGAAAGTTCTTTTATCCTCTATGCAGAAAGGCAAAATAAGCTAATGACTTACAGACGATGCCATTTTCTTAAATTTATGCTCACATTAACACCAGCATAATTCAATAGTTAAAGCAGGGTCAGGTAACTTTGCATGCTGTTGGCACAGAATATTTATACCAGGTAGCATTTTTGTAAGCGTTGACACAAACACAGATTTATACCTCCAGCTTCTCGGTTGGCAACTTTCTGAAGGTGGTGGAGATGCTGAGACAGTCTCGGCAGCTTTAGACGTAGCAGGTCTCTGAACACCGCCATGTCCACTGACAGAAGGAGACATTAGACATTAGAAAGCTGTCAATATGACAAAAGTCAGATGGTATCAATCAAATCTGAAATTGAATGATACAGAAGTTTCATTGTCATTTTAATTGACGCTGTAAATGTTTAAATGTCTATTTTTTATCAAAATAAATTATCTTTTCCCCACAACTACCTCCTGAATCCCAAACTAAAACAATTATTTTATAAATTGATTGACTGCTGATTATTTATTTGATAATAATGTAATGATAATGTGAATAATATTTAGCACTACAAAATGTCAGAAAATAGTGAATAAGTCAAGCGTTGACACATCTGAATTGCTTGTTTTGCCCAATCAACTGTCCAAAACCCTAATTTATTAAATTTATTCAAAGAGAAGACTAAGAAAACCACTAAAAAAACAGTCACATCTCAGAAGCTGGAACAAGTGAACGTTTTGGCATTCTTGCTTAAATAATGCATGTTAAAATGATCAATTATCATAATTGTTCCACATTCATTTTCTGGCTAACCAACTAATGAGTGGAGTCATTTTTTAGAGGATATTTGTGCCCTCATCACTCAGTATCCTAACAAGAATGACCTGACTCTAATATATCCGCAGTGTAGAGACTACATATGTTACTGATAATGACTATAATAAATTCTGTACTTTTTTTGTACAATATTATGGAACTCTTGTAGTTTATATAGGTATAACATTTTGTACCATCTTCATCTTCTTGAATCAGCCTGTATGTGTGACACAGTATTTACCTGACAATGCTCGCAGGTTGTTGGCAAAATAACTATCGGGCAGCACTTTGTCAATCAGATAGATCATCACCTGCATAAAGAAGAGCAGAAAATGACAGGTTCAGTAAAGTGATTAGTTATTATTTAAAGAGCATAAATCAACACTGAAACTCCACCAGGAAGTCACCGTTTCTTTTCACTGTTCATACAGCATAAATTAAATTTAAGCATGAGGCCTTATCTTACAAATCAGCATTCATTTTCTCTGTCTCAGCATCTTAATAAGATCAATGTGCGTTTACCTTAAGTGCATCACTCTCATTGCCCTCTGTAACTTCCAGTATGAGTGCAGCCAGTACGTTGAATCCTTGGCAGTAACCCACAGTTTTATTCCAGCGGGCATATGCGAGCAGCACCCTCTTCAGCACCACCCTGTCCTGCTCCCCCTCCTGGCCACAGTAAGAACTGCAGCCGGTCCTATGTAGGTCCTGGACGTTAGAAGACATGTACAGTTTGGATTACTGTATTATAGGTCAGTGCAGTAACTGGATAGAGGGGTCATGCATTTAAGACCGAGACAGTGACGAGAAGACAAACACAGATAAGTCAATAATCAGACTTTGCCCTGTTGATGGAAACAGCCATTACTCTGAGTCACTGAGAAAGAGAAAAGAGCTGCAGGGTTTCCATGATGTAGTAATCCCGTTCTCTGACGCACGACCATAAGTAAACATCCTCTACCAGAAACTGCTTTTCACAGTCACATCAACTTTCAAAACACATATTGTTTGTTTTGTTTGTTAGAATACACTTACACTCAGTAGGATCAATGATTGCTATTGAATCTGAAAAGATATTTTTTGTGCCCATCTTTGATGCAAATTATCACTACTGTGCAGTTCCTGGAGGTCACTGTTCAATAAAATTGCTCAGCATAGCTCATCAGGTTCAGACTGTTGTGTGAAATAGCTTGAGTCTTTAGTTGAAATGAAACCATCTTATTCTTGGACCTCACATAGTGGTTTGTGCCAGAACACTTAGACCAATATTCTAGGATCACATATGACTATTAAAATTGTCTGTGTCTGTCAAAATATTCTGCACTCAAGATCCATTTCAAGGCTTTTCTAGAGCTTTGTTCAGTCGTCATATTTTTCTTATGAAGACTCTGAGATATGGTTGAAAGTTCAGATAAAAACTAGTGTGTGGACCAAGTTCAAGAAAATCAAAATATATATTTCTTTCTTTCGTATAATTTCTTAATCATAAACCTACAGGTCAACAACCACATTTCTGACATTAAGTATACTGTTAATTATGTGTTACTTATATGTTAACATAAAAAAATTATACAAATCTGATAAAGCCTCTGCAGCTAGGAAAAAGTGAGTAACCTCAGGTGAAAATCCTACATAAGGAACTAACAAAACCATGGCATATTGATAATGCCTGTGAAAAAGGCAAACTGGTTCTAATACTAAACTTTGATTAGATTCAAGACCAGTGCGCATGAATGTTTGTCATTAAGTCGAGAAATTGTTCTATTTGCTAATTGTTTTTTCTTCGCTGACAAAACTACAATTCTGGATGAAGACATTGGATATTTTTTATATATATAGTGGATTAAACTGCGAAGATATCAGCAGTTTATTTGCAAACCATGGGCAGCACATTTAAAAAGGACATCCTTATTCAAAGCTACGTACAATACATTACACTAATGATTGTAAAAATACTAATAATAATGATATAATAATAATGTGCTGCAGTACTATCACTTTACTAAAGTATTAACATGTTGCTGAACAATATCTGCATCACACTTCAAAGGACATTTATGCTGTTTCTATCGCTGCTTATCTACCTCTGCATCCTACGGTCTTCACCACTGAGAAAGCTAACTCAGGCCACACACTTTAAAAGCACAAACCCTCTGCATACACACACTGTACACACATTGATCTCACCCCACTCCCAACAGAACAATACGATAGGACTACCTTGACGATTTGGATGCCGAGGGAGTCATCGTCTGGGTTGCTACGCTCGTTAAAGGCAAAACGAAGCGTCTTCTCCCAGTCAATAGAAATACTGTGGAGGTACTGGTCTGCTAGTGTCAGCCAAACCTACAGAGAGATAAAAGCAGCAGATACACAAGGAACCACATTAATTGTAAAATTATATAAACAGCTAAACTAAACTTAGAGAAGAAGAGAACGTTAAATATCAGGACAATTATTCATCTTGATTTACTGTCCCGACTGAGTCATAGGAACAAATATTTAAACTTTCCAGCATATTCTCAGGTTTCTTTTTCCTCGAGCACTTGTGAAAGAGGATCTTTGTTCATAGTGATTCATTTTGTTTTGTAAGATCGGGAAAGAGACAACATTTCATTGTTCTTGTCCTCTGACAAGAACAAAATAATCGCTTGCATTTCCCTGCTCTGTCTTCCCTAGAGACAAGTTATGATGTGAGGTAAATGGAGCGCTGCAGACAAAGTGCCTCTGCATATTGTTCTTTCAGACTACGCAGTCTCTCTCAAGACTGTGGAACTCTGCTTGCAGGTTGACAACAATAACAAAAACAGACTTTTCTTGTAATAGCACAACTCGGTCATCCCTTTATTTTACTAAATACCCTCTGGGTTCAAAACAGAGAAATGCATATGGTCTTATTTATAAAACTGTCTTTTTATATGGAAGATATTTCTGTCTCAAACAGAATTTACACCCAAGCGTTTACGCACACTAAACATGCAACAATTACGAGGTTGCAATGGGGCCACCTAATTTTCATTTCCATTATCTGTGTAGCTCAGTGAACACAGCAAATTACTACATTGCCACTATTGGGGAAAAATAGATAATGTTCCCAACAATGCCATCTGTTATACTTAGTTTAAGTTACATACCCTCTTCCTCCATTCCTTTGGAATTCCAGTAGGGAGCCTAGCCACTGCTTTAAGGGCATCGTACCACTGTGGGGAAGAAAACAGTGTAACGCAGTGGTACAATATTAATAAAAATAGTGCTCAGTATTTTCACAAACACATTTACACAGAACAACAAGAGTTAAAAGAAGCAGTAAAACAGTATTAGACATATTGGAGCTCACACTGAACCAGTGGGTAGGAGCATATTTTCAGAGTGCGTACCTGCTGGAATCCATTCTTTCCCAGTGATGGTTCAATGGTAAACTTCAGCCGTGTGTCAACTCCTACAGAGAGACAGAGACACCTGGTCAAACCAGATCTGGGTGACTAGCACTGTACTGGTCAACATCCCAAAGTTTACAAAATGACTGTAGAGAAGATGTCAGACTGAAATTTTGAAATATCTGTTTAAAATTAAACACAAACCAATTATTATATACTTATTATATTTTACTTTGTATATGTGGATAGTATACTGTGTATAGTGTTTACTGTGTATACTAGGAAACTAGTCCTTCAGGGTGAATCTTATCTAGAAAATAACACAACTCTGAAATAATCAAAGCACGTTGAGAGTGAACACAATGTAAGTATCATATAGTCTGCGTCATTACAATCTTACAATGTTTCATTGATTTGACATATTGCTTCACTAATGCAGGATGTACTGTGATATTGTCACTCAATGAGGAATATTAAGGAGATAATCACATATCATAACACATCTACATGAAATGGCATAAATTAACTTCTAGCCGATCAGATATAATGAATGACCAAAGTTACAACCAGTGACGAGGCAGACAGACACAGAAGGAAATGTATGGCCCCTTAAGCTAATAATTAAATGACTAATATAAAAAAGCAGCATTAACCCCTTTTTATAAAACTTGAATCAAATTCCTCCTATAACTAATAATTCAACACTTTTCAAAATACACAACCCAATATAACTTTGTAAAATGTCACAGAACCACAAACTGCAGCCTTCAAAATATCAATTACGTTGATTTAAACTCCTCAACTTGTTATGACCCTGGGGTCACATCTGTCATTTGTTTTTGTCACACCCTGCCAGCTGTTCTCCTCCTGTGTGTGTGTGTGTGTGTGTGTACATATTGTCTGTACAACTAGCATTTTAAAGTAGGAGTGAGAAGCCCTTTTCTGTTTGAGTACCTTTTTCCTCCTGTTTTTTGTAATAGAAGCCTGGGTTAGAGCTTTATCTTTTCTTTACATTTTGTTTTGGTTTTATTGTGGGCACTGCTCAATCTCTGAATAAATAAAAAAAAGTTGTAATTCCCTTTGTTCTCTGGCCTTGCTTGGGAGTGGGAGAAGTGGGGAGCCACACTTTGTGGCATCCACGAATCAGAATCAGAAGGAGCTTTATTGCCAAGTAGTCTTTTACACATACGAGGAATTTGCTTTGGTGATAAGGTGCTACATGTAGACATACATACGGTTGACATAAATAAATCTAGAAATATATAAATATGGAAAAAAACTGAATGCAAGTCATATAAGAATAATAAAAGAATAGAGAAAAATAATACGCAGAGAAAGAACAACGTCGCAGATATTTACATGTGAATTATTCTGGGTTTGTGTTGTGCAGACGTATTGCAACGGAAGAGAATATTGTGTACATAAATATATAAATTGACAATATAAAAATATAGAACAACAACGATTAACAATTAACAACAAATATGTGCAATGTTCCAGGTTTGTGCATGATATGAAATCAAATAAAATTAAACATTCATATTTGTATTATTTGAAAACATGTATGAAGGCAGGATTATTGCAGAATGGTAATATTAGACTGTCTTAGCTACGTGAACCTAAAGTGTAAAGTGACTATCACAATGTGGATTTTCTTGTTTAATATTAAAGCTAGCTAAGGGGGAATTGATGTATATTCCAAACCAAAAGGTATAAAAAGCTGCTCCTCAGATGCACATGAAAATACAATACCATCTAAATTAAAACAATATACAATCAACATGCAGCCATTGGATTAATGTTTCAAAACTGCCAGTCTATACAGGAAAACCTTTTGACTATGTGGCACTGACTTTATACTGAGAGCGAGTTTGTTCCACATTGTTGGAAACAGTACAAGCATGACCCCCTTTGTCTTGTAAAGTGTTGCTGCAAAACCGTAGGGGTTTAAACCATAAGGGAGTCCAAGTGGCTTAGTTTCTACATAAGATGGCATCAATGGCTGCTTTTGCTGACCCAATAGGCCTACTATAAATGCAATAATGATAATTTAATTTGAAAAAACCGACCACAGGAAGCTCTGTGACTGTTTGTGACCTGTACATTATGCCCCTATGTATATACTTGTATTTAACTTATATTTAACCATTTTTATTATAAGAAAAAATAACATATTTAAGGCTATAGTTCTCATCTGAAATCAGATTTCTGAACAGTTTGCAGCTCTGAGTCGCTGTCCTTTTCCGCGTGGTGCTGAAACCGCGTTTCAATTTCCGCTTCAGTGCAAATCGTGCAGAATCTCTTTGCGCGCACACACAAGCATCTTTAGGGAATATTTAACGACGTGGGATAAACCCCGGCGAGGACCAAACGGAAATGAAACTTTGATCTGAAGTTAAGAGGGAAGGTCCTGACATGTTTCGGCTCTGGGCCGACAGCTCCGACTGCAGCCATTACTCTCCCTTCCGCTCTCCAACAGAGGAGGCTTTACTCGGTCATTTCACCGGCTGCCGATCGCACTTTAAGTACGAACAATGTTTCACTACAATAAAACACCTCTTATGAAAGATAAAATATGTTTAACCTGCATGCTCTGCCTCTGTGGTTTTGTCCTGCGCCATGCTGGAAGAACGCCGCTTTATTCTGCGGATTCCTCTCGGAGCTTTGGGAGAGGATTAACACGGAAAACCCTCCTACTTCCCTGTCACACATTAGACCAACATAACCGACGCACAACTTAACCATGGTTGGCAACATTTTTGTGGTCAGAGGCCACACTCCATCTTAATAGGTGATGTTTAATCTCTCAAGAGATGCAATTAATTGTAATGAATCCAGCTAATATAGAGGGTACTGGAGTAGACCAAAGGAAGGACGGAGAGAAGGAACACAAAGGAATAGAGGGAGCAAAGTATTAAGGAATGAGAGGAAGGAAGGGGAGAAAGAAAGAAAGGAAAGAGAGGAAGGTAGAAAAGGAATGGAGGAGAGTGAAGGGAAAGGAGCAAGGGAGTAAAGGAGGATGGAACGAAGGAAGGACAGAAGCTAAGAAGATGGAGGGTGAACTGTGAACTCTAAATCATTCAAGATGTGCAGCCTTTGGAAACAATGTTATTAAGTATTTAAGTGTTGACATTTAGTTAGAGTACAAATAAATCAACATTAGCAGATAAATATCTGAGAAATGGATGGATAGGTTGTTATCAGTGTTTCAGCAGCTAAACCAGCACAAAATCATAAAATATCACAAAACATGCAATAGCCTATATATGCAACTTTCCTTCCATTCAGTGTTCTTGTCTTTATTTATTTATAACACTAGATGTATGGCTTTAGTTTTCATTAAGCCAAAAAAGCTCTCGTTTGTATTTATTGCACTTTATTGCATCAGTTTGATCATTAAAAAAAAAGTGTATAATATTTCTTTCGTTAACTGCAGAGCAACCGAACATGAGACCAAAACAAGAAGAGGCCAGGAGCCCTGATCAAATCACAGCCCATCAACAGCTAACAAACAGCACTGGTTGGTGTGATGGGTCTCTAAAATCTATTTTTTAAATTACTTGTCAAAAATATATGCATGTCAGCAAAACGTCACTAGAAATCTGACTGTTTTTACTGGCTACATATCTACTGCATCAGGGGTGTCCATCCACAAATAAGAAGCGAAGGTTGGAGTGAGAACTGATATATATCTCTGTATGATACATTATTGGATGTATGAAATCAAACCTGCAACTTATCACCCTGTATGCTCTCATGATTTGATTTTGAACTCTTTGGAGTCAGGTTTAATTCAACTTCTGTTGAAAACTGGTTCATTGACAACTTAACGGGGAAAAAATATTAGATCATTGCTTTGTACATTCATGAAATTTTTTGTATTGTAGCAAAAGAAAGGAATTTAGCAGCTGGTTCAACAGTCGGTTAAAACAAGTTATGCACTTTTTGGGAACAGGCCATAATTACTTTAAAATGTTATTGGTGTTAAAGGCTGACATGAAAATTATGCCTGATACATAATGGTTTGATCCAATATAATATCAATCTAATGTGCTCAAACATATAAATTTCCTGCCACTTTTAGGTGCAGCACAAGATGACACTGACTATAAATCAGAGGAGGCCTGTTTAAGCAGTAAAAAGAAGAGGAAAATGAGATTATTTGAATGAGAACAGTAGGCTGCAGCCACAGGATGAGCAAAATGTGCCCCTATAAAACCATGGGCTTATATATAATTTACAATATTGACCAGAATAAGATCTTCCCATTCATCCCTGCAGGGTACCACTTCCTGATATTGCTTCAAACTAAATGATGAACAATGCCATGCAGCGCTTTTGCCCCATAGACCTATTAAAGAGTGTCTGATCCGGGTCACCTGGCTCTAAGGTGCAGAGCAGCCGGGGCGCACTCCTGGATATCCCGTTCCGTTTCTTCAGGACGTTGCTGATGATGTTACCGACCCCTCCCGATCCCTGCTGCCGCTGCTTCACGCTCGCCCTCGGCCTCCTGCCGGCGGCGGGGAGCCGCTCCTGTCTCATGGGGAATCAAACCGTTCGACCAGTTCAATCACCTCATTTTGTTTTTTGTTCCACTTCAATAATCCTTCCGTTGCCTTCCTCGTTGGTGGAGATGAGCCAGAGACGCAGCTGCTCCTCTAAACGCTCTCCTCCAAGACGTTTAAAATTAATCGATTAAACCGATTGCCGTGTGTCAGATCTCTTCCGGTGATCGCTTCTGTTTCCGACTTATAGGCTATGCCCGGAGAAACGACAGACCTTAACATTCATTATTCAGCGGTAAAGCAAAGGCTCGTTCAAGCGGCTCAAACATCTACATAAAATATGATTTAGAAAATGCCAAAAATAGCGGCTCGGTTCAGGAGGAAGGAACCGTTTCTGCTGCTTGTGGTCGGGAGTGCTGCTGATGCTGCACACCTCCTCATCCTCCTCCGGTTTGGCGTCACCAGGAGGAGGCGCGAGGTTGGAGGGATGCGGTAGGATGGAGAGAGACACGCGGGGAGGAGATAGAGGAGGATGAGGTAATGGTGGAAGCGAGGACAGGAAACGAGAAAGAGAGAACAGCAGTGGGGTTTTTTTTTTGTTTGTTTCCTTCTCTCACTCAATAAATAATCACAACCTGTAAGTAAATATATGCTGAGTGGAAAATCAGACTTAATGGGCTTAGACAGGATCATTATCCAGCAAGCTACTGAATATAAATCAAATTAAAGCTCTACATAAGTCTGTTCAGAGGTGAACACAGTAGAGAGGAGATATAAGAAGCAGGGACATTTTTATTTCCTCATCAGAAACTATACATTAAAAAAAATATATGTGACATGAAAAAGGATCCTACTGCAAAATGAGGTGAGAAAGAATGCATTTATTGTTTTCTTAATAAAATTATAGATTCACAGCTAAATGACGGACTGAGATTTATATACAAATTGTTGGGGACACCTCTGAGGTCAGGTCCTGCAGGCAAAATGATTGCCCTGACTAAATCTGCACCAATCAGAGGAGCAGACATAGAAAAGGATTTAAGGATTAATCATTTAGATTACTATTTAAAAGGAAAAAAGCCCCCAAAATCCCTGGTTGTAGCTTCTCAAAAGTGATTTTTTTTAGTTGTCTTGTGATAGTTGAATACTGAATTTCTGCGCTTGTTCTATCCAATCCACAGCCCAAAACTCTTCTGCTCAAAATGGACTCTGGGAACCTTTAAATCATTTTATAAAACAAACAACTCAAGCAAACTATCAGCAGATTAATCGATAACTATAATAATAGTCAGTTGCTGTTTATTAAAACTGTGTATACTATATGGAAGAGGAGCGCAGCCTTGATTGCTGATAACTTTGTTGTGTCAAGATACCAAATCCCATGCAAAAGATTTTTTGTGAAATTTGGCTAAAATCAGATTCATAAAATAAGTGTCTTGCCAATTCTGATGTTAAAAATTGAATAACTGAGATTTTAAAAAGAGTCACAGCCAAACTCACACTTCTAAAATGGACTAAAATGTTTGACAAGAGAAGATGATTCACCAAAGGGGGGTTAAATATCCTCAGCTCGGGATTCAAATAAGAAATGTTGCCTCAAAAAGATAAAATAAAACATAACTATACTAACCCTGAAATGTAAGACTGCAGTTGGTGATCACACAGCATCAAACACCTTGCTTGAAAAAATGGAGAGCAATTAAAGAAATGACGTTTGCAATCCAAATCGATGATGCACGACATTATGATTCAGTCTTACAGGTGCAGTAAGTGCTTCCTGAACAGAACACACAACCAGTCTTTATGACAGTCTAAATCAATATCTGCTAATAACATAAAATAAGCCCTTGATGATAATGGCCCATAACCAGTAATGCATCATTATAATTTATCTTTTCACCATAGATGTTTCAATTGGATGCTCTAAAAGCTCTAATTCGTTTTCCATCATGAAAATTTAGGCTAACTTACTCGATCTTTACTGTCAAACACAGACACGGAGACCAAAAATTACACCCGAACATTTTGCTAGGAGAGCTAACATAGCATTTGGTTTTACAAAGCAATGTTTAAATCAAGCCTGATGTTGCGTTACACACCATAATCAACTGAAGTTGGTTGTTTAGCGCTTTGTGTGTCACTTGCGAGGTGGAGACTGTTCTAACATGGGAACAAAATCCCAGAGACAGGCAGTCTTTGTAGTTTCAACAGCGGCGATGTTGCCTCGACAGTATGTTCCCTCCTGAGCTTACTCTATAATGCCAGCAGCTGTGTGAAATACTGGCTTTACTAGAACTATTGGCACAATCTGGCCATAAACCTGTGTGTAAATGCCTCCAGCGCTGAAAAACACATGCATTTTATTTGTATACTCTACCTCCTTGTGAGCCATCATGCTGCATGTTGACAGAACAGAACAGTGAACCATCAAAGCAAAATAACCACACAGATGTAGACACACAAATCCCTTCAAATATATTAAAACTTTCTTCATATCTGGAAAGAGTTCAAGAACAATCAACCACAAAAACTGAACCACTCGAAGCACCTGTGGAGAGAATCCTTTCTGTTCATTATGAGAATAAAAGGCTGATTATAAGGCTATTTGTGTGACAGGGTTCATTGTCAAGACATGTCAGCTGGCAATTTCCAAAAAAAATAAAAAATAAAAGTAAAATAATTCCCAAATATGTTGACTGAGAATGAGGCTTAATCCAAAATCTCTTCCCTGGAAAAATTCTCTTTATAAACTACTTCCAAACGTCTCTTACATAACAGAACAGTCTGTTGAATTTAAATTATTTTACATGGTGTTTGGTGTAGAAGGGAACAGAGACTGGGATATGGAAATGAACATACAGAATTCGCCCATACTCATGCAATTTGGGCTATGTCATAGTCCATTATGCAAATTTGAGAGCTATTTTCATACTACATGTGATATGACAACTAGGACATGGGTCATAGTGTACAAACCTACATATCTATAGTGCCTTGCAAATGCATTCGCGCTTCATGAAATGTTGTACTTTTTATTGTGCCTCGAAGCTATTTCCACGTGTTTACGCTAGATCTTCAGCCTGTGATGGTTTGTAAAGCATCTGAAGGTTATCAAAGATATGTCAGATACATAAAACTAAAATAAGGAAGGAATCCATTTAGCTGTGGGCTAAACGGCTCCTTTGAAAATCACGTAACGGTATTATGCCGTTTTTCTATTACCAGTACCAGCTCTACTCGCCTTGACTCGACTCGACTCTATTTGACTCGTCCTCTGTTTTGCAGATAGTACCCTAAGATAGTACCCCTACACATAGACAGTATATAAAGATGGATGACATGACAGCCAAAACATATTGATCGCCCCCCGGTGCCTGGCTGCAGTATAGGTCATAAACCCCCTGTCATGTTAGAGGAGGGGACATGAGCCAAACAAAAGAAATCTAAATCACACATCAAAAACATTTGTCCCAGATATGGTTTAGGTAAGTTAAGTTGTTCTTATCACGCTGATGTATGTTAAAGTGTTTTCTGATAAGTTTAGTTTTAATAAGTTATTTGACGCTATAAAAAGTGAGTTTCATGTAATGCTGAGCAATAAAATAATGATAATTTCTCTATTAAGATATATTTTTGTTGAGGAAAAGGGACTAAAAAAAGATTCTACTTGATTTTACTCATGCATATTTGTTGAAAAAGATTATATTATTATTGTTTTGAATGTCCTTCCTAAGATTAGTGAAGTGATCCACTGTTTGGCATCAAGTGTTTGTTCTGACCGTAAAGAAAAGTTTAAAACCACAATTAACCATCTGGTTTCTTCAACTTTCACTCAGGAGAAGAAAAAAAAAATCAGCTGTTAAAGAAATAGTGATCTGACATTTATCAATATCAAATGATGGGTTTTTTTCCAACATATCGCCCAGCCCTAGTTTCACGTCCCGCTTCAGGTTGTGTCAACCGGGTTTATGGGCAGGTCCTCAACCCTGATCACTACTGCACAGACTCCACCGCCCAGACGTCACCGGCGCAATATGGCAGCGCCCATTTCCAAGATCTTTTGGCTGTGACACGTCCATTTTTATATACAGTCTGATTCCAAAATTGGATTTCAGGAGGAACAAAATTTAAGCAGACCAAACAAACTAATTTGCTTCTACAATAAAAGTAGTAGTTGAAGTTGTGTCATGCTATTTCTTCCTGAGACAATGAAAACTAAGTATAGAAAAGAGGGGGGAAACTAGTGACTCATAAAATGTGTGAATTCAGGCACTCATATGTTTGTGAACTTACCTGATGAAGGTATAGGCTGATAGGAAAGTACAGGCTCCGCAGTTAAAGCTTTTTAGATGTTCATAAATCATTTAAATCATAAGAAGACAGTATTATTATTATTACAGTAATTTCACTACAATTCCAGGCCTCCAAAAGCACCAGTAAATGTCTAGGAATACTAGGTCTGTACAAATAAACAAAATGTTCTGAAAATCACAATATGGCCTACTGCAATTTTCAAATCGCAAGAGGTGGAATATAATAAAATACCATTTTAAATTAAAATTGTCATACTGCAGACATGTCATGGCCTACACATCATATTCTAATGACTTGTTTGGTACAGATCCTTGCAAAATCACACCATAATGATTTAAATATGTTTTTCAGTGAAAATGAGAATAATTATATAAAAATGATCATTCCCTTCAATATCACAAATCATATCGAAATTGCAATATCATTCAAAATAATGAAAGTTAGATATTTTTCTAAATCGTTCAGCCCAAAGGAAAACCTCCTGACAATCTACTTAAGACCTTCTTCTTCTTTAGTATTAAAGCACAGAAAGAACCGTGTATTCTTACGTCGTTTTTGTGAGACAGCCTGAAGGCAAGCTGTTATGATGTCGTAGTTCTTCTGCAGTTTGTGGCAAAGTCGGTCCCGTCTCCTCAGCTGGCGAATCAGCTTGGCCGACTGCAGGCCTGAACGATATTTGACCTCCTGGATGATTGAACGCAGCTCCTCCGGGGCTGAAAAGGCAAAAAGAAAGATACAAAGAAACAACATGTTTAATCAGAGCTGCCATAGCACTGATGTAATGTTTTTTCTAAGGTTTTTCTGTTGTTTTTCCAAAGGGGCCAAACGGTCAAAAAAACTCAAATGAAACTCAAAATCTAGTAAAAAAGTTGAAAAACCTAAATCTAAAATAGAAGCTCTTTTCCCACTCAGATCCACATGAACAAGCTGAAAGGTTCAGGTAAGGTAAGGCTCATGTTCTTTATTTAAAGTTTCTATGAAGTGCAAATAGCCCTGTATTTGTATGATAGATAACCTGTTTCAGATTCACAGCATTCATTCAGGTCTAAACCATGATGTTTTCTAAATAAAGCTTCTTGATATAGTTTAAAAGAACACGTGATGTTTGCACTTGACTGTCAGATCAGAATATCACAGTCAATTTGTCTGTTTTCCAAGCTGCAGGCAAAATGAAAACCAGAATAAACACACACACTCCCCTCCCACTTATAGAGACAAAACATTTTAGGTTGAAGAAAAAGATTTTCATCTGAAGGCGACACAGATCAGAGGCATAAACAGACCTGTGGGACAGAGTTCACCACTGTGTTTGTTATTTTATTTTGCATGTGTGTAAAATAAAAAAGGCTCAGTGTTCAAATTATGGTGAAATTTTAAGCTGTTTAAATTTTTTTCTGGGACAACTTAACTCAAACCAGTAATAACAATAACAAAAACAACAACTTCTGCTACAAATGAGGCAGTCTGGCATGATGAAAACAAATATTATCTCTCTGTATTTTAAGTTAAAATGACAATGTCGGCCCCTATTTTCACATAGTTTGGGGTCAAAAAGACTAGTAGGTACAAAAGGTTTTGGAATATGTGCAGTAGCTGGCTGCAGCCGGTAGCTACGACCCAGCTGCAGTGGCTGCAACGTATTCTTTCGAGGGAAATTGCGCCCATCAAAACTACATCCACAAGAAGTACTTCTTTTTGACACCGACATGCTCAGACTGTTATACCAGGTTCCTGACAACATCTTGGAAAGGATCCCTACGAGTGACTCCTGGTAACACCCACAAGAAACAAAAGTCTCGCAATGAAAGTTAAAGCTATGAAATATCGTGAGAGTTATTGTAGGAAATGCCGGAGGAAACATGAGTCAGAGCGGGAGAAAGGAGTTTGTTGTGTACTTAGAAGACCTGCTTATTTGTGAACAACAAACTCCTCTCTCCCACTCTGACTCATGTTTCCACTGTTCCACTGTCTTCCTGCAACAACTCGTCCTTGATACGTGGCAATGGCACAATGGATAACACTATGCCTTTGGTGTGAGAGACCCGGGTTCAATCCCCCACTGTGACCCATCCACCACTATGTCCCTGAGCAAGACGCTTAATTCCGTAGTTGCTCCAGAGGCGTCCAACCTTTGACATGTATAGCAATTGTAAGTCGCTTTGGATAAAAGCGTCAGCTAAATGAGTAAATGTAAATGATACGTGGTAAGGGAGTTAAATATACAAAAATAAACAATCTGCCCAAGCACTCACTTTGCATGGGCATTTCTCATAATCTTAAAGTTTAATAAAGATTAAACAAAGAACCAACTATTTCAAACAAATGACAGATTATTCAATAATAAAAATAGTCACTGTTGCATTTCAATATTATCATCTTCCTTAGAAGTTTTCATATTACAGCTCTTCCATCCAGAGGTCAAAGGTCATGGTCAACTACAGACAGGGCCCATTTGGTGGCAGGATCTCCCTCAGGGACACTTCAGCAACGTAAGAAGCTTCCTTTTATATTATATCACACTGCTGAACCGGTCACATACCAAAGGAGACCTAAAGGTCGTCGAATTGGTCATTAATCCCTGACTAAACACATTAGAAGTATTCACATGTTTAAGCTTTGAGGTATTATCGTTATCGTTTCCTCTCCCTGAGTGGCAGCCCTCTGCACTGTTTAACTTGACCGAGCCTCACATGTGTAGAAAGCAAACACTGAACTCACGGGCCCGGCTGTGTTTACTGTAGGACTCCCCCCTGACAGAGGAAACAATGATGGCGTGGCACTCACAGTAACATGCCTGGCAAGACTCCGAGGCGACGCCGTAGCACACAGTGAGGAGCAGTGAATGAGCTGTCAGCACGCTGAGTGTGTTTGCGCACGTGAGGGTCGTCTCTAGCAGTGAAACTAATCAGTGTGTCTGTTTGTCAGCTTCTCCTGATATCTGATTACAGTGAACCCTTGCAGACACGCCAGCTACATATTTTTTATAAACAAATTACCTAAAAAAGGCACACACCATTTCATTTTCACTCCTACTTTTTGCTGTCTGTCTCTAAGAAAAAAAAACAGTACTGTAACTGTGCATATACATACAGTTTATTAAATTGATTTATGATTTATTACCTCTAGTCATTTCCAACACAAAGTTATTCACAATTAATTAATTATATTTTTTAAGGGATGCAATAGCCCAGGTATCAGCAGATGTCACAAGTGCATAATATTAAAAGTTTCTTTGTCAATATCATAATAAAACTCTAGTATTTCTACTATTGGTACATTTATTCAGTCACAAATCTTTCAACACCACAGCAATTCCTGGTGCAGAATACTGTCCAATTTATCTCTTTAGTGAGATCCACTCAGAGAGGCAGCTGACTTTAAAAACTCAGCAAATATCCTGAGTCTGTATTGGAAGAGAAAATGGTGGATCGTTTCATCATCAATTTTACATCTTTATGATAAACATTTGTATCCGATAAGCAACTTCCTTCAGTTCAGCTGCTACCATAAATGTATTTTGTATATTTTGTATTTTTTTTTTTTTTTTATTCCTGTAGTCACAGCTTTGTTAGTGCATACAACTCCTCTGGCCACAGGAGAGTAAACAAAACCCTCTGTGGTAAATGTGTTGAGGTATTTGAACATCTATGCTGCCTGAACATACAGTATTTATGTGGGTGATGACAGTGTGTCAGCCATGCAGCGGAGGTGCCACCTTTGGTACATCTGCAACATGCTGTTTGTAAGCGGCATATTGTTTGCCAATAGTAAAAAGTGGCAGCCAGTTTCTAATCTCAGCACTACTGCAATCAGTGAACTAAATTAATTCATCATTTTAAATGAAAAAATAGTTTAATTAGTTTCTACAACAGCTGGATTTGTGAAAGCCAAGATGTGGACAACCTTCACTATAATGGATGCCACAGAGCACAGAAACATACAAAGAGGATCATTTGAATCAAGGGCAATTAATATAATGAACTAACAGCACAAAAGTATATCACTTTGCACTTGTATCAGTGTTTGCATAATATATTAATTTCAATTACAATTTTTAAATTATGCCTCACCCATTAGACCAATTTAAAGCTCTGCACTGGGTATTGCTGGTGCAACAGGCTGCTGGTGCACAGTGTAGATGAGTTATAATGCCATAAACCTTTAAGCTGACATGTTTTAATCACCAATATCATATCCTAATACCAGCCCTAAAATCGATTAGTGAAAATCAGCTTAATTTATTTGTTTAATTATAACAGCCAGGCCTTTACAAATAATCAACGCCCCTGAACACAAACACTCCTCACCTTTCTGGGCCAGGTAGTTCATCTGATGCCTCCTTGTGTGCTTCTCCTGGAGCTCCTGGAGGAAGCTGGACCCGGAGTAACTGCGCCCCAGAAAAGCATCAGATCCGGACGCCTCGGTGGAGCTGTCCCAGCTGTCCATATTCCTCGCGCTGCCTCCACTGTACGTCTCATAAAGCTCCACCAACAGACAGTCCACTATGGAAGTCCTCGCAGCTTTAAATCCGTCTCCCTGCGGGTGAGAGTCGCTCTCTCCGGCGGCAGGCGGAGCTCCGTGCTCGCTGAGGACCTGCTGTCCCGGAGGTGATGATGTGTCATTAGGTGACTCAGCGGCGGGGATCCTCCACTGCTGGAAGCCGGAGAAATCATCCTGGAAGGAGGCGACAGTGTTGACAAAAACGCCGCTCTCGTCCTCGGAGCACATGCCGCCGTCGCATATGTCAACTTCCAAAAGTTCATTCCCGTTTAATTTCACCTCCGTCGCCATTTTATTTTCCATTAGTAGCCAACTAGCCCAAATTATCTCCCCGTAGCTGTAATCAGCTGTGAGTTGTCGGTTGCCACTTTTCCGGGCAACATCGGTGAAAAGTTGGAAAGTTTTCTTTGAGCGTCTCGAGGAGGATAGAGTTCCTGGAGCAGTCCATTCCTCTCCTCAGGAAGGTGGAGATCCGTCTGACAGCTTGCGCTTTCCTTCCTGAATGTTCCACATTCGAGCTCCCTGCCTCCCCCTCCGGGACGGAACAATGGATCAGTCCACCGTGCTGAACTTCTCAACGGCTGCTAAACTTTCTTCAGGTCGCGCGACAGGTGCAACAGGCGCACGGAGATGGCGGATTGACCAATCACAGAGGAGCCTAAAGAATCTCGACCAATCCGCTTCCTTGTTTTAGGATGTTTTGTGCGGCTGTAACATTGGCAGCATTTAACAGTATTTCATGTAGAAAACATCCCTAATTTAGGAAATAAGAACTACAAAAACACACTTTAAAAATACTCTGTTAAAAGTCCTTTTCAAGAGTCTGACCTCTGATTGTGACTTTAGTAAAAGTATAATCTAATATTAAAAGTACTCAATGAAGAAAATGGTCAATTAGATTATTATTACTAATGCATTAATGTAAAAGCAGGATTTTACTGTTACAGTTGGTTGAGGTGGAGCTATATTTGAATTGGTTTGTATCAGATTGCAGCTAATGATTATTTTTCATTATAGATTAATCTGCTGATTATCTTCTTCATTAATCGGTTTCTAAAAGAGTCTGAAAATAGTAAGAAATGCCATCACAGTTACCAAGAGCCCAAAGTGACACCTTCACAATGCTTTGTTTTGTTCAACCAAAAGTCCAAAACTCAACATTATTAACAATAATTTTAAATAATTAAATGCAAAAGCAGTATATCCTGACATTTGAGAAGCTTGAACCATGATTTTTTTTTTGACTAAAGAATGTTGCTCGAAATACTAAACTCAAAATAGTTGCCATTTAACTTTCTGTCACTTGACTAATTGATGACTACTTGTCTATTGGGTGTTTTAATTTATATCAAAGCATCACATTTTATAAACTCTTTGTATGTCTTGAATGCAAAAAGCTTGATTTGTAAAGTGTCTAACTTAAGCTGTCAGATAAATAAAAGTAAAAAGTATAATATTTCCCTTTGAATTGTTGTGGAGTAGAAGTAAAAAGTGGAATAAAAAGAAAAGACTTAAGTAATATACATGTACCTCAGATTTGTACTTAAGTAGGCGTATAGTACATTTACTTAGTTAGATTCCACCACCAGAAAACGACAGGATATAACATAAACATATCAATAAACTCAAACTGCAAGGCTCACAGCAGATTTTAGGTAATAAATCTCTAGTTAAATGTGTATTTTAGTATTGGTGGTTTTTAAACACACATTTGTATGCTTGTTGGAAAGCAAGATGAGACAAAAACAAACTTAAAGGTAGAAAACTGCTCGTGTTTGAGTGTTTGAAGTCTACAATTAATGAAAAATAAAACAAAATGCAGTAGACTTTCAATGGACTTGTTCTTCATGATTATAATGAGCACAAAAAGACAAAATACATGTAGTTATTGTTTAAGCCAATACTTTATTTCCTACAATCCCAAACTTGTGCACTGACCCAAATAAAGTACACTAATGCTTACAGTACAACACACATTTGGTTTCCCTTGTTGTTTTAAGCCTACACGCAGAATATGAGTATCAACTGATATTTAAGTATGGCTGACTTAGTTACAAGTAAAAGTCCTGTATTAAAAATGTTACTCACAGGTTACACGCACAGTATTAGCATCAAAACAGAACTTAAAGTACAAAAAGTAAAAATACGCATTATGCAGAATGGAAATATATAGTTAATGATCAATTTAATGTTGCAGCTGGTAAAGGTGGGACTTTTAAATAACTTTATATGCTGCTAGGTAGCTTGTGAATTTATAAACAGCAATAAATAAAAGATAATAATAATGTGTCATAATTATATTTTGTGTCATCAATCTTAAACTGCCACATAACTAGTAACTAAAGCACTCAAATAAATTTAGTGGAGTACAAAGTATAATATTTCCCTCTGAAATGTTATGTAGGCTATAGGCTAATATAAAGTAGCAGAAAATGGAAATAGGCCTACTCAAGTAAAGTACAAGTGCTTAAGTACGCCTCCAGTACTTGAGTAAATGTACTTACGTTATTATGTTGTTGTTACTTTATACCACTGAAAAGCCCAATTTGGATTTTGTTGGTGGGCCATCTACCTTGATTTTTATCAGACTGAGCCTTTTAGAGCAACACAATAAAAACTATTTTTATTTATTTAGTCAGAAACATAATAATAAAATACATAGATGCAGTAATAAATCAGAAAGCAAAAAAACAACAACATAGAATTATAGTTATTCATACTAATTAGTCACGGCGAGGGCGTCACATCTTTAAATCAGCTGATTCGGGCTTCCGTAGCCGAGCAGCACATGACCAGGAAACAAGGAAGTGTTGTCTCAAACAGAAACAGGGCCGTTGTTTTTCTCTGCAGATGACTCACTGACAGCATTTCACGCTGTTACAAGGCACAGAGCTGAGGGGAGAGACGGACAGTCGCAGTAGTTTATGATTAAATCATAAAAATGGGCTCAAATCGTCCTCTTGCGTTATTGAATTACCTCCTAATCTGCGTCACTCTGTGGAGCCACCTGAACTGCGGGGTGTCTGCAAAGTCATACCGCAAACCAAACATTGTTTTGATCCTCACCGACGACTTGGACATCGCTCTAGGGGGTCTGGTGAGTGCATTTGAATGTTTTCCTGCTTTTGCTACATTTCGGGGCTCATCAGAGAGTTGTGACTTTGCATTTTCCAGCTCTGTTGTTGTCACTTCATGGGAAAATCTGTGATTAATTGATGTAAACCAGATATTTAGCCTACTTAGTGCAGTCTGGTTAAGCTGACTGCTCACATTCCTCCTGGGTTGGACACATCATTTAGGCATCTCACATTGTCAGATAACCTTATCACTTCTGCTCCCATGGTTTTCAGCAAACACCCTCCCCCTCTTCCTAAAATCCTTTCAGTTTTAAACGTGTACCAGAATCCCACTGAAAAATCAGTCAATTTAGATGCATAATACCTGATCCTTAATTATAAACATAAACATTTAGGTGGAAACTTGAAGGTGTGAGCTATGTGATTTCATTGAATTGTGAGGAAAAAGTGAGACATTTTCTTTTGTACTGTACATATTATGATGATTTATGAGAGTTGATGTTTCATGAAATTGCTCGACAAAAACCCTAAAATATAATAGTAAGAAGAACAAAATTTTGATGTGTTTGAGTTTGCCAACTTTGTCTCAAAAGCCTGGGAAAGGATTATTTAATTAGTATTTATTAGATTTTGCCAGCACTAAATAGCTGCATTCCTCTATCTTCATAGAAAACAAGCTTCGTCATGAAGGCAGAAAAACAGAGCTGCAGCTTTGTCTTGCACAATTTGAGCGTGTTTGAGTGCCAGAGGCCAGTAGATTACTCAGGTTTGTCTCATCCCAGCAAATCTTTTCCTTCTAGAGTCCACTCAGCAAGACAAAAAAACTAATTGGTGATGCAGGGATATCATTCACAAACGCAGTAAGTATCATCAACATCATTACTGTCCCCTTCGCTCTCATATTCTGTCTCATCAGAGATAATTTAGCAGCTAAAAAAACAAGATAATAGTCTAGTTTAGATGTAGCCTGGTGACTTGTGGATCTCTTGCTTCACAAGTCTTTTTATATTTTGCTGCTGCTTTCCGTCTCTCATCCTCTTCCTTCCATCTTCCCCCAGTTTGTTGCCAGCCCGCTGTGCTGCCCCAGTCGAGCCAGCATCCTGACGGGAAAATACCCGCACAACCACCACGTCATCAACAACACGTTAGAAGGAAACTGTAGCAGCAAAGCCTGGCAGAAGAGCGAGGAAGCTCAGACCTTCCCCGCCCTTCTTCAGAGGTACGGCGACTACCAGACCTTCTTCGCTGGGAAATATCTTAACCAAGTAAGAGACGATAGGACTCCAAGCTTACTTACATTTCTGGCCTTTTTATTGTTTTATACAGACGGCAACATGTTTTTCTGCTCGAAAGGTCCTTAAATCATCAGAATACTGTTTAACAAAATAAAGGGTACCCTTGGTAAAACTTCTATTTGAATTGGGGTGGAGGAAGGGTTTTCATTATGTTACTTTAAGTTTTTCAAGATGGGGGGGGGGACCCTGCATTTATCTGAAGAATGAAGGATGTGACGAATAATTTCCCATGATGATTTAATTATGTTTACGTCTGCTAATTGCACATCTGAGGAGTTTGACTTCCTGTTGTTCATGAACCCGCCCTTCATCTTGTTAATCACTTTGTACGGAACTATTAGTGTGTCGTCCAAGAATACGGGGAATTTTTACCAGTCACCAGGTCAAGTTGTCAACTGATCATCTTCAAACTAAATACGTGAATGGATGAAAAGAGAAGTTCTGTGTAGTGTCGACCCTTGTGATAAACAGATGGATAGATGGGGAATCAGGTCATTCACTTCACTGAAATGGCAAAAAAAAAATTACCCTTACGCCTGTTTTCCTACTTCCCACTTTCTCTTCTCCCTCCTTTTTGGCATTTCAATCAGCTGATCAGCCTTAGCTCGATGATTATTGTGTTGTTTTGTTTAACTGTGACCTGCCGAGGGACGGAAGCTATAATCTGGCGCTGTGCATCAAATGAAAATGTTGATGTTTTACTGTACGCTGGCCCCTTTTTTTAAATAAATCAAGAAATGAAAAATATCCATTACTTTTCCTCTAGCGACACCAGCATGTCTCATATTTTTCACTTATAAAATATAAAATATTTCCACGCCAACTGCCATTGTACAGCCATTCATGTTCCTCAGATGATGAACCCTCATGACTTTGATGATCTTTTGACTTTTCCTGTAGCGCCACCATCAGCCTCAGCTCTACTTTGTGTTTAGCATGTCAACACACTAAACTAAACATGGTAAAATATTATACACCGATCACCCATAACTTTATGACCACGGACAGAGGACGTGAACAATATGGGATATATTATGGGATATATTAGCCTGCAAGGGAACATTTTGTCCTCATAGTTGATGTTGGAAAAATGGACAAGCATAAGGATTTGAGCGACTACTAACTATCAAAAGTGGTCCAAGGAAGGAAAAGTTGTGAACCGGCGACAGACTCATTGATCGCGGGGAGTGAAGGCAGGTCCGTGTGAATCGAACCAACAGACGAGCTACTGTAGGTCAAACTGCTAAAAAAAAAAAAGTTGATGCTGCTTTTGACAGATGTCAGAACCCACAGTGCATACACAGGGGAGTCCAGGCTTCGACGGGTCAGGGCTGTTCTGGCAGCAAAAGGGAGACCTTCATTAAAGCCATAGCTGATTGTGTACTTGCTAAACATCAGCATGTTTGCATTGTCATTGTGAGCATGCTAGTGGATATTAGCATTGTCCCTGAGTACAGCTTAACAGAGCTGCTAGCATGTCTGTAGCCTTATAGTCTTCTAAAATCTCCTCTTAAGACTTTTAAGTCCATCTGTGGTTGACCTTTACACAGCCTTCTGTTAAGCACTTTTCCAATTTCTGTTTTAGTTTTAAAATCGCTGATCAGATATAGTTTTCTTACTTTAATATTTGTTTTCATTTTCTTGTCCTGCTGTAATGCCAATTTTCTTCATTGGGGTTCATAGAAGTCTTGGCTTATTATATTTTTTATGTATATATGTCATCAAATAAACTCCCTTATACTGCTTGTGTGTTTCAGTATGGGCACTCAGAGGCTGGAGGAGTGGAACATGTTCCTCCAGGCTGGAACTACTGGGTCGCACTGGTAAGACCGAAACCTTTATCCTTTCAGCCACAAATCTTCTGTGAGGCTCCTTCCTTTCTATCACTGAAAAAACAGAACCTCTTATTGATTTTAAATCCAGCTTGTTTCAAGAAGTTGCCCCACAACTCCACAGTACCAGGAAGTTTGTGAAAATACTATATAAAATAGTCAGTTTTTATGTGGTTTACAGGGAGCTAAGGCAATAATGCACAGAATACTTCCAGACATTTCTCATGTTTATGAGTTAGACGGCTAATTTGTGGGCTAATACTGGTCTTTTAATGTAAATGTACCCATACAACACTGGACATCTGTGGGAGACCATTAACCTTTCCTCTTCTAACCTTCACCCCGGGCTCCAGTGGACAGTTGTAGTATCCCATGATGGACTCAAATATGTGTCAGAGGTTTTTTGGCTTCCTTTACAAAATAAAATAAACATCTGTGAGGAAAATAGCCCCCTTTTTGATATGAAAATGAAAACACACACACACACAGTTTCATTGAACATAAATGTTTATAGAGGAGGTTTAAGAACACTAACCTCTCTGTGGGAAGTTTTTTTGCTAGTAACAGTGCGTCAGAGTGGCGATCTGAGTTCAATCTACCTCATATGTCACAGTCATGTCACTAGAAACTCTCTGCAGAAGGAGCCAGACTAGTAAACTGGCTTGAATTAACTGTATGTATCTTACTGGTTTACAGAAGTCATTACAGAGAGGTCACGTCTGTAATACGACTGCAGTGCAGACTGGTTTATCTTCACTTTTACTGAATAAACAGAAATGTGATAACTGGTCTCGTGACCTGACAGCTTATCATAGCAAAGAGCGAAACTCGTGCAGTTTGTAGAGTTTCTGCAGAGTTTGCCTGTTGGGTGAGATTTTACTTCTTCAACCACATGTATCACGTGCTCGTAAGGAAATATGTCCACCTTCTTACTGTCTTCCCCCGCTTCAGGTTTTTCTCAGCAAACTTGTCAAACAGCTACCATTACGCTTAGAGATTGTGACCATGATGAATTTATGTGGTTTAATGGTTAATGGATGGTGGTTTGGTTTAATGGTTGCAAGCTGCTAACTTGTTTTGAGAAAATGTATGAATCAAAGAGCCTACACCCAGAGAGGTGAAAGCCGCCTGAGGTTAAGTAAAACGTCACTAGTGTAGCAAGAACAGATTTTTCATTTTTCCGTGAGAAATTACAGTGAAGCTTATTTCACTGCTGGAGCACACGCTCGTCACACAGAGGCAAGCTTGTAAGTGCTGACCACGTAAAGCTTTGTTTGTTAGAGAATTAGTTCTTCTGATCTACGTCAGGTTTTATCAGCACCCTCAGTCCACCGCTTTCTATACATGTTCTCACTAATAAGGATTAATCCTAATTTATTGTCCACAACCACATACAGCTATTAGCTACTAGTAATACAATTATAAGAGGATGGCATATAAAAAGGATGTTTTTACTATTAACCCTTTCATTCCCAGAAGTTAAATCCCAAGAAGTTAAATTTGTCAGCCTCTCAAAATCTCTCATTAGCTTCAAATATGGATGTATTGCACAATTTCCTTTTCAGGATAACCAGGGCTATTTGAACAATACATGGACTGTACCTGTATATCGCCTTTCTAGTCTTGTGACCACTCAAAGCCCCTTACGCTACAGCCACCCCAATTTGAAAATGAAGGAGCTGAGGAAATGATGAGAAGTTGTCATATATGAGAACTCATTACAGAACAGAAACACAACTAACCAATGACATCTGAGAGGGTTTTGGGGAAACGGACAGTAACTATGAGCTTAAAACTGTTTCATAACTAATAAATACAACAGGTGCACATTGATAAAATACAAAGATTTACTGAGTTTTACTCAAATCAAACCATGTCACTGACCTTTCTGTCTGCGTTCAGCTGAGACTGATGGGATTAAAGCATATTCTTCATCCTTTCCTGGACTGTTACAGTTTGTTAAAGTGGAACTACTGAATAATAATTAATCGGTTACCTGTGGCAGTTCATGATATAAACAAACATATTATAAACCCAGCAATTGTGTGTCTATTATTTTAATTCAACAATATTATTTAATTGAAGTCGTTTGTGTTTTCCAGGAGAAAAACTCTAAATACTACAACTACACTCTGTCAGTGAATGGAAAGCCTCAGAAACATGGAGCCAACTACAGCAAAGACTACCTGACAGACGTCCTGGTGAGACAACTGAGAAATGTCACAATTAATTAAATCCAACAGCTTACGTTTTATATATTTGTCATATTAACCAATAACTTGATTGTTGTTATTCTGTTTTCAGTAGAAACCAAAGGCATCATATTACATATTTATTTAAATCTCTCTCTCTCTCAGGCCAACATGTCTCTGGACTTCCTCCAGTATAAATCCAACTACCTGCCGTTCTTCATGATGGTGTCCACGCCGGCCCCTCACTCCCCGTGGACAGCAGCTCCTCAGTACAAAGACAGCTTCAACAACACTAAGGCTCCCAGAGACCCCAACTTCAACGTCCACGGGAAGGTACTGCACAGCCTTTCTAATTTCACTGACCTTAAAATATCCGCTATGAAAACTGGACATCACTCCGGTCATGTCGAGACACAAAAAAAGTGATTAAATGCATCGTGCCTTGTGTTTTTAGTTGATTCGGTATTCGGCCTAAAGTTGTTTTCTTTCACTCTCTCTTCAGGACAAACACTGGTTGATCAGACAAGCTAAAACACCCATGACCAACTCCTCTGTTCAGTTTCTGGACGATGCTTTCAGGAAACGGTGAGTCTTCGCTGCTTCTCGCCTTCCTCTCTCTCTCCTTGTGCTCCTCAGCTCCTCTGCTTTTTCTTTGCATTTGATTCATTCTCTTCTTTATTATCACCCCCTTTCCTGTCATCTTGCCTCTCCTTTCGCCTACTCTCCCTACTTCTTACAGTCCTTTTGTCCATCCACACTCAAGAGTTTGACTTTTTTTCTTTGCTTTCAAGTATTATTTGTCTATCAGTAAACGTAACGTACATGTTCAGTTTGATTTTACTGCAGGCGTCTCGTTGTTCCTCCTGCCCTGCAGGTGGCGAACTTTGCTGTCCGTGGACGACCTGGTGGAGAAAATAGTGAAGAGGTTGGAGGTCAGAGGTGAACTGGACAATACATACATCTTCTTTACCTCTGACAACGGCTACCACATGGGTATGTAACGGCACGAGACGATGTTTGTACTCCGGTTAATCAAAGCTCTGTCAACAGATCCGGAGGAAAGTTAGAAAGGAAGGAAAGATCCAGACATTTTAAGAAGGATTTCCTAACATTGTGAGAAGGTGCTTTTGAACACAGAGGCTCCCAGACCTCTAAATGTGTTACTGTAAGTGTTTATGGCTTCTTTATGTCTCCCTCCGTTTCAGGTCAGTTCTCTCTTCCTCTGGATAAGAGGCAGCTCTATGAGTTTGACATCAGAGTTCCTCTTATGGTCAGAGGACCAACGATCAAGCCCAACCAGACCAGCCAGGTACACACACACACACTGCGCACAGGATCTCCTTATTGTAACTACTGTAAAACCTAAATATCTTGCTTGCAGGATTTTAATTATGTTTTAAACATTTGGGGGGGAAAAAAAATTGTAGTTGTCCAATATTTATTTGATGACTGCAGTAAATGTTAAACATGTATTTGTATTTTTGATGTGCCCATGAAGCTGATATATCTTTTTAGTTATGAATCAAAGTTATCAACATCATGAATCTCTTAGAGATCCAAGTTGACTCATATCGCAATTTTAAATACATGAATCCAATACAATTAAACTGAGAATAGCTGCACTTTAACCAGAAATCAGTCCAGAACTTTTAGTGGTCAATTAACGACAAACAATACAGATTATTAAATATGCTGACATTAAAATATGCTTATCAAGAAATTTAAAACTAACATGTTTTCTGTTTATTTATTTATTCTTTAATCACATCAAACCCTACAGCCACTCTAATTTGTCTGGTTCTCAGATGCTGGTGGCCAACGTCGACCTCGGTCCGACCATCCTGGACATCGCTGGCTACGACGTCAACAAGACGCAGATGGACGGCATGTCCTTCCTGTCCATTATGGTGAGATTAATCGGCTTAATGATTTTTTTTTTTCTTTGTGTCTGAACACTACCCAAAATTGCGACATACATTTGTTTTGTTTTTATATCTTGTGTTTCAATGTTCTCATTATGAAGTGAAAACCAAATGACAGTTAACTCTAGGTTTTGGTATTGTTTAAATTTTATCGATTCTGTTTTCAACCCCTTCACCACAAATCTTGTCAAGGGGTAATGTTCAAGTTGATGTGGTGAAGTTTAGATAATGAATGAGATCAAAAAAAAGGTTATGATGAATCCAGTATGTGTGTTGGTCACCAGGAGGGGAAGATGAACGGCAGCAGCTGGAGAACAGACATCCTGGTGGAGTATGAAGGAGAGGGAAGCAACGTGTCCGACCCCGCCTGCCCTCTGCTGGGACCAGGAGTGTCGGTATGAGATGAAACTAATATTATCTGTGAGGGGGGAAAAAAAACAGACTCTGCAGTAGAAAAACTCATTCTTTCATCCGCCTGTCAACTTTCCCCAGGAGTGTTTCCCAGACTGTGTGTGTGAGGACTCTTACAACAACACCTATGCGTGTGTGCGCACAGTCGCCCCCGCTGCCAACCTGCAGTACTGCGAGTTTGACGATAATGAGGTACAGGGAAATGTTAATTTTATAGCATCTCATTATTTATTATGACCTAAAAAGATTAAGAATGATGGTACTTACCATGACAAAAAGGAAAATAAAGAATATGGAGTTAATTATGCTCCTTAAAGTTCCCATGAAACAGAAAGCTGTAAAAACACAAAGCTAGGGAGGAATACTGGATGTGGATATTGACTGGCACCTAGTTAGCGGTTACTTTAGCAACAAGTAAATAAGTCATATGTCACTCTCCAAATTACCGTTAAGAATACCTACAAAAGTACTTTGTTGTTGTCATTGTTGGAGCAGACAAACATTGATTTTGATTTCATGGGGACTTGTGTGTAGGAAAATTCCAAACTTTAGCGCCATCCAGTGGTGAAATAAAGATTAACACTTATCTAGACAGGAGTGCATCTGTGTTTTAGTTTCTCGAGGTGTACTGTTTGACAGTAGACTCCTCCCAGCTAATTAACAATTCTTGTGGCTGTGCACCCCCTGTAGGTGTTCGTAGAAGTCTACAACGTGACAGGAGACCCCTACCAGCTGACCAACATTGCAAAGACCATCGACCAGGAAGTCCTGGAGAAGATGAACCATCGGCTGATGATGCTGCAGTCCTGCTCCGGACAGTCGTGTCGGACACCCGGAGTGTACGATTCAAGGTCGGTTCAGCGCTGCCATTTTTTATTGTTTCCTCAATAGTAGCAAGTCTGATATTCACCCACATTTTTATTTATATAACATCTAACTGTTTCCTGTTGAAGCAAAGATAAAGAAAGGGCTTACCACACACCAAAACTGAACTAACAAATACAAGTTTATTTTTGGAAGAAAACTGAATATTAATTTAAATTTCTTTATTCTTCCATTGGCTTCCAGTTTGGGCTGCTGTTTAGTGAGTTTGGGAAGCCAAATTAAACAGGATTGTTTTACACTTGCAAGCTATTAATTCAAATCCTGTTTTGCTTAAATAAATACCAATAACTTTTGAATGGGTTCAGAGCAAATTTCTTCTCTAATTGTTGCAGCTGCATGATACTGCTGTATAGAGAATTTCACCACTGATTAACTGTAACTGTGAAGAACAGTTGAAATGAAAATTAACAAATGGAAAGAAAACACACAAAAACAAGATGCTAAATTATGCACCAGATTCCCCTTAAATAAACAAATCATTCAACTACAGTGCTTGTAAAGGCATTTTTAAATCTCCATTTACATCCAGTTTTGTTTTATTCAATAATAATTACCTTTATAATTTACAAAAAAAAAAGACATAACTTCAACTAATTATAGGGAAAATATAAATATTCTGTTTAAACTCTAGTAAATATTCAGGACTGTTGAACTAGAAAATGTATTAATTAATTGGAAGTGTACTCTACTGATTGAACATTGTCTCTATTATCCCTATAATTAGTATCAAATTACATCCTGTAGTTGTTTTTTTTTCCAGGAAACTTCTTGAAAATTAGTCATAAAATTACAAACTCATATAGTAACTGCAAATTTCCACTGTAATCTAGGGATTAATTCATGTGATATCCATGTTGGAAACAACAATTTGTTGGACTTCCACTTAAAAACAGCGTCTATCACACGAGCATTAACTCCTCTGTCTTGTGTTTTCTCAGGTATAAGTTTGACCCACGACAGATGTTTTCCAGCCACAGCTGGCGGCTCAGCAGACTCAGACAGAAGATGAAATAAGAAGAACAGATGAAGGACGATGGACGGAGGAAGAAGGGCTGTTTTGTATTTTGTATTCAGCCTTTCCTGCTGGTGTTGCCTTGTTTTCAGGCCTCCTGAGCCAGTCTCTTTGTAGATGGATGGAGAAGGCATCAGATGTGGTCATATTTTAGGGCATAGGTGAGCCTTTGGGTGCAGGACCCACCTTTAAAGCTACCAGTTTGGGCTACTGTTTAGTGAGTGTGTCGGTAAGTGTGCAGGGAAGCCAAATTATTCAGGAGGGATGTACACTTGCAAGCCATCGATTCAAATCCTGTTTTTCTGTAAAGCATTACTGTGCACTAAATGTCTGCTCAGTCGTATCGATTTAAAAGCCCGGAAACAATAGACAAACATTTGCCACTTCTTATAAATTCATGTGTGTTTTGTCTCGACTGAGAAAATCTTCATATCTGTGATCCGAACAGAGGCCAGTTGTCTTGTCAAAATACACAGGGTTGCTTATTTGCTTGTTTTTTGGTGCTGGTCCGCAACAATTTGTCAGAAGGTGGAAATGTCGGTTCATCAACAAGACGTGGCACTAAAATATGTAACAAATTGATCAATACAAACTTTAAATTTAAAGAGTACCGTTCAAATCTGATTTTCGTCTCTTCAGCGGACACGTGTTTCATGTAGTTTTCAGTTTCATTTTACCATTATCAATGCACCAACTTTTCCACCTCGGCCAAGCATTCAAACTGAGTTTGCGGTAGTTTGTCGAATTTTCTGCGTTTCCAATCAGGTTTTTTCCTTCGCAAATTGAAAACTCGCATAAAAACAGATGGATGGAAATGCACCTTGTGTCACATTATGGACAGCAGTAACTCTAGATTATATCCATTATTTAACAAACTATTTATTATATCTTCATTGAATCAATTAGCCAAAAATAAGTATGTATAATAAGTTCCCAGTTTTTTTAACAGTCAAAATCTAAAATTGGTAAATTTACAAAAATGGAAGAAAAAACAAGAAATTACTAAATAAATCTAAAGCGATTAATTTGCCATTTATTAACTCTCAACTGAACTTGTTTGGCTCAATGGACAGCTGGCAAACAGTACCAGGATAATGGTAAATAAATACAGTATACACATAACTTCCATTTGTCTCTGATAATGTATCTAACTGATTTCAACGGCCTACACCTACGGCCAGACAGTTGATAATTTGATGAGAACCAATCAACTGCAGCAAAAAAATCCTGTCAGACAGTAAACGTACAGTCACATTAGTTTCTGTTCAAAATGGTTGATGGAGCAAATACTCTTAGGACCTAAGTGTCACATGATCGCATCTTAAATAAACAGAAAAATTATGTTTGTTTGGATGGGAGAATTTTTTTAAAGGCCAAATAGAAGATTCTACATTTTGATATACATTTGCTCCCTCAAACTTTAAAAAGGGAACTGGTTTGTTAATGTTTATGCCATAAACCTTATTTATAAGAAAAAATAATATATTTCTCGAATGCTTTTGCGGCCCTGCCTTGAAATTTCACTGTTGAAACACAAATCTACATTGCATTTGAAATATTTTTAAAAAGTTGATATATTTTAGATTAAAGCTGCCTACAGCCAGTATTTTGTGGTGACACGTTCATTTTTAAATTAAGATCAAATCCAGTGTGATTATTAATATCCAACCAAAGACGGGATTAGGAGGCTTTTGAGGGAAACGACATTTAGAAAGTCTCTGTAGACTGAATCTTTTTTGTGTGTTAATTTAGATTGTGAATTATTTTGTTACTGACAAGCACGCAGACAAACCGGTTGTTAATTGTGAACAATGATTTTCCATTAGTTCTGCTGCTAATGTGTTTGTGTTACTCTTGGATAAACCGCTCTTACAGCTCTTTCTTCCTCTGTAGAGTTTCACATTACTCAACGTACACTGTGTGATTATTTTTCCTCCTGAAAGCGATCACTTTGTTAAAATTCACTGATGCACTTTCCAATCTGTGAGAATTGTTTTTTTTGGAATGCTTAGTTTTATTTTTCAGTGTAGTTTTTGATGATGATGATGTATTTTCAGCTCATGTTTTTGTCCAAATAAAGACATTCTCAAAATATCAGAGGGTCCCGCTTAGTCAATTCACCGTCACATTCATCACACTCACACTAAATTTAATCTGATTTCATAATGGATTTAAGCCAACAATAAAACAATTTAGCTTGTTTATTTAATTAGTTTTTTAGAAATTGCCATATAAATAAAGGCTTTAATTTGTTTTCCTCACCTTTACATCTCATCTGCTACTGTTACCTGTTGGAAAAAAGGTCTGTTTGGGTTAAATATTAAGTAATTTGGTACTTACCTGTTGCCATACGTACTTTTGTTGTCTGCATTATGAGTCAGCAAAGCATCTCCTCTTTAAACCTAATTCAACGTTAAGTTAAGATTTGAAACAAACTGTAAACCTAGAGCTGCAACAATCGCTGTCTAGATCAGTGGTTCTCAAAATAGGTGGCGTAGATGCTGAGTGGACCTAAAGTTGCATGAATATGATTAATCAGGTGGGGACATGATGGACATACAATGTTTGGGAACCACTGGTCTAGATTAACTCAAGAAATAGTTTACTCTATTAAATGTCAATTTTCCAGGATGTCTTCAAAAAGCTTGTTCTGTCCGAACAAAAGTTTTTTACATTAATTATATACAAAAGTGAAAATTCTCAAAGTTAACAAGCTTGGACCAGATTTATCATTTCAAAACAACTTATTTATTATTTCAGCTCTATTTGAAACACATTGGTTATTTCAGAGTCTCACTGAATTGTAAAATTAATATAAAATATTTATTTAAAAATTTGACATTCCAGAATGGTATTAATATAGTATAGATTTTTAAGACAGTTTAACATTAAAATTTCCAACATTCATTTAAAATCCTCACAGAAAAAGTCTATTTTGGCAACCTAGGCCTGTAGGGAGGTTAAAAGTAGTCCAAACATTCAGAAATCACTACTCCAAATCAGTTTAAGCTCCCTGTAGCTAACAAAAAACCTGAACTATTACGGATCTGTATGTAAAAATCGAAGACGGCTGGGAAGAAAGTAGGTAAATACTGTAGCTAATGTCATTAAATCTCTTGGTTTAATTCCAGTTGGAGGGGAGGTTGATGGACTCACTGTTTCTTCTGCTGCTCGTCGGCAGACATCCAGTCCAAACACAACATCTATTTATCACATCTGAAGTTTCTTTTTGATATCTGCTGCATGCTTGCTGCGACTTTGTTGATTGTGTCAGTTAAAAAGCCAAAATATCCGACCTCTCAGCGTCTCCTGCCAGCCAGGAGAGAAGAAGAAGAGCTCACTACACCTCTGTAGCCTGCTCCTCATCTCTGCTGCAGGGTTATGACCCGAGGCTACATTAGCCACTACTAACATAACACACCTGAATTTCTGACCAAACTGTCGGTGGTTGGATTGTGGGTAATGTAAGAGCCAGGTTTTAAAAGCAGAAGAATGAGCTGCATGCTGCATCGGTTTTTATACTTTTACACCGTCTGTCGTGAGCATGATCATTTGAATGGAATGCAATAATAAAAAATGCTGGAGAACTTACCCATTTCTATAATTTAACTGCATTATATTATTATATTATTAGCTCATGATTTTTGAGCTGAAAAGTATGTCAATTTTATGCCATCAAAAAGAATTTCATCACTTTTCTAATAACATCTTTAGATGAGTTCAGTTCACCTCTCAGGTCATTAGTGGGTGACAGGGTCTGACCTAAAACCAGAATATCCAGGTTTGATCAATGCAGCATCCACATGTCGCTGTCAATTAAAAACCTTAAAAAAACATAGAATCCAAAAGCGCCACAAATGTCCCCGTAGCTGCTCGATCACGTACAGAATCTTTAAACTGTCAAAAAAATAACATTCAATTAGCCTACATTTAGTTTTTTGGGGTTCATCGTGAGCTCTCCCATCCCTCCAGGACGGGCAGGAACGGCAGGTCGGTGCTGCCCAGGTAGGTCCTCCCGCGGTGCTGGAAGACGTCGCTGATGGCCCACGTCAGGCGGCCTTCAGGGTCGTGCAGTGATCCCACAATCTCGCCGTCCAACCCCAGCTCGAGGACCAGAGCGTAGTGCGGTAGCAGAAGGTTGTACCAGCTCAGAGGAATCACCTGGCAACACAAATATATTAAGTTTAATAAAGTTACAGTTTGCTGGTATTCAGGTACATCAACACTGGTATGGTTCTTTGTATTTTACACAGAGTAAGTCATTTAGGTGTAATTCACAAAACCACATTTTTACATCAACTGTGTTTTAAATTAAGTTTTTCTGTCAGTGTGACCTCACGTGACATTTCCCAAAGTTCACTGGGAGTTCATACCTGCTCCTTCCCAGTGTGTGCGTGTGACAGAGCAGAGTATTCAACTAAAAACCTGTGTGTTCTTGTCTAACTAATCTGTGTGTGTGTGTTGCTAAAGGCTCCTGCCCCTGTCCCATCAGATTTCACACTGTCTAGTCTCAGTGCAGCCTGGAACAAAGCCTGTTATTCTCTCCTGACTGACAGACAAAATAATTGTGAGTCACACAGCTCTCCTCTATGGGAGGAAACGCATCATGGGAAAGTAGATGTGGTTATATCTCCTGATAAAACTGCTCCTCTAAACTGCGCAGCCGGAAAATGTTGTTGAGAATCAGGATCTGTGGGTTCGATCGGTCAGTGTTTTGAACCTGAAAACATTTTAGCCAACAGGATACATTATTTAGTGATATTCAATATATATTTTTTGTGCTTTAATGCTATATGCAGTGGCGGTTCTAGACCACCTTTATTGAGGGGGCCAAGCTGGGGCCAGTTGTTTTGTAAGAGGGGCACTTTCAATCTGAGACAAAGGCAATGTTCAAGCTTTCAAAATGTCTTGTTTAGTATATAATGTAATGTTTTACTATGTTTCAGTAACTTAGTTATTTGTTTTAGTAACAGGATTTTCGGTAACTAAGTTATAGTTTTATTAAATTACATTATACAAAAAAACATTCCTGTTAACTTTAGCTCAAGTTACGGTACGTTCTTTGATGCAACACTTCTTTGTAAGGCTTAATGAACAGTATGAGCTCTAGTGTCCTACACATCCTCTGGATCCCAGTTTGTATTTTGTATCCCACTATAACTTTTGCTAGGAAAATAGAAACTTCTCCATATTCACTCCTGTTATTAGTCATGATGTGAAGTATACACAAAATTAAATACTTGATGGTAGGCCATCATCTGTGCATTATAGAGGGGGATACATACAGTACTTGAGCAGACTGCATGTCCAGCCTGGTAGCACCTGCTGTTATCGCTTTTTGTGTATGAACAGTGCTGTTTAAATGCAATGCATTATGAAATTGTTATGATAATAATTTACCCTTTAAGGAGGGTTTAATTTCCAACAATATCCAAAGGCTATCCATGCAATGGAAACTTGGATTACAAGGACAAAATATTGTCTACAATGCTACATTCAGTTTAATGTACATTTCGAGTCAAGTAGATGTAACGTTGAGGCGAGCAATGTGTTAAACTGAATACAGTGATCTTGATTTTACACTATCGATGGCGTAGATATTTGTAGGAGCAGCTTACTTGAAAAAGGTGACAGTAACATGGATGACTAAGTGACTATAGCTAAATAAACGTTTGCTTTCCTAAAGGATCCGACTAGTTGAGACACATGTTCCGCCTTTCGCATCAGGAAGATTACTATGATTATTGTAGACTTTTCTTTCAGAGGGGGGCCATAGGTGGGGGTCCAAGGTCCGTGTTACAGGGGCACTGGCCCCTGTTGGCTCCCCCCCCACCCAAAACCGCCACAGGCTATACGATCAAAAAGATGAACACTTTCTGCTAAAACTGACTAAACTCATAAGAGTGGAACATATTTAGGCCAAAGGTGAAGAAATTATGAAAACCAGCACACATATGAAGGTGATCATCCCAAACATTTTGGTACATCCTGGTTATTAATATTGGGTACATTTTTTATCACTTATTTGCTATAATCTAATATTAATTTAATACATTTTACTGCTCTTGTTGCAGTTAACAACCCGAACAGACAAGGATCAAATTCTGCACTTGACTGAACGAACGCAGTTTCAAAAAACAGTACCTGAGGATTCACTTTAAGCAGCTAATAACGTGATTTCAGAATGTGTGTGCCGCTCTTTTCTTCAACACTAATCCCTCCACTTCCCCAGAGACCATAACGATTATATCAGATGTGGAAGGAACTGACAAAAGAGTGTCCATATTTCTGTCTGAGATGTCAGTGCAACCCTGCCACTGGCTGTTAAACACACTGACCTTTGCCAGGAAGCGTTTGACAGCCGGGTACGGGGCGATCATGTCCAGGAAGGGAGGCGTGGCCTTCTTGAACCGCGGCGTAGTTATGCCAACCAGGAATGTTCCATGGTCACTAAGGCGGATGTTGTCCGGGTATCCGATCATGTTGTCCATGAGGATCTCCTTGGTACCAGCCTTCGGGCCCTTCAGCCAATATCTGAGAGTGGACAGAGAGTGAACATCTGTCCTCTGGGTAACTGATGTTTATCTTGTGTGTGTGTGTGTGTGTGTGTACCTCAGCAAGCGTCCGATGCTGGTCTCTGCGAGCAGCAGGAAGCGTTCGTCAGGCGACAGGACGATGCCGTTGGGCATGTAGAGGGAGTCCAGCAGGACCTTCACGCTGCCTGTATCAGGATCGTACGAGAGAAGACGGCCGAGGCTGTTCAGCTCGATCACCTGAAACATCAAACAGGTCAGCTTTATTTAGGTTTTTTGTTAAATTTAGCTTATAGTTTAGTTTATATTTTGTGTTTTGCTTCTCAGCTTTGTTTAGTTTATAAGTTTAGCTAAGCTCAGTTTGGTTTAGATTTTACTTTCATTTATCTTTTTAGCTTTCTTCAGCTTATTTGAGTTTGAGCAACTTTGAGTGAATCATATTTAGCTTATTATAATTTTGTTTAGAGCACTTTTCCTAAGAAAAATTTAATTACGTAAACTCAATTTACTGTCACATAAATTCAGCTTAGCTTAGTTCTGAACACTTTAGATTGCTTAATTATAAATAATTTTAGTTAAGCTTAGTCTGGTTTATCTTATCTTTTATCTTATCAACAAGGCTAAACTTAGTTTAGCTTTAGCTTAGTCCGTGGGGACTTGGGTTGGGAGGGTTGCCAGTTTGAGTCCATCACAGACCAGTGCTCCCTCAGGTGCTGCACAATGGCTGCCTCATTTGGATAAGTTAAATACAGCATGTATTGTACTGTGTATTATTTGTATGTGGCCAATAAAGTTGATGATCGTTATCAAACTAAACTTTGTTGTTTTGAGTTTAGATCACTTTAATAATGCTATTAGTGTCTTAATCTTTAGTTTACATAAGTTCGCACATAACAAAAATTGAAAAAATAAAAAATATTAAAATAAATCTAGCACTGAGGGAAAGATTTTTTGAATGAGAAATTTATATTTAGTTTATGTCCCATACATTTCCAACACTTTGGTCCACATCTTGAAAACAAAGTCAGATTTCCATTAATTTTGATTCATTGTGTGCGTTTTTCCACTTATAGATAGGAATTCGAGACACGTTAATGTGCACATGAATCCTCCAAATGGAATTACAATTTTCATTTTTCATATAACCACTTCATGGTTATTCCTCTGGGGTTTAGCGTTTACGTGGGCAGCAGGTTTCTGCTGCTAAAAACGTGGTGGGAATAATATGATTTTTTTAAATGCATGTAAACACGTCTCTCTTCGAGCCTCATCAACCGTTCAACAATTTGCTAAACAACCAGATTGACGAATAAAGTGTGACCTTGTGTGTTTTTTGGAGGGCTGCGGTTACCACGGAATAATGGGGGGGGGGGCACTTTATATCTTCTAGAGCAGCCACACACCTCTTTTTTATCTCTTTTAGATGCTTTTAAACTTCAAATCTAAAAGAGCTGATTGGAAGATCTCTTTAAAGCTCTGGGAATGAACAGATCCATCTTTTCCCCATCGTCTCACCTCCAGTCTAACATGTCTACGTCCCCAGCGACTGGAAGAGTCTGTGAAATAAATGATCCCAGTTTGGGAGGAAATCTCCAGGCCATTTAGGAAGGCAAAGGGAACGCCATCAGCACCTGAGGAACAAAGAAAAGACGGCTCACAGATAAGAAATGTCTCCGCAAATTATAATTAACTGGGCTTTATTCAGCATGCATGCCAACACAAAGACTATACCCTGTGAGTTTGCAAGGAGCAGAGTCTTTTCTCCAGTTGTGGGGTTGATGCTATACAGCCCAAAGTAAGAGTCAGCAACTATCAGCTGACCGTGACGATCCAGACGAACACCATGAGGACGGCCGCACACAGGCTCATAGTCTGTACTTCTGCCTGCACACACAACATGCATGTTTCTAATTTATTTGCTTATCTGATGCTGAGGCCTATCAGCTGTATTGACCTTAACAGAGAGAAAGATGGAGCAGAGCAGACATTTAAAACTGAGGAGAGAACAGAACACAAGTGTGTGATAATAAACAAAACAAGTGAATCTTTCATTTCAAACTAATGGCTCTTCAAGGTAAGTTATCTAGTAATACTAATTTTCAAGCAAAAATACTTAGAGGAATATCTTTTTTCTGTTCAAAGTGATTTCCATATAAATCCCATATTAAATGTTCACAACAGAAAATGGAAAGAATATGGGGAGAAATGAAAGACACACGTTTCTGATCTATCCTTCAGGCCAGAGTCTCTAAATACAATATAAATAATTAAGAAAATAAATGGTAAGAGAAAAGACTGATATTGTATTTTTAGAATAAAATTTTCACCATGATGTTTTCATTTGTGATTTTCTGCTGTTTAAATAATGAACCCTGTGTGTGAAGCAAGTCACTATCTCAACCTGCCCAAAACACAATAGAATAAATTTAAGTATTATGTTTATTTTCAGGTTCATACTTGTATTTAGGGGTTGTTGCAGAACAGGTACAACCGCTTTTCACCCTGTGTTTTGCTCCGTTTAGCTACTGAGTGCTACAGCTTTCTCTTCCTCTACTTATTACCAAAACACTGCAAGAAAAGAAAATGAACTGCTGATGTTATGGAGGAAGTGAGCTTTCAAGATTTTTTTTAATAGGCCAGGCAAGTCCAAACAGCAAAAGAAAGACCTACTAGTGAGGTCAATATCTGGTGAAGTGTAACTGAGAGTGAAGGAAAGTGCTGGATGAAAAGAGGAAGGATCCCTGAAAAAGCAAAAGAAGAGACAGACGTGTGAAAATAAAATACAAACCACATTCTGGTAAATTCTGTCCCATCTGTGTGACGAGGGTGAGGCTGTCATCAGGGCCGATCCTCCACAGCTTCCCGTCCACTGTCCCCGTGTACACATTACCTGAAACACACACGCACGCACTTCAAACACACGGTTTCCGCAGATATGTTTTGAAACTGCTGAGTTGGGTGTTTTGTGGTGATTTTTTCTCTTGTCAGGCTGAAAAACCTCCCCAAAAAAAAAAACATTCATACCATCATGGGACTATGGAAACCAGTATTATAGTGTATAAATTCATCTATCAAAAAATATAATAAGAAATAAAAATAAGAAAAGAACAAAATCTCAGAATAAATCAATCTAAAAAAAAAATTGCATAAAACCAGCTATCAAGCAGATCAACATGTCACATGTGACGTATTGTACAAGGGACAAAATACCTTGCATAGAACAGACATCATAGGCAAAGGTCAAAACCCTCAAGCCCTTAACGAGATAACCTCTGAGAATCATAAACTAGTTTGGCTACAAAGTTTAAATAACTAACACGCTCACCCTCCTCATCAGCAGTGAAGGATTCTGGTCCGTGTAGTTTCCCAGTAAACAGCCTGTGGCCCTTCTGCAGACGGGTGTTGACAGCCAGCGGCCCCTCGAGGGCCGGAGGAGGCCCCTTCAGTCTGGAGAAACAAATTTGGATTTCATTATAATAAGTATTGGATGGATAACCTGACCATTTAGCACGCACATTCATGCCCCACTCAGGAAGAACTGGTAGGCGCGTTTGACTTGCGGCGCTGCGCTGACTTAAAATTATGCATGCTGGACTTAAAATGATGCATGCTGGTTAGAAATTGTGTCCAATTTTTGCCGGCGCTGCAAAATGTCACCATGTGACATTTGACTTTAAAACCTCACGGGAGCAAGGCGGCTGCAGGCGCCAAAGTCAGCCGCAGTCATCTCGAACGCACCTAATAACTTTGATCTGTTAACTTTTCATCTAGCGCCATCTTCAGGTCAGAATTTGTGACCAAAAACCTGCAACAATATTAACATTCAGCCTCAGCTGTGCTTTGTGTTTAGTGCTAATTAGCATAAGTTAGCATGGTAACACTAAACTAAATGGTTATGTTAGCATTGTCACTTTGAGCATGCTAGCATTTACCTCAACTCACCACTGTCCCCAAGTACAGCCTCACAGCGCTGCTAGCATGGCTCTAGACTTTTGTTGATTTTTAAAATGTTTTTAGAGTAGTTACTGTGTATTGCTTAATGTCTCTAGAGCAGTTAAACACGTGTTACTGCGTGTGTGTGTGTTTGTTTGTTTGTGTATGGTGTGTACTCACACATGTGGTTTGGGGTCTATGGGAGAAGGCAGCAGGTAAACTCCAACAGCCAGAGCGATCAAAGCCGCCAACAACGATCTGTTACCCAACCTGACAAGAGAGCAGAAATAACAGTAACATCAGACTGCAGTAATGTTGATTCTTTTTTTTAATTGTTTTGAGCTGAACACATATTTTTCTAAGGGCCAAACACCTGTAATACCAACTATTACTTAATGTAATGAAAATATACACAAAAAAGATTAAACAATACACATACAAGACTTAACATGAATTCAGTGTCCTTTAAATAGCTCAATTTAAAGCCTAAACCTTCACTTATTTTGCAAAACTGGACACTGAGAAGCGTCAGCAAAATATTGTTGTTCTTTTTGGTCTGAGTCTTTAAGCCCTTAGAGGTACTTACATCATGCACATTTCACCTTAAATTTGATATAAACCTGTAGAGGTGTTATTTAAGTTCAAAATAATGTCGCTTTTATTCAGATTATTGACAGGACAAGTGCACGGTAGAATGACATTATGCTGCATCTGGCTCACAAAATGTAATTGACTATAATATAAACACACATCAGTACATTGCACATATTGATTAAAATTGCACGTACTGAATTTAACTGCACAGCAGCAGTCACTAGACCGGTTTTTACTTTAAAGCAGCAAAATTAAAGTTTTTTTTGTTGTCTCATGTCTGTGGTTCACAATCTGCAGTTAATAAGTCAACAGTGTTGTGTCACACATGGTGAAGTTAATGTATAAGATGTTTCACAGCACTGTGTCACACAGGATCTATAATATGTAACACTGCACGCCATTTGCTGTCAGACTGTATGTCAGTGGAAAAAATGTGACATTGATCATGTTGTTCTGGCGCTGATTGAGGAACTTCTGCAATAACTTGCACATATGTCTGCTTAGTCAGAGAGAGATATGTTCATTGACTGAAACAGATGCAAATTGTACTGCCATGCATTGTTAAATCTAGATGTTGATTACATCTTTTATACACTCTCTCCATTGTTTTCCCATTTCCCCATGTGTTGTTTGCTGCAATGCACTTTGCAAAAGTAGGCACTACTATAATCAACTTCAATAATCAATAATCAACAATCAACTGCTAGTTGTGTAATTCTGCATGACACATCTGATGTCTTTTGAAACATTGGTTTCCAAAGGTTTGATGGTTCAGAAGGGTTGAAGAGGTCAATGTGCAGACTGCTGCTGGGGGGGGAGGGCGCATAAGAATGAATCCACAGATTGTCCCCCAGTGGCCCCAAACCAGCATATACTTTGTCAGCTGAACTAAAGGTGACCACTGTGTTGCCAAAAGCTGACAAAGCTTTGCAGTTAAAGTGTCCCATACAGATGCATCATCAAAACACAGAGCATTTTAAAGATGCGACCTGGAACGTTGCAGAAAGCCAAACTCTACTCAAAATTGTGTAAGTTTTATTATTTTTTTTAAACATATATATATATATAACAGATAATATGTTTTACAATCCATAGGTAGTTAAATCGGTGACCAGGAACCAGGTGTAAAATGTCTTACAATTACGACTACAGCTGCTGTTCTGGTGGATTAATTTAACGTTAACTATCTGCAGTAATTTAGGAACACGTGAACCGGATGGTGACGTTTATTTTTGGTTTAAAAAAAAGAGCTGCTTGGTGCATTTTATGGATGCCGAAAAGAAGCCTGTCTGTTTTCTGGTAAATTCAACTTTTAACTGTTTTTTTTTTTTATCTCGACGCCGCTGATTTTACAGCAAGAATTGACAGATTGCTGAACAAAGTTTGGCGACGCAGAAACAACCTTCAACTTCAGGCATTCGCAGAGATACAAAAGAAAAAAACACTAAAGACAATCGGACTAGATTGAAATGTCAAACTTACATTGTTGACTTGGAGTCCGCGTCTCTTCTACCTGCTGAATCAATGAGTGGGGGACAAGAGCGCAGAGCGTAAAACACACCTGGGGATACATCCGGCGAAGACCTTCAAAATAAAAGTGTTTCCGGACAATTTCTGCCTCTAGATTTTCAGACTTCTTTACACAGGTGAGAGATTTACAAAAAGAAATGCATTTACAAACTATTTTCAAAGGAGTGCAATCCTTTAGCAAGTAAGAAAACTACTTTACTCGAGCACTCCTATTTTAAGACACATATATTTTAAATATTTTAACTGGACTACATTATGACATAAATATACTGCACTTTTGATTTAAAGTAAAGTAAGAAACTAAAATCCACATTATAAAGGGTACACAAACACTTTGTGTCAAAGATTTGCTTTTTTGGGCCCCTACTGACTTTCTGGCCCTTTATATCACTTAAAGTACAGTCCACACAGAAGGCATATATTCCAACTTTAATTAAATTAATGAGTTTATCAATTTAATTTACTTTATACTGCTGGGTAGCTAAATCTATAATAATATATAATAATTTATTAGTTGATATATATTTTGTATTAATAATCTGACTCTGTAAAATAAATACAGCTGTCAAATAAATGTAGTGGAGTAACAAGTAGAGTATTTGTCTCCAAAATGTAGTTGAGTAGTATAAAGTAGCGTAAAAATAGAAATACTCAAGTATAAGTTAATTAACAAACCGACCGTTTTGGGGCCCCTGTGGGAGTTATGTTTTGTGACTTTCTTCCTCAAACATTAAGATAACTTTATGTGAGACGCTCTAAGCTTTTACTTTGAAGGCAGCGTTGACAGGCTCATTCCTGGAGCTTTACAGGTGGGACAGTTTAGTGTTGGTGTGTGAGACAGTGGGAGGGGGGTTTCCCCCTATTTTGAGATGGGGTCAAATAGAGGACAAGAGGAGGAGCTGCTCCAGACCTGCCAAAACACTGACATCACTATATTACTGAACTGTTTAAACACAATAAATAACACTGTCACGTTACCTATAAATGAAGACAGGCTGTTGGCAGAGATAGAAGACTCAATTGCATTGCTAATTTCTTTTCACACAAACACAGGATTTTTAAAGACTGATTAAAAAGTTTCATATCTCTGTATTAGAAAATAGAGAGGTAAAAATCTTGTTACACATGTGGTGTATGTATATGAAGCTGGCTGTAGCTTCATATTGAACAGACAAATACGACAAATTGTCATCTTCTCAAAATGTCAAACTATTTCTTTATAGCTCATGTTTTGAGTGTTAAAAACTTTTTTAAAAAGATAAACTAATAAACGGAACTAATTTGACAAGTTTATCTGTAGTTTTGCCAAATATTTTAGATCTGAACATTTTTTGTTGGTTTGGGAATTTCAATTATAATAATACATGTCTGCAACTATTTGTTAATATTTTCATTATCAATTACTCTGCTGAAACTTCTTAATGGATAATTTTTCTATAAAATGTCACAACTGAAAAATTCCCATCACAATTTCCCAGAGTCCAAGGTTATGTCTTCAAATATCTTGTTTTGTTTGATATTCTTTAACAATATTCAGTTTAAAATGACATACAACTCAGCAAACTCTCATATGAGATGCTGGAACCGCTGAACTTTGGCATTTGTGCTTAAAAAATGACTTAAACGCGTAATTATCAATCATCGACTACTGTTTCAGCTCTTGTCAAATAAATCTAAAACAGACAAAGCAATAATTTGAAAAATAATCAAATTTTAAGTAATTTAACATCAACAAACCTACTTAAATAATTAAAGACACACAAAGAGATAAAACACACATCAAACACAAACCCTTTTTGTTTTAATTTCACCTTTAATAGATAGAGCCCGCCTTGTGAGAGGAAAGGCCACATTTGGTAACGATTCAAAGAGACATCACAAGACACCAACAAAAATAAACCTGCCTCAGTTAACTGTTGATGAAATCCTCAGTCTCTCCTGCAGGTTTGTTTTTCTGTCTGCTGCTGTCAAACTTTGGAAAAGGCACTGCTGAGGTCTGCGCTTTCAGACCTGAGCTCAAAGGCCAAAATTCAGCTAAATCTTTCACTTAAATAAGCCTTCTATTGACTTTAATCTTGACTCGACAACTGGTCAATTTATCGTTATAAACAATCTTTGAGATTCATCTTTTTTTCCAATTCTAAAAGACGACAATAATTTGGGATTTTTGCAGCTCAGGTCTGAAATTAAAACCACCATTTTGTCTCCATCAAGTGCAGAGCAACAGAGTGAACTTTGTGTTTTCTAGCTCACATGCTTGTGAGGAAGTCATCATGCGAGAAACACCTGATGAACAACAAATAACAAAAACAGCATAATTGTAAAATAATAATAATATCCGTAAATGGCAGAAGAGCTACAGACAGATCTTTGGCTTTTAACATTACAGGCTGCTCAAACTAGACACACAGATCGCATGAAACTGAAGAAAACTGACCCCAAGAGTCAAACACTTTTTCAAACGTCTACTTCTAAGGTCAAGAATGAACCTTAAAGCCAATCGTTTACACGCTCTAAGACGCTAGTTATGATTGAACGGCCTTAAAACAAGATCTTTGAATACATACCAGGTATCATATATCAACTCTTCATTAACACTACTGGCCCAAAAGCTTTTCATAATAGATATATTGATCAACAAGCCTAATTTATATTGTATTATTAGCAGATCTGACCGCATTTGAAAAGCACAATTTGTTTTTAACCCATCTTGTCAGCATATTCACTCCAAAGATTATTTTCCAAATGCAGTCTGACCTGCTGTTATAACTAGGATTATGCATGCTTTAAACGGCACAGTAGTGTGTACAGTAAGCACGTATGTAGAGACGAACAGGAACACATGCGAGAGTCGAGATTCAACCAAACATTTCACAGTCTACAGCTAACTCAGAGCAAAAACCATATGGAAGCTCTTTGAGACCAAAAAAAAAAAAAAAAAAAAAAAAAAAAAGCATAAAAAAATAAAATAAACATCATCTCACTCTGTACTTGTTAAAAAGTGGAGTTTAACAAGACCTTTCAAGACGAGAGTATAGTGTATTAGATGTTAGGATAAAGTGTGATGGCTGAAGTTTGCAGATTAAACAGGAGAAAAAAATAATCATAAATCAAAAACCCGTCGTCCCTGAATTCAAAGTTAAAGTGCCCCAAAACAATTAATTGATACAACTAGTCTGGTATGATGTGTTTTACCAGCTAAAGCTGTTTATCAGATACACATACAAACAACAACATGGGATGCATTAACTGTTTCCATGCAGATTTTTGCATCCTTTTAAATTATATTATACGGAAACCAAGAAAAGGCCAGAATAGTTTGAGCTTCATAATTGACTGAATACCTATGTAGTTTGAATTCCCACCCATATCCAATTGTTCATTTCACGTTTTGCTGATTTTTAACTTTAAATTTTTTATCCTTTTTGATTTTATAACTGGACTTTAAATCTGATAATAACCAATTAAAAATGCTCTTCATTCAGGGGTATTTAAATTTAAACATTTAGTATTCAGGGCCACTTCCATAAAGTTTGGGTACTGACAGAATAAAAAAGTAATAATTATTATTATTATTATTTTTTTTTTTTTAAATGGTCCCGATACAGGTCAAGCTCCAAAAATGCTGGATCCTTCATTTCCCATAATGCATCTTAATTTCTGCTAAAACATCATTCGGGTTATTTTCCATTTATTATTTCAACTCACGATGAATTAACTGAACTTAATACATAAAATTGGATCCCCTTTAAATGTCACAATTAGGTATTCAGTTGCTTGTAAGACTCAAATCCTTATGGCCTTTTTAATTTTGCTTCCATAGATTTAACCCAGTGTTTGATAGTAGAATAGACTAGGGTTAAACCCCCCTTTAAATAAAACTCTTAACTATTTGTTTTTCCCCTCTAGTGGGAACAGGCCTCCAATATATTTTTGCTCCAGGCAACACCACAAAAATATATTTGGTTATAACAAAAACATTTAAATAAATCAATACATTTGTTTGACACAGATATGAGAGAATAGTTGCAGTATTCGTCCACTGGATGGCGGTATTGTACAACAGATTTCTACAGAAAAGCACCGTCAGTTTGACTTCATTCAGTACCTGCAGCTCAAACAATACATATTTTTAATGACTAATGATACATTTTAATAGTCTGAATTAAAGTTTTGGTTGTCCAAATGATTGTCTTGTGATTTATCTTTACTTGTTTGTTGTTTCTGACTAACTGCTAATTCAAAAAGCAAAAAACAAAACAAAAAGAACTATATAGAAAACAAGCATTTTTGGTCTCTAAGCCATAAATGATCAATTAAATATACTTAAAGAAGACATTGCATATTTAAAGGCAGCTATTTACCTGTAAAACCACCAACAGCCTTTCATGCACCCCAACTGCACAAAACTCACCTTTTTCTAACCTTCGTTTACACTTCGTAATGCATAGCTTTCTTAAATTTTCTGTCTTTCCGTCCTTTATTTTATTCTCTTCTCTGTACTACCATCCTTTCTGTCTTTCCTTGTTTCCCTCTAATATTTTTCCTTTTTATCCACCAGGAATAAAAGACAAGGAGGAGACAATGCTGCGCTTTTAAACTTGAGATAAGAGCACATAAACAGTTGTTTAAAATGAACGCCTGCCGACAGACATACAGGCCGGAGAGCTGCACAATGCAGCCGTTTTCTGCAGCTGTCAGCACTTGCAGACCTCCTTTTCTCTCAGCTGTGGACTACAGGAGCTTTCATAAATGCACAGAGTGAACAAGCAGGTTGTTTGAGGAAAATCCCGTCATTGTCCTCCAGGTTATGGTCACACTGCTTTACTGCTCCTCTGGCCTTTTAAAAACCTTCCCAACATTTAATTTTTATCCAATACTTCCTCTGAACTTCTCAGTCAACTTACAGAAACCACTCAAATCTCAATCCTCCCTGCTCTAAACATGCCGGGTCAAAGGTCAGGGGTCAGGTCTATCCAAACTACGTCAGTCTCTCCAGGTCATGTTGCATCGAACTCAGCTGGTGGAGTGAAAATGCAAACAAAGGCTTTAAATCCAACCAGTTTGTCTCAATCGTTCTTACTTGTCTTCACAACAAGAACTGAATTTCTTCCCGTGCTCACACGCCTCTATTTCACTCTATTATTTTAGTCTTTCAATAAAAACCTTTCCTCTTTGATTATGTGTTATGTCTGTTTTCAGTCACATTAAATCTGAAATACATCTGTTTTCATATCACTGCACCTTCGTCTACAACATTCAGTTCCGTGCCAACCTACTATGGAGTCTGAAGTGTGCCAATAATAATAATAATAATAATAATAATATCTTAAAAAATAATAAAATTTGAAATAAAATTATGCATTAAAAACAGAAAGTCGAATGTTAATAAATATAAAGATATTGTCTTTAAATTTCACTTCTACATTGTATTCGTAAAAGCAGGAAAATTATGGAAATTAGAGTTAATGATTTAACATCGCATTTGCCAATTAACACATTTGTTTTGTTTTTAATTGAATTGGTGAATCAATTTTAAATGAGCCGTATAAACTGGTATTTTTAGTTTTTCTGTCTCCTCACTAAATAAAAATTAAATGTTACAGCAGGAGACAAATTATTTATGAATGAAATATCAAAATGTTTAAGGGCTTTTTACGTGTTGCCCCAGGGGACATAGTCTGTTCTGTTATTTTATTGTTCATTTTGCAATCTTTATGTTATATTAAAAGCAATAAAAAGTAAGTAAAACGAAAAAAGAAATCTTTTTAGCTTTTATAATGTAGTTTTACAGTATAGTCGTTGGCACACCTGAGACTCCATACCTTCATCCAGCCACCTTGTTCCTTTGTCATCTCAGAAATATTTCTCAACTTTCAGGGTGATTCAAGCTAAACGCAACGATGGTCAAGACTTCTTTAATTCCAGGATTTTTTCAAATTTTCTTGTATTTCCATCATCTATATATAGCTACAGCTTGAGGGATGGTTTTTGATCTACATCCAGTGGTGTCTGATGCTCATGATGTCTGAGTATTTAACCTCTAGTTTGGATAAACTATTCTCCGTGTCTGTGTAAACATCAGATCGGTGCTCTGCCTTTGTAGGATAAACTAAAATAAGACTTTTTTTTTGCTTAAAAAACAACAACAAAATAAAAAGATAAAAAGCTTCACCCATATAAATTAAGAAAAAAAAATATTTACAGACCTTGAAACAAACAAATTAAATAAAACTCTAACTCAACATATGGCCTTGAGTCTTTCACAAGTTTAAAAGGATAAAAAAAAGGGAAACGAAGAGGAATCGGATAAACAGCATAAATTATGTGACAGCAGGACAGAGTGAGAGAAGAAGAAGAGAGGGATGGACCGAGAGAGGGCGAGGGGATGAATGAATATGGCACAGTAGAGTGAATCTTTGGTGTGAGGAGGCAGACTGCAGGCAGAAGTTTGACGTCTTTAATCCAGGCTGAATCAAACTCCAGCTGCGTCCGTCCAAATTTTGTCCGTTCATCCCTTTATTCACTTGTCCTTTGCTTGCTGTCTCTCAGTTTATGTCCAGTCCTCTTTATATCATCCCTCTTTCTGTCTGTATCATCCCTTCTTCCAGGTGCTGGATCCTCTCTTCTCACATCCCTCTCTCTCCATCAGAATTTACACAATTATCTCCTCTGAGGAGGTTAAAAAAAAAATAAATCACCTCCTCCGTTCCTCTGGGGGGCAGTAGTCCTGTTTTATAGAGTTCAGTCCTCTAAGAAGGCCCTCTGACCTCCCTCAGGGCCTCCTGCAGTCTCTGCCGGTAGGCCTCGTAGCGGCGAATCACCGCCACCTTCTGCTCATCCTCCTCCTTGTCGAGGATCCGCAGGAAGTTACACAGCTCAGGGATGGAAAATGCATCCCACTGAAAAGAGGAGCAAGCACCAAACTTTATTTACAAAGCAGATTTTTTTTTACAGTGTCTTGTTTGTTTCTTTTAGATGATCAAGTTATTGCTGCTTGATTGTATAGTAGGTGCGGTCCTTCCGTCTTTTATGCTTATGGACGTGGACTTTCCGTCTTTTTATTATTTATTTTTTCTAAATGATGATAATGAGAATTATTATGGTGGTAATTATAAAATATTTAAGGTGTTGTTGTTGTTAAGTAACGAGGAAAAAGCTGGAGGAAGAAGGACAAGGAAAGAAGGAAATGGGAAGAAGAGAGGGATATCAAAAAGTAAGAGCGTGGATAAAGCAGTGGATAAAAGAAAAGATGGAATGGAAAAGAAAGAAAAGTTACAAGAAGACGAGGTTTTGTGGAAGATTAACTGAAAAGGGAAGAATATGAGTAGAAATCTTCACAGAAAATTAAAAGAGGACAAGTTGAGCCAAGGATGGGTGCAAAGAGATATGGAAGACCATTTCTACTAGTGAAAGATTAAAAACAACGTGGAAAGTTTCATTGTAGACATAAAAATGCTTATGGTAATGGTTTTTACTTTACTTTACTTTAAAGTTTTGACTTATCATGAGCATTTTTATTTTATCATGACTAACCTTTCAGCTGTTTTTTCCTAGAGGAAATGGGCTTCCACATAAAGAGTAAAAGAAGGAAGAAAGAAAAGGAGAAAAGAGTAGAAAGAAAGAATGAGAGAGGGGGAAAAAAAGCCTGGGGAAGAGACTGTAAGTAGTGGAGGGGAAGAATGAGAAGAAAAGGAAGGAAGACGACGATGCGGAGAAGAAAGAGTGACTAACAGGAATAAATATTTAAACTGTAAATTGCATTTCAAAGGACAGAGTAAAGTGAAAAAGGCAGAGTAAAGTGTGGCGTTACCATGACTTCTCCAGTCTGTTGCTCTCTCAGTACGAAGCTGAGCGTGTCGCTGTCGGGTCCCGCCACCAGACGAAGAAACAACGGCTGCTCGCCATCCGCCAGCTTACACACATATACTGCAGGACACACACACACACATTAATTTAGTCAGTGCAGTACGTACGTTCCTTTAAACCACGTATATGCGGTTGCTGCAGTTAAATTTTGCTCGCTGTGTGTGTGTGTGTGTTTGTGTGTGTGGTTGTGTGTGTGTGTGTGTGTGTGTGTGTGTGTGTGTTTGTGTGTGTACATATAAACAGGGATTGTGGAGGATGAAAGGATGGGTGCGGCACATTAACGACCACAGTAATTTACAAAAACAGAGAGTGAGATCCAGGTTGTTAGACTCAACTGGCGTTACAGTGAACAAAGTATCAGAGCCCAGTGGTGGAAGTATTTTTATTTAATTACTGTACTTAAGTATTAAGTGTTTGAGGTACATGTACTTTAGTTGAGTATTTTCTTTTCATGCCTCTTTCTACTTCTACTCCACTACATCTCAGAGGGAGATATTGTACTTTTTACTTCACTACATTTATCCAACTGCTAAATTAAGCTTTTTACACACAAAACATATGAAGAGTTTATAAAATATGTTTTGCTATAAATTAAACTTCCCAAGAGTTTATACAAGTGCAGCTGAAACGTTTAGTCAGTTGACAGAAAATTAATTGCCATTTTTTGGTGATACTTTTCTGCACTTAGTAAATTAATTTTAATACTCTAAGTACATTTTCATGATTATACTTACATGTTTTTACTTAAGTAACATTTTCAATACAGTACTTTTACTTTTAACAGAGTTCATCTACAGTGTGGTATTAGTACTTTTACTTAAGTAAAGGATCTGAATACTTTGTTCACCGCTGTATAATAATAAAGAATAAAGCCGTTGTCTGTAAAGTTTATATATGAGCTCATGTACATATGAAGTCTACATACAGTAAATCTGTTGTCAGACTTGTGTCTAGACACTTTCTTTTACGAGCAGGCCAGACCAGGAGCTTATATATCGCAGCAGTAACTCACACACTTCGAAGTGGCGAAAAAAAACACCCAGAATCTCTATAAAAGTTTGGGGCAAAATGCTTAACAGACATCAAACAGGACCTAGAAACAAATTCAATAAATTCACATCATGTTTTATAGCATAAGGCTTATAAAGTCCCATTTTTTTTTCTATTCTTGGAGACGCTACATAGACTGAAAAATAATACTGGATGCGCACCGACCCTGCAACAGCTGTTGATTCATACAGTTTGTGTGTGTGTGTGTATTCCTGGTGAGCTGTTGATAGTGGGAGAGCCCTGTGGAATCCAACAACCAGCAACATGAGGGCGAGGCATTCAGAAATACACACACACACACACACACACACAGATCATCGACACTATGTCTGTGCCAAAGCATTTGATACAGAGTTTGGCATGAGTGGCATGAAACAGTCTCCAGCCCTGACGCTTTCACGGTCTCTCACACAAACACACACACACATACAGTTTGAGAGCGGGCCTCAGTCTTACCCTGCTCCTCCCTGCAATAGCGTTTGTACAGGGCGTATTTCGCCGGGTTGTCTGCGACTGTGAACTTGCTCAGCAGGGCGACGATCACCTGAACACACACACGAGAACACAACTTGTCAACAATGAGCTCAGAGACAGTTAAACCCTAAATGAGGTTGAACAAACAACAAAAAGCTAGTAACACAAACAGTAACATCACAATATAACTGTACAACGTTATCTTTCATAATATGTCAATAGGTCAATCTGATGGACGTCGAAGGGCGGGACATATCACTATCAAAACGACGGTTGGCGTTTGGTCCTATCTGATCAAGCTACACCCACACTTCTCCTGATGAAGCAGATTGTTAGACAAACAATATGCTACTTGATTTCACCTTCATTATTGTGAAGTCATTTTTATCTACAAAGATTAGACAAAGGTTTAATGTTTTTAGATACTTTAAACAACCATTAACCAACACTACAGCTAATCTAGCTAGCTAATAAAATAAAAAGTAGTTATGAGTTATAATACAAACAAGGTGTCCTGACATAACAAAATAACGAGACAAAGCCAAACATCATTAGCATTTCATCTCTGGAGTGCATTATTTTCAATAACAGAACACCTCAGAGTCTATTATTAGGTTTGCAGCATAACTCGCACCATTTACTACAGGCAAAAAGAGAAGGTGTGCGTTCAAATCATCATCTTATTTGTGGTTAGTTTAACCCGTTGTTAGGTCGGTTTCATTAATGTGAGTTTATGTGGAACAGAAGTACTGTTGCTATTCTCTACCTGCAGTAAAAAATACATTTAGTTTAGAGCTGTTGTTAAAGTTTGGACAATAACTATGTTAGTTTATTTTGGATCTGTAACTGTATTCCTTCCATATCTTTTTTGTCTAGTGTTTTTTTAATGAATTTCATTTCCCCCACAGTATTAAAAATTGTGTTAATGCATTTATTTGCCTTATTTGAAGCCCTTTGAATAGTGTTTGAAAGGTACTTTGTAAGTATTTGCCCACTGCGTTCCACCTGGATATGTATTACGTGTCCTGTTAAATGATTTTAACAGACACCTGACAGCCAATCAGAAACAGTATTATCTGTGCCTGTGGTTTACTGGTTTACTCAATCAGTTAATGTTAAACAACATGTGAGAGAACTGACTGAAACCAATCAAGTTTTTAATAAAACTTCAGCCTGCTTCCGTTAGACGCCGACTTCAACCCACATGTCATCAGATCCTAATTAAGTTGTGCTGACGCTGTGTGTGTGTGTGCATGTGCGTGTGTGTTAGCCACCTGTCGGACTGTGTTATTGGAGCTAATGTGGAGGGTGTTGGTGACTCCTCGGGGCAGATAGAATGCCTCTTCCACTAATGCTCCTCCTGCTCCTCTTTGGCCCCCCCGCACCGTCACCGGCCTCCTCAAGTCCATCTGGACCTTGATGAAACCAGTATACACACCAGTATGATGATTCTGAGAGAGAGAGAGAGACAAACAGAGAGCGTTACGATCGTATGTCCTGTACAACCTGCTTTGGCAATACTGTACTCACTTGTGATCAGACCAATAAAGAAAATATGAATTTGAGAGATTAATGTACAATTTTTGACTTTGACAATCAACATTCATGTATCAAACTGTATTTTCATTCGACTTGTTTCTGCAATTGATTCCTTGTACTCATTTTTAATATCTAATATATTAATCTGCCAGTGATTTTCTCAATCAAGAGATTACTCATTTTGTCAATATACTGGGACAAAATAGTGAAACATTTAATTTATAAACTCCCATTGCCCAAGATGAAGTGTTAAAAAAGTCCAGAGATACTCAGACATGAGAGAAAATCAGCAGATCATCACATCTGAGAAGCCATATGCAGTGAATGTTTTGACTTTAATGGATTCATTTTCTGTCGGTCAACTAATCTACTAATCGTTTCTACGGTTTATATACAGTATTTAGTCATCAAAATCTAATTCTGTAGCTAGGGCTTTAATGTCTGGTTTTCATTTTTATCCATTTAGTTTGTTAGTCGAGCTTTATTTGGTCAGGAAATCTCAAGATCAACATCTGCTTTTGCAAGAGAGACCCAAGAACAAATCACATGTACACAAGATCACAACAACAAAAGTCCATCAACTCAAAACAACCACACACACACACACACACACACGTTCCTGCCAAAAACTAACAATAATCAAATATCTAAACTGCGACTGAGGCTAAATCTAAATAAAAATCAGGTGCTAAAATTAAGACTGGAGAATAAAATGCATCAACATCAGACTTGCAGGTAAAACAGTCACCACCAAATCAGACAAAATTAAAAACTTACAACAGGTTTTTATTCAGTTAGCTGAATTCAAAGTTTCCTGAGGTACAGTGTAGTATGTGCTATATGATCGCTCCAGTTCACCCAGTAAGCCCATCCTGCAGGACAGATGGCCCCTGACAGAGGAAGAGCATCTTAATCTCATTACTCCCATGCGGTGCCTTGAGGACTGTGCATGCAAGTGTATGTGTGTGAAGGAAAAACGAGTACAAATGGAAGTCAGGATGACAAAGAGAAACCCGTGGCATAACAGAAGGAAATGCAGAATTAGAAAGAAAGGTGTGGGTTCATGTCTCCACGCTTCACGTAATGATACTCTCAGCTGTAACGTTCAACATCCAACAGGTGTAGAGCAGCAGGTTTCAGGGCTGGATTAAGTTTGAAAGTTGTAAAATGTTATTATTATTATATATGCTTTCAATCCCCAACTTCCCCTGTAGAGAAAATGCTTCGGAGAATTTATATTTTTTCCCATATCGTACTATCAATTTTAAGGTATCTAAATGTTCTTATCTGAGAGTACTGAACATCTGCTTCACCAACATTGCCAGTTTGAATACAACTTCAGTCAACTTCCACGCTGCCAAGAAAAACACTGTGGGGGAGAACAATAGCAGGAATAGCATCACATCACTCTGATGTGACTGCTGAGGAATGCTGGGAGCAGGAGGAAGGCAGCGTGGATGTTGAAACCTCAGCAAACCAAAAATATTGAGATTTAAAGCCTGCACGACTCAGCGTGTTTGGACATCACACCTGTTATATTAACATATTTCTTATATTAGAAACAGAGCACAGCGTAGATAAAATACTACCTTGTACAATAGTTTTTATGCTTTTAAAAAGGAGAAACAAGCGCAAATTAACACGTAAGCTGATCCAACGGTGTGCACGGAGACTGACGTCTTTCAAAAGTGCAAGATAGCACGTTCTTCTGCCTAAATTAATATGCACTTAGGTTTCAGTTTTATTGTGCAAAGTAATGGGAGGGTAACATGCAAATACATGTATTTACTACACTCAATGTGATCTAACAAGACTAAAAGCAATTTCATGTGACTGCAACAGCATCTGCATTTAATCCGTTTGAAAGGAATGTGCTTTATTGTTGCCATAAGGAGACACAGCCGTAATGAAAGAAGACGTAGAGAAATTAACTATATTAGATAATATTATTCTGTATCCAATGTGTAGAAATAAAAATATTTTATTTTATTTATTCGATGAACTATATGAATTGAATTGTTTGTTTGTATTTTCCTTTAGCTTTGGCAATACTGTTGTATTAACATTCATGCCAATAGACAAATTTCGTTTCTCCGTGAGATGGAAGAATCTAGAAAGTTGCGTGGCGCTGCGGAGAGCCCCCAGCTGCAGTAGTACATGGAGCGCGACTAAAATTCATCCAGCCAGAGGGAACGGTCACCAACTGTTCACAACGCGCCGGTCGTAATACAGGAGATCGCGGAGCGACCGGGCACGCTGCGGACGGTCGGGGATCGTTCCCTCTGGCTGGATGAAGCACGATCTGCTGGCATTTCCTCGCTTCCTAGTTTTTCAGGTGTGTTGTCCCAAGTACTTAGTGCAATCTTAGCCAGGACGAGCAGGTACAGACGATTTCCACATACTTGGGACTGAATGAAACAAATCAAGGTTTTTACGCGGTGGCTGCTTTCCCTCCCATGACTCTCCATGGCAGAAACCATTAAAACACGCAAAACACTCATTTAAATACTGCCAGCTCCATTGTGTTTGAACCTGTTGTCATCTACACAATTATTCTTAGTTGATCACCCATAACAGGTACTACAATTATAATATTTTAGAATGCACACGCAATTTAGTACTCTTTATTCAGGATGTTAGTAAATCTGGCCTTATGTGTGTTTGTGCACATGTGTGTGGTCCACTCACCAGTGTCATTTTAAGGAGGTCTGTGGTCAGCTTGTTGTACTGCTCGACCTTCTGCCTGATTTCCTCCCTGCTGAACTCTGTCCGCAACTCTCTCTCCTTCTCCACATCCTGACGAAGAGAGCGAGAGAATGAAAGGAAACATGATAAGTAACAAATCAACGACGATCAATAAAACAACACAGTCTCTGTTTGCACAATAGCAGCAGGGAAACATATGCAGAGATAGAGTTCTTCCTTATAGAATCAAGGGTCTAAGAATAGAGGGTGTATATGCAGTTTATATTTATTTAGTAAGCATTTATTTATATTTACAGACATGACATAACCTTTGACACACATTTAACAAAAAGTATTCTTTATGTCCATAACTGCATCTCTTTGTGCTCTCCTTGATGATTGTACTGTATATGTCATTATTTATGTGTCCACAATAAATAAATGTCTTATTATTATTAATATTATACAGGCCTGTGTTTTATTTTCTAATTTGTTAAGATTGTCCATTTTGATCGGCTGATTTTTTTTTCTCTACTCTACATAATGTTAGATAATCTATGCAAAAAAGATTAATAATGATATTTGCTAAGTTCGTGCATGCAAAGTTATGTTCTTTTGTGATTGCAGAAATCCTGCTAGACAGTTTGTGTCTAGTTGTTAAAGGGTAATTTCTGTATTTTTCATCCTGGACCCTATTATCCCCCTTTTTTTTTTTAATTACCATTTTTAATCACTGGAGTCTGGTGGCTTTCACAAGAGCAAAAATCTTCAGTCACATAGACACAAAAACATGGGAAAAGTTACGCTTTACAAGATGACCAACAAAATTGCTTTTTATAAATCCCACTGGGTAAGTGTTAAACAAATTTTCTGACTCTATAGTGGTGGTATTGTTGTGGAATTTATAACATTGTTTCACAAATTTGGAAGTACTGCACGTTAGTGGAAAACACATGGAATCAAAGGTGGATTGCAAAAGAAGAAAAGCCAAAAAACATACAAAAAGACATCGCAGAAATTAAAACTATATATTGTTTTTAAAGACAAAGAAGTGATGTAGTAAGAGAAAGTAATACAACAAGAGGACATGATTCTTTACCTTTCGAATTACGGCCATAACAGTCTGCCATCACGAAGCAGAATAAGCTTTTTGTAAATATCTACATTATATAACTGTGCTTTAGGGTAAAATAGGGGATTATAATATTTTTCATGTGACCTAGCAAACTTTTAGATAAGATAACAAGGAGGGAGGATATCACATTTGCAGCGAGAGTGCACAGAGAGTAAAACACAAAGTCACTTATCTGGCGTTGTTAGAAATCTTCTCTTTGGAAAATACACCTTTTATCTTTAACCCAGGACAAACCAAATATATTTCCTCCTTCCCCCAGAATAATGAAGTCTGAAAAGGACCTCACTCAGAACTGGAGGGTCAGCACGTGACAAAAACACATTTCAAATCAGCCAGAGTCCCATGCTGTGCAAGTGACTTCTAAATTTAGACAAAACATGGAAACCTCCTGCAGGACAGAGCACACAAGTCACAACCCAAACAACCCAAAACTCATCCCTGCAAGCCAAGGCTAAAATACAGATTCATTTAACGGACTGGAGGCCACATGGGCTTGACTAGTGCTTACTTGAACAGCTTGTGATGTATGAACATGTGTCAGCCACACAAGAGGCTTTACTGTATGTGTAGCCTAATGAGAGCCGCAGCCAGCAGTCAACTGTGTTTCTGTATAAACAGCCAAAGAAGGTGGGGAAGGCCAGAGGTTTGGGGAAGGTCACAACAGAGGTCAGCTTATCTCTGACCTCAGAGCTCTAGATAAGGCACAAACAGTACAGAGAAAAACATCTATATGTGAGATTTAACAACCACAGAATGAGCTGATAAGCCCAGTCCAACCCTTTCTGATAAATTATTTCAAGAAAGTCGTCCTTTTTTCATTATTTTACAGAAAGGCACACAGCTGCAACAGCAGAAAACACATGTAAAACTATAATTTAGGTCACACGACAAAGCCAAATATGTTATATAATTAGTTGTAAAGAGTCCGTCCACTGACCTCAGAGCCACTTAAAATGTTTTCATGCAGTCGCTCCATGCAGATGCTCGGTTTTCAGGAAAAAGTGGCACATACACAACCATAAGGTCCCCGCCCTGACTGCTCTGCCACAACAAGTCAAACGTAATACCAATAGCCACACACTGTTGTTCAAAAAAGCTACAATCAACAACTTTAAACCTGTGAAATTGAAATTATATTGAATTAAAGATCCAGAGAACCTAAGATCCAGTGAAGACAAACTCTAACCTTGAGACCAACAGGACAGTGATTTTAAGGTTCAAGTTTGATTTTATTTTGTCCCGAAAGAGAAAACTGTCTCGGATTAAAGAAGTTGCTGCACAAAAAGCAGTAATTCTGGTAGGTTTCAGCTTCTCCAATGTGAGGATTTGAAGCTTAAATCTATTTAATATAAATTAAGTAACTATGCAACAAAATACCACATGAACAATTATTATTTGGCCTCTAGAGACAGATTTCATAGACTTAAATTATAAATGATAATGAAAAAAATCATCATCATAAGTTGCGCACTTGATCCACATGCACATACAATATGATAAGAATGGCATAGTAGCATGTAGCACGTAGCTGGAAGCATACATCCTATTCTTTCACCACATGAAGCTTTTAAAACAAACAAATCCAGTTAATCTATTAAACAGGCTGCAAAAACCCTCAAGTAAGTCTTGATGTTTATATCTTCTGTCTGTACAACACAAAATGTGAGTGCTAATGCGGAGCCTTCAGAGTTTAATTCTCCAGTGTAGTGTGTGCTTACATGGGCATAGTGCAGCTCTCCTCTACATCTATTAAAAACACTCTCACACACACATAGTGCAGAATCCAGGGAGGCTTTGAAGGCTCATACAGCCTTATATGGAAAACACACACTGCTCAAGGCAAAAGACAAGGTGCCAATGCAGCATGTGCAAACACAAACACTGCATCTCTGAGAGCATCTAACACTATAATGCCCACTGATTCATATCTCTGACAAAGAAATGCCAGCCTGTGTGTGAGCTAAAGTCAATTACGTATTCTTTAAAACATATCCTTCATTACACTGGATTAAAAGAAAATGTGATGAAAGGCGAAGGGGATGTTCACCAACAGATGAGAGGATTAAACAAAGGCTACAGATGTGTCAGTGTCATTCACAGCTGACAGATGTTTTCTATTATATTCGACTGGAAGATCTGAATAGGATCATTAGGTTGCTTTCAACACCCAGAAATATTTGATATGTAAAAGTCGAGACAGTTTTAGTGTCTCACTGTCTAAATTAGTGCAGAAATAATTTGTTGATTAATCACTGAGTGATTGACAAGGAAATGAATCAACACCATTCTTTTGATACTTGATTAATAATAAGTCCACCCTCTCAAATGTCAGTATTTTATATGGCTGTAAACTGGATATTTTTGGGTTTGGACTGTTTTTTGGATAAAACGACTTATCTTGGGATCTGGAAAGTTGAGATGGACATTTTACGAAATGCTGGAGACTTAACAATTAATCCGAAAACCAGTTATATAAGTTAAGAGATAAGAAATAATGTTTAGCTAAGCTAATAATGATGACTAACAGGTTATAGCACTTATGACCCCCCCCATTATCATCATATCACAGCCTGGCTGAGAGAGAGTTTGGACTTTTAGGGAAGGGACAGAGCTACCGCCGTAAAGATGAAACAAGAGCATCATTGTGAAACTGGATGCAGCACAATAATCGTTCTATGTTGCTTGTCTTGTTTCATAATTTTTAGAAGCCAAAATCACAATGGAAAACATCTGATTAATCCCTTGAGCCCTAGTTTATTGTGCAATCTATCCATGACACACTGGGTTTTTATTGGGCAGCTCATACTTAAAAAAAAAAAATACAAAATGTGTTTGGCTTTTAATCAAAAATCCTTGTTCAAATATAGCAGTTTTACAGTATGTACGAAGTCTCATAGTTTTATCTAATTGATTATGGAGGAAACAACTACTGACAAGTTCATTAAAAACTCAATCAAGTTTCTTCCTGACACCTTAGTGGCGGTGACATGACCCGTCTGTCTTCATATCGGTCAACCTGAGAGGCCCAGACACTGACTCATCAGGATTAAAGAAAGACACACTGGGACAAATCTGCTCAGCCACACTCACAAAGACACCTGAGTTAATCTGAGGACAAACGATTACTTAGTTTATTTCTAAAACTTCTGATTAACTGTGTATTGTGACGTTAACTTTGACCTGAGAGTTTTTTTTCCCCCCGGCATTCAGTCTCCAGTTTAAGCACCTGCTGGGTCACATGAGTCAAAGCTTATTACCAGGAAGTGACAGGTAAGGAGATTATCTGTCATCTTACCATCTACAGAAAGACAGACAGACAAGAGGTGTAAAAAAGAAAGAAGAAAATAAAAGCAAAATAAAACAAAAGTAAAACAGAATAAATGATGCTCCCTCAGGGGAATCCTTCCTCTCCTAACTGTGCAGTGTGATTTTGTTTGTGTGTGATCATTAATGTGTGCACAGAGGGGTCAATAACTAAACCTGTCGACCTATAGATGAACCTGTAGATTAAGGGACTTCCAACCTACTTCCCTTACATCTCTGCTTGACTGGTAAAACCTGTGCTGCGTTGTTGTTCTTATTCATCCATCTATTCCTTTATGGTATTTAGTGGGTCTTTCTAGCCCTCTTGAGAGGAATACTTCTGAATTTATGTGTTTGTTGTCTTTTAGTATTAGAGGGTAATGCTGATGTTTTTAAACCTGGGACTATCTTTTCATATTTTGTGGTCTACATGTACATGAACTCACACAGGAACAACATACAAGCATCAGTAAAGTGAGAGATCTACGAGCAACAATAGATACTAATAAGAGCTATTAGCGCACACGGCATCAATGGGACAAATACTAAGGTGAATTAATAACAATTAATAAATGGTGCAATCAACAAGGGAATTGTAAGGAGATAGAAGAGGAAGAGCACAGGAAGTGCATGTTAGAGGTTAGGGGTTAGAGATGTTATAAGAGGAAATGTT